GGATGACTGGAAAGTTCGCGAGAGTTCCATTAAGAAATTAACAGCACCTGAGAAGGTTAAAATGTTTCAAACTCTGGCTCATAAAAGGTGGGTAATTTTGCTTGTGGCGGTAATGTGATGATTGTGATCACTGATCAGTGAAGATATTTTGTGTTGTTGATGGTTGTGGCGGTGTTGATATCCTGGTCCAGTCCAGGTCATGTGGCTGTGATATTGAAGGTGAGATAGATGACATGGCGATGAAAATACTGTTGAAGGTGAACAACAAACAGGACAGCGAAGTCGACGTTTTTGGTGTAGGCGATGGATTTGTGTTCATTTTGATGAAGATGGCGATAGTGATGATAAATTGGCAGTGGTAATGTTTAGAGACAAAATGGTGACAAAATGGATTATCAAAAATATGTTCATTACATCAATTGCTTCCTACGCAGATACCACGATGAATTTCCAGAACTAATCCCAGATTTACGAGAATCGCACAAAAACTCAAAAAAGTACTTCTTTCATGGCTATCACACCTCATTTTGTAGGTTGGATGTGACAGTTGAATATCAGATGCCAAGCACTCAACATGTCTGGGACAAGTACGCAGCCGAAAATAACAATACCAAGTGAAAGACGATACATTATGGCTACCATAAGCAGAAAGAGTATTCTGTCACGATGTAATAAAAGAACATTCTTTCAATCGCCAAGTCCAACTTATTTTACTTTGCTGACATAATCCAATCCGTTCTAGAATTACGGCTTCGATACATATTTTCATAACGGATAAGAGAGAGTTTACGATTGACGACGCGCCACACGAATACGTCGAGGGGGACTAGAACCTTGCGCGGCCAAGTCGTCTTCATTGTTTCCTGCGGCGTCTTTCTACCTTCCACAACGCTATTTTGAAAATCTTAAATAGATCTTGAAAACCAACACGCCGGTAGGCAAATCGCAGTATATAATGTTTAATGTTTCGGCCCTTTCAGCAAATTACGTGGCACATTTTTTGGAACCCTCAAACTGCGAACTTCGGTTATAAAGGTTTGACGAAATGACAAAAGGGACCTTGCGTCATGATTGATATATATATATAAACCATGCTTACAATGGAGCCCATCAAGAAAAAAATTGTTCCTTCATGTTTTTTCACTTTTTATTGCTTTGTTAAAGGAAAACATCTCATTCACTGGGGGAAGGAGGAAAACCGTCAGGGGGGGCAAATGACGGGTTGGGGTGTTCACCCCCCAGTTATACACTTAAATAAGGCCCTGATTAGCTGCCAACTATCCCACGCAGGTTCTTCTTCTTTTTTAAGAGGCCAAAGTGCTTTTCGCACAAAATCTTCAGGAAGGAAGTTGAGTTATTCTGAATAAGCCTTCTATAGTGAACCATTGGCCAAGGCCATGAATCTAATCAAAAAATTGTGTGCGCATGAATCGTAAAAGCAAAATAATTGTGACACACTTTGCACTGTTAACAGATTACACAGCATCTTTGAGTCGGGCACTGACGAATAACAATCTTTTTGTTCAAATGCCTGCGAAATTTTAAAATGTTTGCATCACAGCTTTTTTTTTTTCATCCCACGCATACTTTAACCTTGCACAGAAAAGGAGATGCTTAATTGAAGAGCTGGCATGACCTGACCACCATCTTTAGAACAAGACTCCTTATAATTGTCAAAGAAAACATATCAGGTTTTATCGCGTTTATAAGCTTGACAAGCAAAATTATAGTGTAGGAAAACCTGTATTTATGTATGACATAGTTAGGACATAATAATAAATGTAGTTAAAAAGAATTCATGCTAAGTTCCATTATTGCGAACAAAGACAAAAATATAAATGCCAACATAAACTTCGTATTTCATAAGCTATAGTTGTTGTACGAATGACTGAAAATCTTTAACTTCTATAATTTAGCTAAGCAGAAGCGATATACCCTAAACGAACTTTGCAGGCTGAAAGAAAACGGATTATACTTACAAACATTCGAACAACAAACAAAAGGATAATAGACTGGTACGAGAAGTAAACGTGTTTTTGTGATTATTTATAAGCAACCTTGCTTTCAGTCGATTTTAACTTTGCGTCGGTAAACCCCCTGCACGCTTAGTGCTTTCTCCGCGAAGTGCTTCAAAGAGCCTGGGAACGAGGCTGTCGATGAAGCATGCAGGTAATCACTAATCATGCATTAGTAAAGCAAATAAAAATGTCAATTAATAGGTGACCTAAATGCTATTGGTCTAAACTCCAAATCCTTCTACCACCTTTCTATTATACAGGATGTACGCATGAAAAAAAGCGCAACCTTGGCATTTTCTAACTTAGTAATCCACTTTGTTTCGTTCTATAGTAATATTAAATAGCTTCTTATTGTATCCAATACCTAACTATCGAATTACTACACACACACTCACGTGCATAAAGTAGAATTAATTATGAGATTTGTTCATCCTAAAGTTCCTCGAAAAAGGGAAATTTGGGAAACAGTAGCATACAAACAAAACGGCCAAAGTAATCTATTGTGTGTTAGGTATATTTTTCTTTCAAAAGGGATTAGAGGCAATTCCACTAGATTTACTGGGAAATTCCGTTTAATTTCGAATAACTGTATTTTAATTTGCTGCCCAAAATGGCGGAAGGCTATGACGTCGGTTGCTATGTCGTCAATAGAAAATCCCGGATTAGATTCAGCAAATGTCCCCTAACTGGATGGATGGATTACGACGCACCTTTATCCACTTAAGCATGGAAGATTTTCAGATAATCATTACAGTTCAAACCGCACGTTCACATTATAACTGATAGCCCAAGACCTTTATAACCGATATGCTAATTCTAAACAGAATGACAGGATAGTTTACGTCACTAGCTACATGTGTAGCATGTGCATGTGCATGGGAAGTGTTCTACCTAAGATCGTGTGAACGTCTGCGTGCCAGGATATATCATGCGCTTAGCTTTGATAAATAAAATTGGCTTAAACGTAGAGTTATGCATGCATGCATGGGTGTTCTAATTCCAAACAATCACAGAAATGCTTGCCAAGACATGTTTCATACTTCAAAACCGAGAGAAGCTAAGAGAGAAGCTGGGTAAACAGGAAACGCCGTGAACTCAAGCACGCTTGCTATGCTTAGATTGAGAGAGAAAAGCAGGAAATTCTTCCCTGGATATGACTACGTCGCCAGTTTGCCTCAAGGTCGTCGTAGACTAGGAAATATAATTTACTTTCTCGAAGGACCGAACAGCAAATCAGGAAACATTCGGCTTCTGTAAAGAACACTGTGTTTTCTCAAAATTACAATAAGCATTAGGCATATCCAAAGCATTGTTTAACCACATTTACATAGGCTTTCAAACCGAAAACTATTAGTGTTTCTGGAAGTAGGCAACGCAAGAAGAATAGAAACGCTGCTCTTTTAATTGCTTCAGAGTAATTCCCTTATTCAGCGTACTGGAGCCCCGCGGTTCAATATGTGCATGAGTGATCCGGAATAACATACAGTTTCCCATAATTAATATCTTTTATAAGCTTGCATTTGCCCGCTTTTCTGACCTTATGAGGTGAGAAAATTGAAATGAGAATATTTCAGGAATGCCCTGAACGCATGCGTGGTAGGAAAACAAGGAATAGAATACGACTGGATTCTGAAACGAGTTCAGTTTCACTCAATTTATTTATTAGCACAACCATGATATCTCTTTTAGTCTGCCATAATTTAGTTGACCCAAGCCGGCTTTTATAAAATTTGTGGTGAAAAACGGTTCTCTCAAATTTTGCATGACTAATGCATTAAATGCCCCCCCCCCCCCGCCGTTCATTGATTGGCCTACCCTGCACAGGAGCCCCCTCTAAGATTGTTGGTGAAAAAATTGCCAGTCGGGCACTGATTCACTTCACAGTCGGGTAGTTTTCTTTGTAAACTTACTCGAAGGAAATACTCTAATCATTCCTATTTTTAGACTTCATGGGATTTCTACGCGTCTCCTTTTTTCAGTAGCTGGACAAAACAAAAACGAAAACAAAACGGTGAATTTTCCGTATCTGCTCCGGCTGAAAAGTTTCGTCTGGCGTAGAAAGATCACGCAACTAGCAAATCCAAACTCGCAATTCTAGACTTGGACCTAGACTCGGAATTCTGATTGTTTGTTACCAGTTCATTCTTTGCCTAAGGTTTGGTTATGCCTATGCAAGCTATAGTATTAGTAAAAGAATAAAATGAATGTTAAAATGAACGACTTCAGTGTACAAGGCAACGTATCTGGAAGCAAAAAGAAGGTCTAAAAATTTGAACTATAATCAATCAAAATGCTCATTTTTAAAGATGAACTACAAACACGTATTATAAACGACAAAACTGCGCGACTTATGAATGAGGAAAGAATTCAGACCAGGTGCCCAGCACTAGTACCCAAGGCTCCCAAGCCCTGTTCTTTGGTTCTAGTTTTTCTAGTTTGAGTGTACAAATAGTACCGGTTTGCAGGCACCGTGCCAGGACTTTTTTGAGCATCGTGTTCAGACTGGTACCTATAGTTTTATTCCAGTGATGTGTCCAGATTCAGATTCAATCGATGAAACTATAATTACTTTCGTCTTTTCAAAATATATATATAACGCTTGCTTAAAAGAACTGTACGAGTACTAAGTCCTCCGAATATTCGTTGTTTCAAAGCTATAGATAATAGTTGGCTTCTGGATTGTTTCTTAGAGACAAACAAAAGTATATATTATAGCCTAAGCTATTTCTAACAGTTTTACCCCAAGTACAAAATTATAACTTTAAACGTAGAGAATTACCATCGCCGCTAAAACTCTGGTATTTGCAAGATAACCATCGCTCTCGATCTTATCTTTCTCTGGATAATAACGCGCGCAATCTACAGTCCAAACAATATCCACACAATACAGGATTATTCTATAAATTAGTCTATCACCACTCTTGAGGTCAAGTATGAGACTTGTGACGTAGAAATGTAGTCACACAGCGTACACCGGTTTGAAGCATTTACTCAGCTGTATTGCGTTATAAGTATCTATTTACGTAAGGCTCTGGTCACATACAAGAATATAAAGTTGCTTGTTGCGCGTGCTTGTGCGATCGCGAAAGGATGTACAATATGGGAAGTCTATCCATCTCGATGGACCCACCAGATGTGAAATTGGTTGTTTTAGGGCATCGCAAAGTTGGCAAAACAGGTAAGCGCAAAAATCTTCATGATAGTACTAAGTGCTGCCTTAGATTTAGTGTTGGATATTTTTGTATGCCCAAGTTATTTGCTGGGTTTATTAATGCGTGTGGCAGATGGTGCTTAACCAGTGGTTATTATTGGAGAATGTCGTGTTTTTGTATTTGGTGCAAGACGTGGACTTAGAACACGAGTTTATCTCATCTAAAATTGTTAGAAGTTTTTAGCTGTATTTGATAACCATTCGCCGCCCTGTGAAACGCTTTACATTCTTGGGTTCTGGAAATCTGGCCTGAATCAAGCGTTTATCGTTATATTAGTTTAAGTTGTGTGTGAGTATATGCAAATAAGGCAATTGCCAATTGGCTAGTCCGGTCCGGATGAAATTCAGATGAGATACAGGATATATGCACGTTTCCTATATACCCTGCAAAGATATGCTGGTAAATGACTTCATTTCAACCAGATTAAAACTGTAATACAAATCAACTTATAACGGGGATATGATACGCAACTATACATGCATGTTCATTTGAATCGAAAAACAATTTTGAACCGTGGCATTACTCTGGTTTGGCGCCTATGAAACTGGCTGATTCTGTTTAGTATCACTATCTTCACCAGAACGATGCAATTATAATAATTAGAACTATTTTCCTACTTGAGACTGAAATAAGTACATGTCAACCATGAGATATAATGGCATAAAGTATAGGAATATAAACCATATGCCTTTAATCTAATGTAACAGCAATAAATCGTATGTTAGGAAGTTTTGTTTAATAAGTAAGCGACAATTTGATACCGTCAACGTCTAGCGAATTAAACTACATTTAGTAACCTGAGAAATAGTAAGTTCAAATGTATATTCTAGCGGCTTATCCTATCCTATATGTTTTGACCAGTGTATGAGTGTAACTGTTTCAGGATGGCTCAAATTCATCATATTTCAAAATATAACACGCGTGCAGAATTTTAAGCTTTCAACTTGACAAAAACATTGCTGCATGTCACGTACAATATGGAGTATAACCAAGAAAGTTTACATGATGTCTAACCGTCGCTCTCGGATAAAAATATAGCTGGGGTTATTGAACGTAGTCGTAGAGGAAAAAGCACTTCCATGATGCCTTTCCATGATGCCCATGATTACTTTGATGTTCAATATTTGCAAATAAAACAGTGGTATTGTACTCAATTGTGTAATTTCACTTAAAACGTTTATCTTTCAATCATCCGGAAAGGAAAATCAAGTATATCGTGCACGCCTTAACGGAAATGATACTTTCATGAATATGGCGGATACACTCGCGAGAAATCATGATAAAAGCAAATTTTTTTCTGCATAATACGCGCGCAAAGTTGCGCAACTCTGAGCTTTCATACTTTCTTACCCTGGCTGCAGATTGTGCACAAATTCTACCGCTGAAAGTGATTACACTGCGTGTTTACGCCGTGCGCAAAGGACACATTTGTTTTATTAGTCAATAACCCGTCGCAACCTGAAATAGCAGCAGTAGCTATAGCTTGGGTAATTTTCTAGAACTGTGCAAAAATTCCGCATAATTTGTAAAAAATGCAATATAAGGTGTGTGTGCAAAATTAGTATAAACCGCTTGCGGAGATTAGCGCGATTAAAATGCGCATCTCATAATATAAACATCTGCCTTGAAATCTCAAGCAAGACTTCGAGGATTTTCATTCGCACCTGATAACGATATTAAAATCAAATCTATGCACACGCTTCTGATATTTAATAAAGCCGCTCGATAAATTGCCGCGTCTATTTCGAACTTTTAATGTATTTTCAGTGCGATTTTTATATAGATTCTGGGCAGGCTAATATCTCATATGGATCGTCGACTGTCATCTGGAAAATCGTTTGTTTTTATTTTACAGCTTTGACGGTGAGATTTCTCACGAACAGATTTATTGGTGAATACGAAGAAAGTTCAGGTATTTATAAAACGGGCAGCGCCTGAAAAAGAACACCTGAACCATCACACCCCTTCATACGAGCAATTTATAACTCAAGCCGTGTATTCAACATGTTTTGCACAAAACGTGAAATCATTATATTTTACTGATATTACCATTTTTACAAAATGCCTCTGTCGACTTCCGGTGATGTTTAGATTTATTTTCTCCATCTCCGGAAAGAAACATTTTGTCATATTTAACCTTGTACTGCTCTTGCAAGCTGTTGCAAAAATTAGTTTAATGTCCGCACGTTAATCCAATAACATTAATAAAACAGGTATTAAACGGGTATTAAAACATTACCCGTGCTAGAAAAATCTGCAATATCTAATAAATGCAAGTCTATATGTGCTTTTGAGCACGTTTAGTAGAAATATCTATAAACCAGCAGTTCGTAAGACCGCCGTCACGTAGCCGCATAATCAATTGTACTAAAGGTCAAAGCAATACTCTATAATATGTAATATAATTTCAGTGTGGCGCAATTAATCTGTTCAACTTACTAAAAATTATAAAAACCTACACGTACGGTAAAACGTCGGTTTTCTAATATTTTTTGGCCAATAAAATACCGATGCCTACAAATATGGTGAAAAATATTTTCGGTCCTGTCATTTTGAAATGCGCACTATTTTTGGCATTTGCGCGTAGAGATAGGACTAAAGATGAACAGTTTTATTCTCATCATGTCCCATTAATTGCAACCAAAAATGTTCAAAATGTTAATCCGTGTTAATGAAGACACATTCTCTGCTATTTTATGACTAAACTAAAGTGTCTTTTGATTGACCTGTACTGCAAAGCATCTTGTAGACTGAGTATTGTTCAAATAACTGTGTTCAAATACAACTTCATAAAACGACGTCGGACATTCACATACAATTAAAATCGTCAAGATGAAAAGAGTCAAGGTGACTTGTATATACAGGTGTGAATATTTGGAGAAGATTGGAGCATGCCCTCAAAAATAACCACAAAAAAACACGAGCATAACATGATATATGTTTGTAAAAAATGCGGAACTAAGCATAACAACTGCGCGTCATATAAAATAGAAATATTACTAGCAAGAATATTATAAATTAGATTGACCACGAATAGTCTGCGTGCTAGTCTGTCGACGACTCAATTAGGATATTTGGATGTATTTTAGAGCATTGACAATCTCAAGTGCTAAAGCATGTTTTTCAGTGCATAGCCTAGAATATTTTTACGCATTGCTCATAGCCACAGCATCGAGAGATGCGGCTCTCGTTAATGAAGATGTTACAACTTATCTGACCCCCATGGGTCCGTGAGAACAATTTTGTTATTTCGATAAACTTAATATTGTGCATAAATGACCCACATTCAAGAACATATGACCTATAAATATGCTTAACTCACGAAGACTTTACTCAAGTGATATGATGTTTTTATTTAAGCAGGTAACTACATGATCTGAAAGCATACTTCATCAAAATGCTACCACAAACGACTAGAATTGAGACTTGATCAAATTGATCAAAAACTTTCTAATAGTTTAACGCGATGCGCGTATGTGCGTGTACGAACACGCAATTCGTTTTATTAAACTTGTTACAAACGACTTGCTATTTAGCGCAACACTCGATGCGCTGAAAATATTCTGTCATACATCTCTAGCGGAGGAACAACTGCTTGGCAAAATAGCGTAATCTAATTTACATAATTTGCGAGTTCGTACTCGGGATTTTTTTTTACCTTAATCGAAACCGCATATTGAGGAATATTGATATCTGCCGATATGATAAACATGCGCTCTTTGGCTTATTTATTAGTGAGGAAAAAGGGAATCGGCAATACGCAAAATAGAATGAAAAATTCAAATAAACATTGTAGACGGGATGAGATGTGCGGATGGGAATCATTGTGAAGGTTGTTTTTGACCTTAATATTGACTAGAAAATAAGTTGCGGTTAAAATTTGCGGTTTGCCGCTGAGTCGAGTGAAATACTAATATCGTTAACATGACTTTGTGCTGACTGGATAGAGTCGGCTATGAAGACAGTTTTCATTGTTATGTAGCCAGTTTAGAGAAATAATCTTTTAAATCCGAAGGAGTGGTGCATGACTAGCTAGTACGAAACACTATTTTAAGTGGCTATTCTGAAGTTAGATATTTTTTATTATGCATGTTATAATTCTTCTACTCGCATTTAATAGATAAACTACATTTTCCCCCGAGACCAAAAGCGTGAATTCGACACGCAGTGCTTTTGACCTATCGTTATCAATCTCTTGCCTCGATCCACGAAAACTAGCCTCGAATAATTCCACAGCAGGCGACCTACTGCATGGGGAACATTTATTAGCTAAAGCCTGAACGAGTTGAAAGATCTCTGTTTAATAGAACTATACTTGTGTCATCAACTTTCGTAAAACAACAAAGATGCTCAAGACGGTCATCTTGTATGTTGCATAAATCCTTTTGACAATTTCATATTTATAATTTCAACTGTTGAAATCCCTTCGCAAGGACGAAATGATTGGGCAGGCACGCGTCGGTGTTATTTTAAGCTGGTTTTTAATCCGATAGGATTTATTAGCAAGCAGTGTCGAAAAATTCGGTTTTTCACACAAATTAAAGGTTTATCACGAAGAATAAGGTGCTAGCTAGCAGCTTGCAGAAATCAAATTGACCCAATAATGGCCTTAATAGGTAATTATTACCATGATTACTAAGCGCTAAGGCAAACTTGATGACTAGAATCGACTCATGTGCACGAATTTTCTTCAGTCTCTCCAAAGAAGCAATATTCCCGATATTAATCGATAACCATCTGTTGTCTTTTAATGCGCAAAGAGCCCATTCAAATAGCAGTAGGAAAGAGTTTTTTTTTGTTCGGTGGTTCATTAGCCATACTATACCTTGTGCCTATGGCTGCTGACACCGTCGCGTTTTTTTGCACGTACGTACACCCACGTAAAAGCTTAAAACCTTCTAAGTTGTTGTATAATTAATTTCATACCAGAAAAAACACACCAAATCATCAACAGAACCAAACCCTTAAATGATGTTAAAGGCTTTTACGGGCGTACGTAGAAAAAAGCGACAGTGGAAAACAGCCTTAAATACATGGCCGGACTGCGGAGATTGGCGGCCAAAATTATTGAAATAAAAGTCAGAGAGTAACTGGCTATCATTTAGGACTTAGCACACCCCTCCCGACTCTGATATGCACCGCGGGCCCTAAAATATTCCTTCGTACGTTGTCTTTCGAAGGAAGAGACAAATTGATCTGACAAACTGATTTCATACTTTACGTCTCAGTGACGTAAAAAGCACGCACGTCCTCGTACGAACGCTTGTTTTTATTTCCCCTGGGCCACTCCCTGTTTTGAAAAGCGCACGAAGTCATTAGCCGGTATATTTTCAACGCATAAACGTTACATGGAATTTCCCACAAAACTAAATAAATTAAAATCTGTGCAGTTTGCCCAATATAAACATACTATAAACGATACTTAAAAAAGTTATAAATGATCATATCTGTAAGTAGTGTTAAGTAGATGGTGCTTGGTATTTCAAAGCCTTATTTTGGCACAAGCGCTTTGGCATTCATGTTTTTTTTGCCAGCTACAGATTACTAACACGCATATAGTCCAAAAGTGTATTAACAACCGAGAAACAATCTTAAGATAAGTTATTTTGCTGTTATTTTGTCGGTGACCCTTGCCGGCTGGTTGGGTTGAAGATTATAAACTGTTTATGCCGATTTATTGACAAACACAGAAGGCATGGAATACTTGATACTTGTCATTTTTTGCAATATACCAAGTGTTGATAACACGTCTTTCACGAATGGTAAAAAAAATGAGGTTCTAGAATCGCTTAGTCATATTGTCTGTATGTGAACTGAAAAAAACATGCATGTTCCCCAAGACCGTAACTAAGATGAACTTTTTTCACAATACATCAGTTGTAAACAAAGCGCAACTCAATTAGCAAACTGAATACCAGGAATACAGTTTATGTGCTTTTTATTATGCCGACGTGACACGGTGTGAACTGCATGGCAAAAATTAACACGGACAAAACTTTAGTAGCCGCAATGCTACAACTTTTCTTGCCAGCTACGTGACTTTTGGAGGTGTTGTTTATCACACTGATGTCAAATGACGTAATTATTCTATTGGGTTATTGCTTAACGAATTCTGAAAACTTTGCTGAAAAAGACAAGCCAAATGTCTCTAGACACTAAGAATAGACGCTTTCATCTTGACCTTATTCAGAAAACCACTAAAAGTAAACTGAAAATCTCGATTCAAGTCGCTGGAATTCATTTGTAGCTACGTAATTAATTTAGGTTTCAATCTTATCTTAACTTTTAATGGTTAGCAGCTGACCCAAAACTGCGGTTTGAAATTCGCCCCTCGTGGTATACTGTTAACGTCAAGATAAAGTTTCTTTTGCGTTCAGATGCGTTATTGTCCGCAATATTATGTTTACCCTTTTGGATGAAAAACAAGAACACTTAACCAATTAGCTGACACACGCGAACAAGATGTACAATTATTAGTAGTCTGACGTAGAGGTATTTCTAATGAGCGCTGTCATTGTCACTAAAAATATTGCTATGACATTTAAAATTGCGTAAATATTACGCTCAATGGTGACCGCAGCTCCTTACTCCCACGTTTCTAATTTGTATTAGGGACTGGGCAAAGAACGCGCGGGAACTACGTAAACAATAAACCATGCTAGATTTCATTTACACAAGTTCAATGTCAAATTTACTGTTTGTGTTCCTTGGTGACAGTAACTATACCGCTGACGTTATTGCAGTGTAGTCATGCTGTTGATTCGAATAAAGTGCGCACATATTAACAACAACATTTTAAACCGAACAAAAAAATACAGGCTATAAAGGCTGTTTTACAGCTCCGCTTGCAAAAATGCCGCCAAGTGAAAAACAATCCGAATCCTATTTCCGTATTTTGCATGCGCACTTTAATTAGGGTGGATTTCCACTTCCAAGAAATATTTCCATGACTCATTTTGAGTTTTGACTGAATAAATCAGTCAACTTGACTGATTCAATTTAAAAGAAAACGTAAAACTGAATATTATCAATCGAACTACTCCTCAACAACTAGAAGTCACCCCTTTTCCACGACTTCACCCACGACTTCACCCACGACGCACGACTTTGAAGCTGCAATTCTTTTGCTCTTTTTTATATACTTGCGTGTAAATATAAAATCTTTCGATAAAGTGAAAAGTACACAAACAGGAAATTGAAAGTACATTTTTTTATTCGATTATTCTCAGAGGGCGCTCGTTATACCCTGCACACAGTTTACATAAGCCAAGAAAAAATGTTTTTCTTTAGTATTAACGCTTTCGTACAAACCAACTTGACGTAAATTTTTCCGGAAATGGAATGAACGCAATATACATGTATGGAATAAATGAAAACAAAACCGACTTTGTTCTGTGGCTGTAATCGCCTATAGTTTATTTCAGTCGCAACTTCAAGGTGTAGACCCCCAAATGTGTTAAAGGAAATAGAAAGCTGCATGGGTTCCATTTCAAAGTATTGATCCCCTCTATGCAATGTACATTCATTCACAGCAAGACTCAGTTAGAGTTGACGGAAAGATTTGAGGTTCTTTAAATCCTGTTGGTAATGCCACACATGAACAGTCACGCATGCCAGTACGGCGTAGGGCGAAACGTGGATGCGAACGAACGATGGGTAAACGGGGATAAGATATTTCATCTATTCGTCCTGCCTTGAACCACTTAAACTTTGTCGAAAATGTAGGATGAAATAGAGTTCCAGCCGAATCTAATTCGAAATGTCATGAAAGTGTATTCCATTTTATTGCCAGCATGATTTAATTTAATGATTCCATGAATGTTTTACCATATGCTAATAATCACCGGAGGGTTGGTGAAGCTCGATCGTCTAGCCGACTCTAGCGAACATAGAAAGTTACATCAAAATACACGTGCGCCATGGTTTAGAATTTTCAGAACCGTTTCGAGTTTGGACACCAACAAGAAAATGATTTTACTGATTTTCGCGACATTAGCAGCATACTTCAGAGAACTATAAGTAAGCGAGGCGGTGCATGATTCTTAAGCATAAAAACATGTTACAAAATATGGTTCGAATACCCTGCTGCGGCTGCTCAAAATTTAACTTAGGGAAAATTTGATGGGCGTTTGAAATTTTAATGTAGGCGTTTATCGTGAGAATAGATTTAAAACTGTACTTCATAAGTTTTTGCATGTTAAACAGACTGAACAATAAATTGTAAGGAAAGACTTATATACTGGGGCATAATGCAGTAAGAACAGTACAGAGCCTCACTGGAGGCAGCCTGAACGCTAGCACTAGCAGGTACTAATACAAACCCTATTGAGCGCTTTAAAATTCTATTTTGGGTGCACCCATATAGTGATAGCTTGGATAAGACTAACATATGTGCGTAATGTGCCCGCCAGACAACTGTTGCTTGTCATTAAATAAAATGAGTAAAATGGCAAAATGAATTAAACAAAAGAACACTGTTTAATGTTTACGAAGTAGAGTCTAATTTACTTATCGTTGCTGATAGACAACATATGCGCGCACATGTCTTTGAATACACAAACATTATTAGAGGTCGTATTGCAAACTCGTTTGCTATTTTAAATATCATAATGAAAGAAAATTTGCTCATTGATTAATTGCTAATGTCGCAGTTGACAGAATTAGGGCGGTTTTTAATTAGTCTAACAGACTCTAACTCCTTTTACAGTTGTGCTTGTATTCACAGCGTCTACTACACGCCATAAAATCGCAGACGGCGCACTTAGAAACTCAATATAGCCGAGTTTAATTGGTTTAGTGTAACTATATTTATGTGTACAAAACGTTCTAGTATGTACTTACAACGAAAAACACTTTACACAACAAAGCACTTGCGTTTCGAAGTGGGAAGTCCAAGTGGGTTTTGTAGACGTTCTCACTCAGATTATTAGACATAGCTTGGAGCAGTTTACGCCTTCTGAAATGAATAACGTGAATAGATATATTGGCAATATGGCGACTAGACAAAACGCCTCCAAGCGCGCTGCGCAATATTCAAGTTGTTCTAACCTGTGTACGCCAACTAAAGCAGTCAAATCAAAAATTCACAAACCTAACACACCCATGATGCAAACGAACACAAAAGAAGAAGGAAACGACAATGAAATGAAGCAAATCTACGACATGTTTAAAACTGTCATGACGAAATTGGAGAAGCTGGACAGCATCGAGACAGATTTGAAGGAAATTAAAACATCACTGGAATACGCACATGCCGAAATAAAAGATCTGAAGAAAGAGAATGAAACAATGAAAGCGGACCAAGCGAAATCGAGTGAAAGAATCCAAAATTTAGAGCGCAACAACAACACGTTACGAGACAAAGTAATTGACCTTCAGGCAAGGTCGATGCGTGACAATCTGTTGTTTTTTAACATGCCTGAAAACGACAAGGAAAATACAACAGAAATGATCCACGAATTACTGGAGACAAAAATGGGGATGGAAGACGCAAGAAATAATGTAAAGATCGACCGATCTCATAGAATTGGAAGAAGGAAAGAAGGAAACCGTAAACCGAGACCTATTGTGGTAAAATTCAATTACCACCAAGACAGGGAATTTGTGCGTCTAAATGCAAGAAAGCTGAAGGGCACAACTATCGGAGTATCTGAACAGTTTCCTGAAGAAATTGAAACCATTCGAAAGTCTCTGTATCCCGAACTAAAGAAAGCCAAATCGGAAGGTAAAAGAGCCAGAATTGTAAAGGATAAACTCATTATCGAAGGGCAAGTTTTTAATTTTAACAGATGTTGAAATTTGATACGTTTATACTATAATATACTATAATCTTCTTATTGTGTATTTACCGGCCAAACAAACATTTACAGTAACTAAAAACCTTTTAAATGGCTACTCTTAACAATAAACAAAAGAAAACCTGCGCTTCTTGCTATAAAATAATTAAAGAAACGCAAAAGTCAACAGTATGTCTTACATGCGGTAAATGGTTTCACGCTAGGTTAGCATGCGTAAAATCATTTAACACCACTTCAGATATAGATAAAACAATCGATGTGTGTCAAAATTGTTTAATTGATACTTTGCCATTTCAAACGCTGGATGATTTTGAATTTGAATTTAATATTTTTAACGGAAACAATATCAGTGAAGACAATATGGATAGACTAAAGCATTTAAAATTCAACCCGTTCGACACAAATAATAATATAGCGTTGTCTGAGAACAACGAAGATTTAGATATAAGCCAGACTAAAATAAACTGTGAATATTACCTGCCAGACGATTTCAATCAAAAAACAAATAGAGCGAATCTTAGTAATACTAATAGCCTTTCACTGATGCACTTAAATACTAGAAGCATAGCTAATAAATTTGATTCCTTTAAACAACTTAAAAACTCATTCAACATACCGTTTCAAATAATTGGCTTAACTGAGACGTGGCTAAATGATAGTAATGATGATCTCTTTATGCTAGAAAATTACGATTTTGTAAATGCAAATAGATGCAATAAAAACGGCGGAGGAGTAGGTATTTACATCTCACACCAAATGAAATATAAATTACGTACTGACCTAAACTTAAACGAAGAAAACACTATTGAGTCAGTATTTATTGAACTTATAACAGCGGCTGGTAAAAACATAATAATAGGTGTAATATACAGACCACCAAACAATAAAATAAATGAATTTGAAAACAAAATTAATGAAATACTAGGTAAAATAGATAAAGAAAATAAGACATGCTATCTTATGGGGGATTTCAATATTGACTTACTTAAATCAGAATCTTGTGATTACACAAAGAGATTTCTAGAGGTATTATTTACATCATCATACATTCCACTTGTGTTGAGACCAACGAGAATCACACAACATACGGCCACACTAATAGACAATATTTTTACTAACGATATTGAAAGTATAGACTCAAGTACAAATGGCATTATCTTTTCTGACATCTCTGATCATTTGCCTATTGTTCACATACGAAGTTTGAAGACTCATAAAGAGACTATACCAATAAAGGAGTTTAAATGTGAAAGAATTATCAATGAGTCTTGTATTAAAGCATTTACTAACACCATCACAAGTATGTCATGGGAAAATGTTCTCTCTAGTAATATCACCACTGAATCCTATAATGAATTCTTTGGCTCATTTTCAACTGTCTATGATAAAAACTTTCCACTGACAAAAAAAAAAATTAAAAAAAGTGTTGACAAAAATAAAAGCCCATGGATAACAAATTGCATTGCCAAGTCTGTTAAGAAAAAAAACAAACTGTATAAGAAATTCCTAAATCACCCTATACGAAAGAATGAAAACATCTACAAAAAGTACAAAAATAGACTTAACCATGTTATAAAAGTAGCAAAAAAGAAGCATTACGAAGAACAACTAGCAAAATACAAGTACGACACAAAATTATTATGGAAAACACTTAACCAAATTATAAACAAACACGAGAAAAAAAAAAATATGCCGAAAGAATTTATCGGAAATAATCCTGATAAAAAAATTAAAGATCCTCACACCATAGCAAATAAATTCAATGAATATTTTGTGAATGTTGGACCAGAAATAGCCAGAAAGCTCCCGAACTGTGAAAGAACTTTTGATGAATTTCTAACGGGTAGCTATAAAAATAGCTTCTTCATCGAGCCTATAACCAAATATGAATTAAAAACTGAAATTACTGAATTAAGTATCAAGAAAAGCCCAGGGTACGACGGTATAAGCGCGAAAGTTATCAAGAGTGTTGCTAATCAAATTTCCGAACCTCTTGCACACATTTTCAACTTAACTTTTATTAGTGGAATTATTCCTGATGACTTGAAAAAAGCATTGATCACACCAGTCTTCAAAGCAAATGAAAAAAACGAGTTTAAAAATTATCGACCAATATCCGTTCTCACTTGTTTCTCAAAATTGTTAGAAAAGCTCATGTATAAAAGATTAATTAAATTTATTGAAAAAAACAAAATATTAACACAGCATCAATATGGTTTCAGAGAAAACAGATCCACTGAACTTGCATTAATTGAACTTACTAACAGATTAACTAAAGCAATCGATAATGGAGAATATACAATAGGTATTTTCCTAGACTTGTCAAAAGCATTTGACACAATTAATCACAAGATTCTGATTCAAAAACTAGAACACTACGGTGTTCGGGGAGTAGCTCAACTATGGTTTCAAGACTACTTATCAAATAGGCAGCAAATCGTCAAATACGATCAAATTAGGTCAAAAGAAATGTTAATTCAGACTGGAGTCCCACAGGGATCAATTCTTGGACCTATTCTGTTTCTATTATATATAAATGATATTGAAAATTGTAGTAAATTAGTTTCATTTGTATTATTTGCAGACGATACTAATATATTTTATAGTAATAATTGTCTTAAAACAATTAGTGAAACCATGCAAACAGAAATGAATAATGTAACTGAATGGTTAAATGTTAATAAATTATCCCTAAATATTACTAAAACAAAATTTATTATATTCAGACCTTCAAATAAAAAACCCAAGCATGAAGTTAAAATTACCATAAATAATATACATATTGAGCAAGTCAAAAGTACAAACTTTCTAGGTATTATCATTGATGAATGTCTGACGTGGAATGAACATATTGAAAAGGTATCAAAAAAAATCATTAGAGCCTCCGCTATAATTGCAAAAATCCGACATTTTGTCAACAGAAATTCAATTAAGTTAATTTACTATGCGTTAGTCTATCCATATCTTATTTACGGCAACTTGATTTGGGGTAACACCTACAAAACCAGGATTCAAAAAATAATGAATATTCAAAAAAAAATTGTACGATTAATGACATTTAAATCGTACCTGGAACATTCTGAGCAGATTTTCAAAGAGTTAAGCATCTTAGATGTCTTTAAATTAAATCATTATTTAACTGCTATGTTTATGTTTCGATATCATCATCTTAAAAATCTACCTGAAGAATTTGATAATTTCTTTGTGACCGGTAATCAAATTCATGAACATAATACGAGAAACTCATCAAAGATTCATAAGCGGTATAAAAGAACAAATTATGTAAAACATACTCTCTCAAATAATGGAGCTGATGTGTGGAATTCACTAGAATTAAAAATTAAAGACATAAACTCTCATAGCGTTTTTAAGAGACATATTAAAAAACATTTTTTGCTAAATACAGCATAATGGTTCTGAAAATATTCTACTTTTTATGTATATTATCTAGGAACTCGTAGCATAAATGTATTGTGGTATTCTATCTTCTATTGGTATTATAATTAATTTTTACTTTATCTTTCTTCTTTCTGTAAATAGTAGTACTCTAAAAATTATTTTGCTGATTTTGCTGATTTGATTGTACATATATGATTAATATAATTGAACTTTAACTAGGGGCCTAAATTGAAAAGCCTGTCAAGGTTTCTAGTAGGTCTCTAGCCCAAGATACTATAGAAAACTTATTAACAGGTATAGATGAAACTGTACATAGGGGAAATAATAATAAAATAACACCTGTGGCCGAACTCTACCGTCCTAACTATCTTCCGTCTACTGATAAGACACGAGGTCTAATGCCTGGCAGGATATTTACTACTTTCTATTAATATAGCAGCTGATAAGGTTTTTTTCCGCGCGCATGAAAGTCAGCAAATTGCATTTAGAGCAAGAGTTCGTTTTTTTTCTCCTTGTTTTTTTCAGTCTTTTTTTGCCAGGAGGTATTTTAAATTGCCGCTCTAATTAGCAATTGACCATAGTTTATTTCTCGGTTAACGTCAGAACTTATTTCTTATGCAGTCACCCAGATTTTTGTCTCGACAATTCAATCTACTAATAATCCCTGTCCTTTAGGGTTTGGCGACTTTGGTAGCCAGAGTGTGCGGTTACTGAGGCATTGAAATAAATCTTTATGAAACAAAACAAGCACATGATATTGCTGGAATGACTAAACCACTACCAGGGATCATGTTATATACTTATTTCAATACCTCAAAGTGATTTCAACTTTCGTTTAATCTCGGCCAAGCGGGATCAACTAAACAATCCCATAGTTGTTGTTAACGAGATGGCCGAGGACTCAAACTTTGGCTGCTATTGTCTCATAATCGGTTGACTTTCACTTATTTCACCGCTCGTTTTGTAGAAAGAATATACTCGCGAAAAATATCATTGAGCAGTCAGGATATAACATTTGAAGTACGAGATATTTCGTTAAAGAAGGTTAGTGTGTGAAAAATTAAGTTAATTATCGGTAGGACATTTTTTAATCAGTACCATTATAGAGGTGATGTATTTGTCGGTTGACCCTAAATGTGTAGCTACAAAGCCAATAACAGGGTCTGTCCACCATCCAGTTAATCAGTTACAGGCAGTGGAATAACTTCAAGGCGACAAACTTGCAGAGCCCCTCGTCGAGTCCAACCTACACTCGATTCAGTTAAATTCCCTTATATATGTGTGGTAGTATTTCTATATGATTAATATTAAAGGGGGAAATTCCTTTTTTGATCAGTGTCAGGGATTATATTTTAGGATTTATTTCGTAAGTACCCATTTTGGCTCCTCACCACTGAAGAATTCTAAGAATCCGTCGATGTAATCATAGATTCTTTATATGGGCCTAACTTTCTAAGCCTCAGACTGACAAATCACTATAGCTTGAAGATAAGCCAAAACTCGAATGGCCTGGTATTTCAAGAGTAAATGAATCTGAATTAATTCACATGCACTAAACATATGTTTATAACTTGAAAACATCATTGTTCAATTCATGATTAAATGTTTCAGCTCGCCTGTTTAGCTCCTGTTTGATAAACTGATGAACTTCACCGATGTATTCGCGATAGAAAACATACGGTATTTCGTCTATTCGTCTTTAAAAGCACAATTTGAGCCTATATTATACTTTTTTCTCATCAAGGTAGAACAATCGTCGTTAAAAGATGCCAAAGGCATTGCCTGGGGAGAAGGATTTGCAGTAACATATTCTATCACGGACAGAACGAGTTTTAACTCAGCATTACAAATCATCTCCGCGATACATGAACAAAAGAAAACGAGGGATGTCGTTATTGCTTTGGTTGGAAACAAAAAAGATTTGGAACATTTTAGATCAGGTGAGCTTCTTCACAAACGGCTGGAAATACCAATGCATGGCAATGGGGTCGATTGTATAATTGGCCAATCAGAATCGAGTAATACGATTTAACTACGGAAAATGTGATTCAGAGTTTTTTACAACCTTGCATTGATGCTAATAATTATTAATCATTCAAATTAGCCTCTGATAATTAGGTCATAATCGTGGTAGGTTATATTTTAGCAAGAGACGCTGACAAAAATATAGATTCGTTCAGTCTCCGGCAAAATAAAATTATCTGATGTACGTCTGGGTGGAATATCAGCAACATAGTGAACCAGAGGGGCACCTGGAGATGTCACGGGGTACCGCTGTATATCTGCAAACAGTGAAACAACTTATGAGAGCAATGCATGATTATCCGCGACGAATGAATGTTGCATTCCCTTAGTTTGGTTTGCAACGCTAAATATTCATATGTTCACGTTTAGCATTTATTAGTTTCTCTTTAAATTAATTGCTTCATGGTCTGTTAACATGAATATATGACTATTAGCCCCCCACCTATAACGATTTTTTGCGGCTACTGTGATGGTTTGGCTTGTAAAACTGTAATCTTAACCTACTTTCTTTCTACAGTCCCTCGAGAAGAAGGTAACACAGCAGCACATCAATTAGGATGTCTATTCTTTGAACTGTCAGCCTCAGAGGAACTCGATAACGTTCGTTCTGCTTTCTCGGCGATACTTGAGGGAGTCCGACGAAGAAAATTACGCTGGAAACCATCCGTTAAAAAAGTGAACTCTTTACCACGAACAAAAAAGACGAACGTTCGCTACTTAAATGTATTCTCAAAGTTAAAGCACGACAAAAAGCGACAGGTCTCGTTAAAATAGCTCAAAATATGGAAACGTGGGAAATGTCACCATTCGGATCGGAAAGCAATCAAAGCATACAGAGATGAAAACCAGAAATAATGTTCAAATAGATGCCCTTTAAATAAACCCTGATCTGAAAAATAGAACTGGATTCTGAGGGCTCAATTTCAAACCAGAATTGCAACCATGTAGAAGTAACTAACATCTCTCTTACTCCTCCTAAATATATCTCCAACATCAACCTTCCAACTCAAAAAGTAGGTCTTAATTTATACGTGTATATATATTAAAAAGGTACAAGGTGGAATTTTGTAAATACAATAAGAGTAATAAAGCACAGCGATGGTTTTAGCAGTTATATTATTTAAATAAATATGTATTCATTTTGTAAATCATAATACAAGAATACGACTTCAATGTATATTGTTAGCTTCTTAAATCTAGTGTTTTTCACCTGGTTATGTATATCTTGGATGATGCTTACATATATATTAATGGCCACAATGTTGAAAAGAAACAAGTAAAGTGTATTAATTAACATCTTCTAACTTCAAATGATCTAACCATGTGTCACTCCGTGACTGTACATTTTTTTTAGAAAATTGTTCTGGCAAAAGGCGACAACTTTTCAAACACAGACTATCGCCTGTATTCTAAAAGCTCACTAACACTCAAACTCATTGAGTGAAAGACCTCAGTCTTCTCATAACGTTTCCATAACGGTATTTCCACTGAAATAGGAACTTGGATCTTTCCACAGATTAATACAGAACTTTCTCATTAATCAGTGATAACCAAATTTCAATGTCATACTCAATGAGTGTGAGTGCGAGTGAGCTTTTTCAACACAGGCGTATAAGTAACCATCATAAAAGAATATCCAATATACACTTCACCTTACTAAATGTTAACAATGTCAATGTCAGTAATGTTAACGAAAATTATAATTTCAATTGACTGAAGCGGGTCATTTCTCAAAATTTTTGTACAATTTTTATATATCATTATATTTACCGTAGCTTCATAATTTAAACACATTACTTTAATTAGTTATTCTATTTCAATTTCGATGCAAAAATAACACAACTTTATATTTTATGAACCTTTCTTAATTTGAAAGTTTCAATTTGTTGATAAACACTTTAAGTTGCCCGATTTGGGACAAGATTATAATCAACAAGACACCTGGGAAGGTGGGGAAGTGGGGGGGGGGGTACATGGCATGCTCGTAAACACACGCGTGGAATGATGCATCACGATTATGGATCAAGGACTCCGAGTTACTCACGTTTGATCCTTTCAAATTTTCACACAAAAAAGGGAACCGTTTGAGTAGGGTCTACATTTAGCAAGGAAACTGATCAAGCGAAAGATTAGAAACCCGGTATTATTGGGTCGATTTCCGGCCATTTTTAAGATAATTTTTAGATAATGTTTCTTTCACATAAATTCACATCGTGAAAATCGTGAAAAGCGAAATGAATTATTATGAATTCTTATTCTGGCTCCTGTATTGCATTAATAACGTATGACCTGTTCTCGGAACTCCAGAGGCCTCTCTCCAAGAGTGTTGTTCACATTTCTTTGATCAACTGTACGTGCGACTATACCCCGGATATTTACGCGGGCATTTTAAAATTTAGTCTACGAGCACGCTAACAATTTGGGTCTTGTGATTCTTCCCGTAATTCCTCAAATCGCGACAATGAATTATTATATTCCTCACTCTGAGTGCTTGAACTGCGAGTTGATTAAGTGTACGCATTCATTTTTAACCTAATTCATGGGTATTTTTTTACAATTATGAATTTTTAGGTTTTTCAAACGAATCCGAGCTATCAAATCATTTCATCAGACATAAATAAATTATACTATGAAAATCTTCATATATATATACATACATACAGATCATGATGGATTTGATTCACTGATGGAGGGATTTTCACTCCACGAAAGGTGGGGTTTTCACCCAAGGGACTTTCGAAACGACAAACTTCAATTTGGTTTGACCAAATGAGAGCAGTACATTCAAACAAACGACAAGTCAACATCGCCAGGCTGATCGACAATGGCACCTTGGAGTAAAGAAGCAACATTATTATTTAAATTTTCATTGGCGTACATCCAGGGATGTATCAGCACTTGCAAATTAGTAGTAAAAAAGATGACAGCCGTCGGTTCATCTACAGTGTTTGCGGTTTTTTCTTTCCTATTTTCACACATTATGACCATTTACACGTGGGATCGACATACTACAATATTATTTATAATCAGGGTTTCCACAATGCAAGGAAATTTCCTTGCAATTAGCCATTTCCCAATCGAGCAGAGGACTGGGTTTAGTCGCGAACTGCAAAACATCTAGGGACTGTTTGGAGACAGGAAATATAAGTCTGAAGTAATTTGTCCCTCCAAACAGTCCATAGATGCCTCGCGGTTTGCGACTAGACCCAGTACCCTGCTCGATTGGGAAATGACTAATTGGCAACCACGAGGGAGGGAGGGTTCTGTTTTTTAACTTCTTTTCAAAAGTTCCATCCCCCTATGGGGACAGTCATATGCAAATAAGTTGTGGAAACCCTGTTTATAATGCTGAATCAACCACAAGGACAGCGAGTACCCATGGTTTTATTTTTGAATTATTACTATTGAATTTGGCCCATTTGACAAGATGGCGTTCCGAAGCCTGAAAAGGCGTCTTACGAGGGAAAACCGAAGCTAAACTAAATTTATATAGTTATCACCAACGTCTGTTTGTAGACTACAAATGTCGATTTCGATATTTAAAAGATATTTTTTAGTTTCAGGTAGTTTTCTCAAACAGCTTGAAGTGAATAAAACATTGAATACAGCTTTGATTATTGCGTACTGGCTTCTTGTATTAGCATAAGCAAGTTGAACAGTTCATACCTGTTGGTGAGTCGAGCACAGATATATAACACGAACCATTATCGCTCAAACATCGCTGTAATCCATGATGATGAGACCTACAGGGCGGAGAATATCCACTGGCTTTGTCAGAGCGAATATTAAGCCGATGTAAAGTATCTTTCAGAACTTTCAAAACGAAATCTGGCATGTGATCCGACCACATCAGACTTGAGATCAAAATCTCTTCGAAATCCTCGCTGGTTGACCAGAAAAGCTCAAATTCTTTTTCCTTGTTAAAGCAACGCCTTGTGGAAATTGAAGAAGACGCATGTTAAATTGGAGAGAATATATCATATGATAACATTTAGCGGGGACACAACAACAAGCACATAAAGGGTGTGTCATGCAAAAAAATATGCCGTAATTGGAATCTCAACGCCAGTGTAACTAATTATACTTCTGGGAATTGCAGATACGTTTTATTTGAATAGCCACACAAATTGAGTTAAAATGCAAAATATAAATATTATAATTATTTTTTTGCATTTAAATATTATAGTTCTTAAACTTTATATAATAAAGTTCGATCATGAATGGCTCAGACAATAACGATAGAACAAAGTTTGAGTGTCAAAAACCATATGCTTATTCAAACAAACTGATAAGCAAAAGATACAATCATGGCAACGAAATAGGGAACACGGCCTACAGATTTTATCAATTTCAATAAATAAGCAGAACCTTTTCCTGGTAAACTCGTATTGCTCCGATGGTCAAGTTGAATTATTTAGACAATGAGGAAGTGAAATAAAATTCTACTGTTAGTCTAATTTATTCAAATTCTTGAGCTCAGAGGTGAATGAACAACAAAAGACGGTTCATGTCTGGGACACACTGCACGTACAATAAAAAGGTACTAAAATTTTTTAAGGAACTAAATACTCTTGTGGTAAAAGAACTCGGTGAATTGCAATTCCCTGCATTTGGCAGGACGGTACTTGAAGGACCAGGGGACAGTTGTTCAAAAGCCGGCTAGCCTAACCCTGGGTTAAAGCATGAATCTTTACATCAATTTTTTTAATCTCTTGTTTACAAAGTTTTCATAAATATTTTCTGGACCGATAGAAGTCATGTGTTCTATAAGTTTTAAAACGAACAGTGTTCCTGAAGCACGTAAACTAAAATACTCGATTAAAATTTAACCCAGGCTAACCTAGCTTTGAATAACTGCTCCTGAAACTCAGCAGGGCCGTAACTAGAACGATAATTGGGGGGGGGGGGGTGTTTATTCATATATTCAGTTCTGCCCTACGGATTTCTTTTGTAAGTGCAATAGCTAACAATGGAAATCCGTCGGGCAGAACTGAACATATGAATAAACACCCCCCAATTATCGTTCTATTTACGGCCTTGCCTGCAAGGTGTTAGAAATTTAATTCCCGAACTACTGTAGCTTTGTCTCATTCTGAGTTGATTTCTAAGCAGCCGTGTTTACATCAAGTATTGTGCATGGATAGAATTAAGCTTGATTTTTGTAGACTTGGGGGGTGGCCAGAAAATCCAGCTGTTCAAAACAGGCGACCCTGATTCCCGAAGTGCGTTGTCTGAAAATCTGGCTTGAAGCTATATTGGTGTAAACACGACATTGGACGTCGTATCAGTTCTGTCGCGTCGAATGCAATCAGGACTATCAACCTTAAAAATTCCCTTTTGTTATTTAATAGAACTGAACATATATCACTTGCATTTTTTATGCACCCTGTGTATAAAAATGGGTTGATAATGAGGAGTAAAGATGCTTATCATCTCTATATCCCTATCTCAGTTGCGTCCGACGCGAATAAACTGTCAAAAACAGAAATGGGACATAAGATAAGACGATATTCACCATCCTTATCAGCTATTATCTACAGGGTGTCTAAAAAAGCGCAATCCCAGAATTTTTATAAAGCTACTTTGTGATTTAGAGCACATTTATTTTAGTTCCCTATGGCTGTTTTGCACTAGCCCAAATTTGTGCATCGAGCCGATTTTTGGGAAAAACATTTTTGAGAGAACAATTTTGGGAAGACAAACTGTAACTGAAGAGCAAAGAATGAGTTTCGGAACCTACCCTTTAATTGATTTCACTTTTGCCAGATGGAGGACTTTCCCGGGAGGATAGAAATCCGGAGTACTCGATGACTGTCGTGTGAATTCACGAAATTTCCTCTCGAGTTGATCCACGTCAGCGTCTGGTAAATGATTGTCCTTAGCCTTAGTTGGACCACAACAACAACACATCGTCGAACGCCAAACACAACGTCGTAGAATTTTCCACTGAAATAGAGAGCTTGAATAAAACTAATTCTGTATATAAAAGTTGAGCCTAAACAATGGATGTATTTTTGCATGCACTTCCTTAGTTAGCAGAGTTGCAAAAAAGCTGCGGGTATACACGGGTACCACACGTGAGGCAGGCACTATTGTGTTAGTTAACAATGCAACTAGCACCAGTAAATCTATAGTTTAATACCAGATAATACCTAGGAAGGCTGTGACTGATGTGAATGACGTGACGTCATGTGACGAAAGGATATTACAGGACTGAAGAAAAAACCGAGAACGTTGGGAAATTGCAGCTAAGATCATCCAAAAAGAATTATACTTGCGCCTCTATACGATTGTATATAACTATAAATATAGTGATTTCATAACTAAGCTACTGGGACTATCTACAAGTAACCTAAACTACATTGACAATTCGACTAGGGAGACCTGACACGAATATATTACTAAATATTTCGTTAAGTCGAACGTGTTCTTTCTATAGGCAGTAATTTATTATCGTTCAGTGGCTGTCAAGGGTCATTACAGGAGGAACGTCACTTAAATTTTAGTGTTACAGCACCTTGGGTTTCCTAGTGCGGGAAACAAGGAACAGAACGCGATCTCGTAAATCTTTGAGATTGTTTAAACTCATCCTATCAAAGAAGAGAAAGATTGAGTTTGTACATTGTTTGTACATGTTTTGGGGTGACCATAATGTGCACCACATCATAGTGTCGATATATATAGTGAGGTATAGGGTTATAGTGGGGTATAGGGTAATAGAGGGTTATGTTGGGGTATAGTAGTATGGAATTGGGTTGAATGAACTCGGCATTAATAAGCTCAACACGAAATGCTAATAAATAATACTAATAATAAATACTAATGCCCCCCCCACAAGAGTGAGCACAGAGAAAAGACCCTTGGTATGAGGGTGATGCTAACCTCGCTATCATGTCTTTCCCTATCACAACAGACAGGATGAAATCCTCAGCATACTTCGTAGCATCACTGCTCAATGTTGCGCCAGGCGGTGAATAAGCATAACAGAATAGATTGGGATATTTCTCTTTCAGTAAGATTGACAATACCGCAGCTGCACCTGCTCCCAGTGAATGACCTACGATAATCAGTTGATAGTTATTGCGTTCATTTGGCTAAAAAGGAAAATACATTTAGGATATCAGTGCACGTGTAAAGCTTCATTCGCAACGCAAATGACAAATATCTTGTTAGAAGTGGGGACAATTATACTTACAGGGCATTTATCAAAAGCTTCAGTCAATATTCCCTTGGTTTCCAGAACATTTTTCACGCTCAACGCTGTTCTCAGCATTCCTTTATGAGCATACCATTCGTCGTACATGTGACTTCGACTACAAGGGATTTTCTCCGGTTCCACTATCAAGTCTGTCAAGATATTCTGAAAAAAACCCCGAAAAGATTTCTTAGGAAGTTGTGTTCGAATTGTTGAACGTGCATAGCGCGTAAATAGCGCGTAAATAGCGCGTAAAATGTAAACAAACGTTATGATTACATTTTAAACTACCATTCTTCTACATAAATATATCATATCCTGTCAGAATATCTAACAAGATTTTAAATGTTGTGGAATTCCTTAATCACAGGGTATGTACCCTTTCTTTTGTGTAGGGCCAACGCGCAAATCCTTTTCTTACTCAAATAAAAAATCTACCGTCTTCGCATTGAGTTCTCTTTAAAATCGCGTAGTAGCACGAGTTTTATAATACCAGAAAAAATTATTTTACCAGTTACTATTTATTTACTATTTTTTACGCTTGCATTACTTGCGTCGAAAAAAGAACTACAAAGCTACCTGTAGGGAGAGAGTTCCTCGTATCGAAATGATGACAGATTTCTTTGCATGATCAACAGCCACGTAAAAAGGACTGACATAGAGCTGAAATTTATAAAAACAGATCATGATATTTAATGACTTTTAGGTATTTAATTGACTTATACATGCATTATTCATACAAGAGTACTAGCCAAAAAAATACCTCGGCAGGGTTATGCACCCAACTCTAACCTACTGTCTCCTGATGACTATTTAATGATGACAATCTCTGGTCAAAACTATATTTCACTGTCACCACATGTGTATGGTAGTACTTGGTAAAAGATTTCGGTACATATGAGACTACTATACTATATTAGAACTGAGTGCCCTTTTTTGTTAGTGCTCCCTCGCTTTCTAAATGGTTCCACGGCACTTGCTTTGGATAAAACGGCTGGTACACACACACCTGATGACTATTTAATGATGACAATCTCTTGTCAAAACTATATTTCACTATCACTGTTTCCACATGTGTATGGCAGTACTTTATATTAGAACTGAGTGCCCTTTTTTGTTAGTGCTCCCTCGCTTTCTAAATCGTTCCACGGCACTTGCTTTGGATAAAACGGCTGGTACACGGGCTAATGTACAATGTCGACGTCTTATACTGTATACTGTTTTCCATGTGTATTAGAAAAACTACAGTTTCTTAGTGGTTTTTCATATTTTACTTATAATTACGTGTATTCCGAGAATTACAAACATACTGTACCTCATCAACGAACGAAGTATAGATAATCTGGACATCTTCAAAGAAATCACTCAGTGTTTGCTTTACAGCGGAGAAATTGCACTGACAACAATTGTCTTCAAGAACTGGACCAAATTTCGCTTCTTGCTTTCGACAGGAATAACAACACCTATAAAGAAGAATGTATATATCTAAAGATGCAAAAGAAAGCTATTGTTGTTCTAGGCGAGATACTGTCATCGTTCACGTTGTGATTATTGCGTGTTACGGTTGTACTGTTGTTGTTTTTGATGTTTATTTCAGTAACGCTATCGCAATGGTAGTTTTGTCGCAGCATTTACTGTTGCTATAGGGCTCGCACCGTAGCAACTGTTGTGCACTTATTGTGTACTTATTGTGTACCTCATAGTACTGGCCAGAGAACAACAAGCACATTTCAAATCAGTCAGCAAATACACAGGCCATCCGTACGCTCCAACAGCATAGTGAGCGTAATGCACTACATCTTCAAACAAACGACATTCCTCCTAAGGGAAATCGTTTAGAATGATTAATTTATGTACTGAAAGCTACTGTTTACCATAGTAAACGATGCTAAAATGGAGAACGGATTTCATATTCTTGACCTACAGTATACTAACCCGACTTTCAATCGTGAAAGGTTTCGCTTTCCTAGTCTTCTGGAAGCTGTTTGTCACCTTTCCTTTTCCTGGCTAAAAAAGAAGCAGTTATTGAAAGAGGCAGTTATTACATGTTTATAGTACAGGGACCGGTTGTATTAAGCCCGTTTAGCTTAACCGGCGATAAGTCAACACTCTTAATAACACTCTTACTTCTCTCTTGGATGAGTCAACTTGAATGAAATTTAATGATACAGTACCTTGCATACCATTGGTAACGCATCGGCAAGACATTGGTACACGAGTCGATTCTCTTCCCTTTTTTGAATCAGTCGAAGTAAAACTAACCCAGCTGCAATATCACTTGGGACGACGTCTAAATCTTGGAAGAATTCTGACAAAGTCCTAGAAATGTAAGCTACTTTCAGTCGACTTGATGATTTCTGTTCATCGACAGCCGGTTAATTTTACAATACTTTGGTGGGGGTCAATTTGGTGGGGGGCAATCGCACTGCTTCTTTCAATAGCTTGCAAAAGAAATCCATCGCGCAGAACAAATATATGAATATGAACCTCCCAATTATTCCACTATATCACGTCCTGATTTAGACTGGAATGATAACCCACGTTACTCAATTGGCCGCCATCTTTAAAGACAACCCGAATTGAGAACCAGGCCAATCCCTCCTTATTGTTTTTGTCAGCCCGATTGAAAACCGAGCCATCCAAAACAATTCACATGAACTGGCATTTGTACTTCAAATACATCGAGTTCACTGCTTCCTTGATAAATAGCGAATTCCAGCGGTTAAGACGTAAGTGATCTGAATAGGCTATCTCAACTTTTGGAAAAAGCGGTTGAATTTGGAGTGCCACTTGAAAACGTAGGCGTTGTAAAGCGGTCAAAATTTGCGATTTGCTATTGGCATTTTAAAGAAAGCGAGTTTTACGTCTAGACTAAATTATTTGCAAATGCCGCAATTACGCGTCTTTTCCTATTCCTAGTCAAATTGAAAGTTGTCATCGTCGCATTACCATGTGCATGCTTCGTTTTCTATGTGCTTCGTTTCCTATTAGCTCCTTACCGAGGGAATGACATCATTCTATTTTAAGCTACTTACATGCCAATGAAACCATATATGCTCTGATCATTCATGTTATCGTTCACACCGGAGCATGCGCAAAAGCATTGGAAATATTCCTTCCATCTACTCATGTAGCGATCCGAGATCTGAGTTCTTATCGTGTCGTAATGTTCGGTCCGAGCGTGTTTCACCATCCGCACCCAATCCTTGCCTGCTGAATCAAAGCTACAAAACACCAACAGGGCGACGAATATTAAGAACATCCAGTTAAAAATCACTACGCCTTTTGATATCCTCCAGCCTGGACTCGATTCACATTCCTCTCCATCAATAAAAATCCATTTTAGGCCGAGCGAAAGCCAGAAAATTTCAGTTATGCTGAAGCAGAGTCGGATGTACAAAACCGTTGGTATCACCTGACGAGGCGTGTCATCCATAATAGTGCCTTTAAATGATACAGAAAAACGAAAAAATTTTAAATTTCTTGAAAGGCTACCTGCTTGATGTTTTTTTCTTCTTAGATACAGGCATCTCTCCAGGAAAGAATTTCCAGGAAATGGACACTTCTCTAATGAAGGCGCCTCTACTTCTAATGAAGACAAAACTCTAATACAGGACACATTTTTATAAGGGCTCCTCTAATGAAGACATTTCTCTTACATGGACACCTCCGTGATAAGAAACTCTTGAATAAATACATTTCTCTAAAATGGACATTACTCTAATAAAGACATTTTTCTAATGAAAGACACCTCTCTAAAAAAACGTTTCTAATACGAACTCCCTGATAAAGTCTTCTTTCTAACGAATAAACCTCTCCAATAGAGACAACTCTCCAATACGGAAAACCCTCTCCTATACCTTCACCTCTAGTCCAGCAATTCTCTAAAGCCACCGACCCTTCATTCTGAATTTTTATAACAGACACGCTGGAGGCTACTGAAATACTGTCAACAGACATCTACAATTGAACTCCTCGTTGTATTTACATTACCTTTGCTACTAAGCCAAGACACTAAGAATTCCACTAGGTTAGTGGCAAAGAGTAGTACGATGTAGCCACTTGTAAAATAGTCGAACGTCGATTCACATTCAAGGTAAGCATCTTGGTCAAATGAATGATAAAGAGCGAGCATTACACCAAGTGAAATCATCCTAGGAAAGAAAAACGTGGTTTGGGTGAAGAAGCATACTAAACATCTATTATAATGTACTGTATCACATCTACCCCCAACATGCAGAACTTAAATTTTGTGTTACATAAGCAATGCATGAGGAGGTTTACACAGTCCAAACATACAGTTCATAGGTTTTTGAAAATAGTTTACAGGCAACTTATTAAACATTGTTATCATCACATCAACCTTTGCATGGTCTACCTTCAGAAGATTACATCTAACCACTGCCCACTATTATTATTTCCCACATCCAGTTAATTAAGGGCCTCATTAAATATTATCCAATCATAATAAGACTTTGTTATTTCACAGTTGAATATTACAAGTAGTCTGATTATAATTTCATCTCATGGATATTAAGAGCTTCAGATCTGGCATGACTTAACCAAACACCACAGGCTTGGTACCCCTGTAAGCAGCAAATACTTTCCACATATAAAAAATGAATGAAGCTATATAAAATACAAATTTGAAATGAATATTTTAATATGAAGTTTTCATTAACATATTACAGAAAATTAAGGCAAAATGTTGTTACGCAAATATATATATATATATATATATATATATATATATATATATATATATATACTACGCACAAATCCAAGATTATATATATATATATATATATATATATATAATAATAATAGATATTTATAGATTGATACAGGCCGGTTTAATCTATTTTAGCATAATTACAAATTTTCATTACCTTCCATCTATGAAAATTGCCTAAGGCTAACATTACTTGTAAATTAAATTGCAAATTCTGATTGAAACAGAGATGAAACACACTAAGAACAAATATGAAATTTGGCAATGGCATCTTGTTACAAAGTGGTTAACTAGTGTTTAGTAAGCCCTGAGTTATGCACTTGTTGAACCAGAGGTCTTATACAAGCGAACAGCAATCATGATGATTTTTTTACTTCCTGTTTATACCATACTGTTTATACCTGCGATACTAGTATTTATTAAAAAATAACATGTGTTAGACCCATTCAGTGCCCTGACATTGACACAACTAGCACCTTATTAAGAGGGTTGGATAATCATACATTTGTTCCATGCTGACCTCTTAAGAATCCTTTAATAAAATGGATTATTTATTATGGTCTGTGAATCTGAATATACAAATATGCAATGCAACATAAATACTCCAGATACAAGAATATTCACAGAATATTGTAGAATATTCAGTAGAATATTCAGTAGAATATTCAGTATAAATATATAACAAAAATTAAAACTCAGTGAAACAAAAGAGGCTGTGTAATCAACACTTGTAAAAAGGTCTGGCTGAGTAAATAGGTCACAACTGGAGCCTCAGATTTATTTTAGTAATTTTTGTTGACTGTCACATTAGTATACTACTTGAAGAGCAATCCAAGACAAGGGAAGTTTAACTTCCTGAAGGTCACAGTAAATATAAGAAGATATGTATGATAATTTAATTTAAACAAAAATGACACATTCAGAGTGTTCAGGACCATATGCTCTGTTTCAACTGTTAAAGACTCATAATCTAAGACGTTTGTCAACATTGTTGTCAGTTGCTAATCTGTAATGTAACAATTATCCAAATTCTAAGCTTGATTTTTTATTAGAAATTAGTTTATATCTAATACTTCACAACGATTTGATTCGATCATCTTACGCATAACAATCCCTTAAAATCATAACAATTTTTATGAATAGAAAACTTTACTAATTTCGAATACATTGGTTTAAACAATGATTTCGTAAGCGTGTTTGATATCATTTAATACTTGAAATGTAATCTTATTTGGAACATCCCGATAACACAACTTTATATTTTTATGACTGTAATATAAATCGGAGCAAACATCTTATTTAAATATTCTTATTCTATTAACTATAAATATACATACCATATTACACGTAATACAAACGCGATTCCAAAGGGTATCACAAAATCATCACTTCCAACAACCCAGCGACGGTTAAACACGACAATTCCCGGCATTTCGACAAGGTGACACTTCGTTCTTCTCTTTCTGCCATATATAAATACAATTCAGCCCACTAAAACACTCCAAGTAATAAAATTTGAAAATATGCCTTAAACAGCTGCATTTTTTAACCACAAGATGCATTATGTGCTGTGCTATCGGTCATTTTTGTTTATCGGTTGCCCGGCATGCAATATTTATTAGTCTTGAGACATGCCGAACCTTGTTTTCATTTTGGATTAAAATTACATATTTCGGAAATAAACTTATACGTATAGCACATCACATGCATGCATACTGTAAACATTTCATCCAGGCTGACATCCACTGACATTCAGATATCTGTTGATTTCTGTCTTTCTCTAAAGACAATTTGTGTTGCATCGAAAATGAATTCGAAATTCGTAAGTATCACACTGATTTACATTTTAAAAGACAAAAGGTCACCTAGTAATTTTGACGACTGTTGCTGGTTAACGATTTCAAAACTTTTAATTTTTAATTAAAATTATTAAAACTCAGGTCAAAGAAAGATTCGTTTTAAAAAAATGGCTTGCAGTCTCCAATAATCACGCCATATCTGCACCACCTTTGTCCTCGACCGACCAGCGGTTTAGAAAAGATGAAATTATTATTACTATCTGTGGGGATTATCATAGAGTGCGGAATTTCATTCACAAAATACTTGACGCTTTTTGGACAACTTTTTTACACATACCGTCTGTCTTATGTGATGTATATGACGATTACCAATATACCTGATATATAATGTGACGCTGCAGGACAACTACATGTCTTCCCCCAAAATATTAGATCGGTACCGAAGTCGGTCGGCCATCATTTTCTCAGTACTATGCAAATTATTTCGCGCCAAACAAATTACGGCAATGAAATAGTAATCGTGTTTCTTATCACGAAATCGATGTTTAACCAGCCTGACAATATAGTCTGCTGACTGGTATTTAAATTTTTCGTTTCTTTACAAATTCATTTTCACGGCCAATGAACATCAAAATATTAGCATATCAAAACTACATTGTCATTGTCAGGCTACGCTTCTATGTTCATTGAAAAGTAAAAGTGACATAGGCTCCCCCGACTGACCAACATATTTTTGTCAGACTCCAATTTAGTACAATGTATGCGTGGGACAAATAACTTGAATCGCTGGTTTGCCAGCATAAGCAACTTTTGACACCGCCTGAAGAAAAAACTCGATAACTGCTTTGCCGTACTATGGCCGTACGCACGAGAAAAAAAAGAAAACGCCTTGAGAGGTTGATAAGACTTGTCAGGGTCAGGGTCAGGGGAAAATTATCTGCGATCTGACTTGCTTGTTTAACAGGCTGTATAGTGCCACAAGGCAACAAGGCCGAATGTCCCAGATAAGGTCAGCACCGAGGAGTGAGTGCTATTGGTAAGATCTTTATAGGGGGTGATACAGAAGAAAGGTCTACACAGGAAAGTGAGTGTCAGATCAGCCAGAGGTAAAGTCTTCATCATCTTTGTGATTGAAGACCAACACGATCAAATGTTAAAGGCGCGTACAAACGAGAAAATCACTTCAATTTTTCCAGATGATTTTTTCCAGCCAATTTTTCTGTGAACATCTTATTAAAACAATTTAGAAAGTAAAAGAGAAAATTAGACCGAGTCTAATACGTAACTCGCTGATAAGTAAGGTATGCAAATTTGCGTATCGTATAGATGCCTATCGCGTTGGAATAGAGCTCTCTGAAATCAGTATTATATATTAATTGTATTTATACAAAAATTTATATACACAGATAAAATATCTATACATTTTACGAATTATATCAACTACAAAAGTACGAATGAGTTTTTACGATAGAAAAAGAAATATATAACTTTGAACGCAGGGAACTGACAGTGCTGATTAATAATTTAAAGCACACATCAAAGCAACACCGCGTTTAATCCAATGCTGTTGGAGTTTGCTGCTTGGGACTTCAATTGACAAGACGAAGTTTGTCGAATGGCCAGTCGTTGAAAGCGTTCCTAAAATGACAAATATCGTGGTTATCAAAGACGTTGCCAGCCCAAAACTATACCAAAAACCATACCGAATACCGTACCATACATTACAGTACCATATCATACCATAACTTTAACATAGCATATCATACTATATCACACCATATCATACTATATCACACGATATCATAGCATACAGTACCTGCTCTAGTCAAGGTCTTATACACAGGGCATTCGTATATTCCAGTTACAGGTTTAACTCTGTTAGCCGTAGGCTTAAGCCAGATTATTGGCATATCTGTATAGAGTTCTTTAGGCTTCGACTCTGCCAGCTCATGTTTGTCTGCACTCCAACGAGCCCCCTCAAGGAAAAGGCCTCGAATATAACACCCGTTTTCAGGCCGAGATTGTGGTTCAGATGCTGACTTGGGTAACACCTGCATTAGAAACGACTGAGGTTACTTCACGGTGGATAAATATCGAGTAATGCCCTTAGTGTTTATTGGATATTTTGTACCATCTGACTAAGATGACAGATTGCAAAACGGCTGTTTCATTCCATTTCAACAATTGTACCTCAAAATTACCTCAAAATCAAAGGTGATTACATCGATTGAGATGGACGAAGATCTGGCATAATTTTGAAGGGTCCCGGTGAGAAATCCTTGCGGGAAGAAGAAGCCTGAGATCCAAAATACCTAAAAACAATACCACAAGAGTTAGACGACCTCTTCCGGACCTCCGCAGGAGCTAAGAGGGTATTTCGAACAAAAAGGAAATATTTCTATGCACAAAATGCCTGCGCAGGGCAGCTTCAGGTAAATTTCATTTGATCGGTATGGGTTGTATTCAGACTATAAACCACAATAATGAAATGAGTTCAGAAATGTTTACGGTTCATGGTGATATCAAAAGAATCAAGAACATATGCTTGCTACCTATCTAAGAGGTTATTTTGGATCGTAATCGGCTATCGATAAATTGGCATTGATAAAGCAGTGGAATTCTCACCGGAGGTATTCCGAGATCAATCCATTTTTGAATAAACGCAACCCTCGCTATCAAATCGGTGACCCAGGACGAAAGTGGCTTTAACGATGGATATGCCTGGAAAAAAATAGAATGAAGATATATTGTGTAGTCACCCCAGCTTCACAATTAGATGCAAGTAGTTGATGAAAAGTAGCGGAATATCTGCACGTAGTTTATTAGTTTTATAGAAAAGGACCGTAACGCACGTGTGCCAAAACGTAAAGGGGACAACCTAAATACTCTGTAATGCTTCAATTACTAATACACAAAAGAGAAATACAGAAAACAATGATACGTTAGGTACAAATACTAACACGAACCAATGCAAATACCCAGAACAGACTCCAATAGTCGCCCATTTTCCTACCTTACTAGCCCAGAGATCAGGCACAGCATTCTTATACAAGCTATCCACCATCGTTTCCAGAGCTTGTGACATCACAACCAAACCTTTCAACGCCTTCAACATCTCATTTAAAGAACTGCGAATGGCGGTCAGTAATTTGTTGTATCGGATAACTTCTTGCGTCAAAACTGTGTTCATGGATTCTTCGTACTTCACCGGATACTTCTCCATGACTGGTAGAATTGGTATAGGAGCTGGGACTTTGTCGAGGATGCTACGACCAATTTCCTCCACAATCTAAAAGGAAGTGTGGCATTGAGTTACACGCCTGGGGCCATAGCAATTGTGTTATTACTGATAAATGAGATATTATTACTACAACCACACTACTACTGAACTTAAGGTAAAACACTGAAACAAAGCTCTCATTCAAGTGGAAATACCGCAAAGGAATAGCTATGAAGTAATTGAGATCTCCCACTCATTGGGTTAGTGTGAGTGATCTTTTAGAATTATACAGGCAATAATCTGTCCAGTAAAGTACGAGAGAGCATCGTGCCAGGTCCCCTGTGACAACACGTAAATACATGCATAACAGTTCCAAAGAGAATGTGCATATATTTACTAACGTCTTCACGTGATTTTCCTGCGCCTGCGGTAGTTTTGGGCTGCATAGCCAGTATTCCATGGAGGAGATCAAATGTCTCATTCTGGGCGAAGGTGATGTTTGCGTTTTCATGCAAACTGAAGATTTCTGGTGTGTCGTTGATCGGCAAACCTCGGATATAATGTAGATAACCCTAGGGGAACAGGAAAAATTAGTGATTTGTTTCAGCCTTCGCGAGATTGATTGTTGCATGGCTCTTATGTATCCGTTGCAAAAAACCATCAAACGTCAAAACAACATTACCTCATGTGGTGTATCGCCCTTCAATTGATGATATACTCCAGCCTCTGAAAACGGGTGCCCAGGTTCCAGGACTTCTGACTGATAATAATCTGCCAAGATTGTCATGATGCATCTTCGATCCCAGTCATCCGTGACGCGGCCTCCGTAGTTGATCTGACCTGCCGTGTACTTTAAAACCTGAGGAAAGAATGAAAAGTTTTAGGACCATTACAACCATGTGTTATCACATCAATTAAGCAGGTTTAGTCATAGTTTCCAGTCTGGTTGGAGCGAAACTTTATGGAGGTAATATCCAGTAAGAAAAAACAAAGTGCAGGTTTCTCTTTTAAAAAACTGTTTAAATATTAGACCTCTAATGATTATACTTACTAACCAGGAAGAGGTTAGGAGGAGTTGGCCGAGCAGGTACTTAGAGCACTACTTTCGCATGCACTTAAAATCAAATCGTGATGCAACATCATAACACACCATCAATAAATCGTACCTTATAAGGAACTCCTTCATACTCGTCCAGAAACATACTCAGTTGACTGATACAAATCCTAAGATCTCCTGTAGTAAACTCGTACGGGATATTGAACCCAAGAGGACCAAACTTCCGACGTTCAAGTGTTACCCCGTGGAACAGACATAACGAGAACAACAGATACTTGAAATCTTCAACCTTAATAGAAACATTTCAGCATGTGTGTTATTCGACTTAGTGGGAGGTCTAGCTGTAAAGCATGCTTTACGATCAATTTCTATGTTGCTGGTTTAGGGTAGGAGCAATAGCGTGCAGTGACTACAGTACAATAATATTTCTAAAAAATAAGTCTTAGGTTGATAAAATCAAACTCGGCAGCATGTGACGCAGGAAAAGTCCTACATTCGACCACCCGCAAGAGCCACGACTCGAAAATGACCTTACCCGTTTACATCCGGCATAGAATTCATCACTAAATCCAGTAAATGATCTGAGAAGGTTTGCCTTAATTCCTCGAGGCGGTTCAACTGTCATCTTGGAGCCATTTTGAAGGATTGAGACAGGGAATTTAGGACTGGGCATACTGGTTAACCAAAGTCTAAAGTCACGATGAACCTAAGAAGACATCATTACTCAATCATCATCAGATAATCAATCATTCAACCAATCAATCAATCAATCAAAGAATGAAACAATCAATTATCCCAACAATTAATCAACCACTACTCTACCTTATCCACGTCAATATTTTCAATCAATCTTTCCAATGTGGGCATCCAGCTTGGCGAGAGATGACAATTCTGAAAGAACACCCATTTCCCCCTCTCCATCGCAGAACGCATCATTGCCTCAGCCCGTGGCCCCTGCCCCTGACCCAGCGAGATGGCGTTCAGCTTTTTAGAGAATCGCATTTCCTCGGCGAACTTGTACAGGTCTGCGGCTGGGTCGGTTCCAGTCGAGAGAACGAAGATTAAAGGACACGTGGGTGACGAGTCTTTGAACACCAAAGAAAGGTCTGCGGTCTGAAAGGGTTGAGGAAGAATTACAAAATTTAACCACTAGCGGAAAAAATGTCAATAAATGTCCTGAAACAGAATTTGCGATTGTGTCTTGCGCACAGGCACCTTGCGCTACGTGAATAAACCTTATATGAAGTATGTTACCTGTGGTTCGATAAACTTTTGCCCAAGATGTTCGGCAACAAAATCCTATTGAAAGAACAAGTATGAGACATCATCAACGCCGGCTGACTCTCTTATTTCTAACGGACGATCCAATTAGCGTATATAAGCTTTATATATTGAATATAGATATTCACAAATTCTATTACCTGCATCGCGTTCGTGACTTTGTCGGCGCGCAGACAACGTAGAACAAGGATTTTTTGGAAATGATCCAAATCTTTGTCCCACGAACCAGGCATGGGTTCCCTGCAATGATAGAAAAATACCTTAAATTTCTACACTAGCGCTTGATTTCTGCAATATGCAGCTTATTATATCTTCATCTGAGGAACACTTAATGAAAATACCTTTATTAAACAAAACTCTAAAGGGGAAGATCACAAATGTCATAAAGTTGTTGGAAAGATAATTGAAGTCTCTTTTGTTAAGACACTGGAAAGGAGACGTCTTTTGTATACTTCCAGGACGGACATGCACTTTGGGACTGACAGTGCCGTCCAGTATAAAGTTATATCTGACTCTTTAGTAGTAAAAATGGAACAGTAGGAGATGATTCTCCTGATGCTCGTTAAAAAACAGTTTGAGAGTAAGCTATAATACAGAAAAAGGCTTAATTTAGTTATGTTTATATATATATCTCACCTGTGCGGTTCAGTACTGTCAAAGATTCTTTTAAATCCCTGAAGATGTTTTCTGAAATCTTTGGCAAACCTCGCAAACTTCGTTAGCGCCGGTAAAGTCAAGATCTCATTCCAAGCTCGCTCCGAGATCCATTCCTCGGCAGGGTTGGGAACTTGTTCCGGGACAGTTGTTCCGCCTGCTAGGAGATAACGCCATTCATCCTTGAAAATGAAAATATACAAGGCTATAAAATATATATAAGTATATGAAGAAAACCAAAGGAATAAGGAAGAACATAAGGAGGCTAACAGGGAAATTACCGCGGTATTGAGGTATTGAACATTCAGCTCACATTTTTGCACTTCCTTCGTCATCATGCAAGTAAAACTTTAAAAAACGTTTGTTCGCGTCTAATATTCTGTGGCTTTTTATCGTTTTGAGAGCTGCTTTTAGCTCGGAAAAGAGAGACGAGGGGGGTTGGTGATTGCGTTCTATCCGTTGCCAGTGGCGTAGCCAGCCTGACGATTTGTCCCGCTACGCTAATATTTTGGTGTTCATTGACTGTGAAAACAATAAACTTCTAAGGAAATGAATATTAAAATAAATCGTCAGGCTGGCTACGCCACTATCCGTTGCCCCTCCTTAAGGCAGCTTATGGTGTGCGAATAATCATTATTTTAATCATTTCCTATTCATGCATATATTTATCTTTTTGCCTGCTCGACAAAATCTGATATTAAACCCAACGCACGTCATGGAGCTCTTTTAACCAAAATGTTTTTCCGCTTTCCACTATCTAAAGTATGCCTCAAATGCAGTGGTATTAAAAATTGATTATGTCCAAGATGGCTTAAGTGTCGTCCGACGGCGGAATGTTGGCAAGTATCAAGGAGTAAAGTTTCAGCTTTTTCATGAATGGGTCGAAAGTGTCCATATATTACACTGTAAGTTGACATCGAGTTTAGCTCGCTTCAAGCCTGAAACTCCGGGTTTTCCTTTCCGGTTTAAAGCAGTACACCAACAGTGGTGTACGTAGCCATGCAGCCTGACGATTTTGTCCCGCCATGTAAATCATGAGTTATCATAATTATTCATATCTTTGGAAATTTATTATTTCACAGTCCATGAAAACTAAAATATTAGCATGACGGGACAAATCGCCATGCAGGCTGGCTACGCTACTGCATGAGCACCAAGACACTACAAGATCACTACCAGTTTGTGTAATTCTGTGCCTCTGACAAATAAGTGCTTGAGATGAAGGTTGATTATACCTAGATTAGTAAGATTACATCAATCCCTTGTTGGTTATTGATATCGCGAATAGTGATTTGTCACGAAAATCTGGTAATCGGCTAACCCGTTTTTATCGGTCACCGTGGGGCCGTCTTGATATGAATTGAATACGAATATTTGCTCGTCTTGAGATGAATTCAGTGTTCACATGTTCTCTTATCTTATGTGATCCAAAAATTACTTACAATATCAATCTTATCTTCATTCTGTAAGATTCTGACGCACACCAGAAATGAAAACAACAGTTTATGCTTCTCAAAAAGACTGCGACAAACATTACAGTAGAGACTGAAGGTGAAATACTCATTCACATTTTCAATACGTTGAGCGATGTTATCTTAGAAGAATACAGAAAAAACACAACAATTAGTTCCTGCTTAAACTTTCTTCAGTTGATGAATTATTCATTTCTATTCACAGGAACATAATTTGTTATTTGACTATTTGATAAAAAGAAAATCGAGAATATATTGGATAGATGCATATATGCATGGGCTCAATGTTTGAATAGTACAGAAGGATAGCTAAAAGATAGCTTGCGAATGCAAATCATTCTTAATAAACAAGAAAAAAATAAATCAACTTAATTCTTTAATCTTGAGTGGTTGAAGAGGTAATTTTTCCACAGTCAACCAATATGGCGCCTAACGGCAGATTGTGACGTCATACGCAAACCAAGAATGATGATGAATAATAAAAAGCACATTATCCACCTGTCTCGTGACAAGTTGATGCATCATGAGAATTAATGCTATATAGATCAGCGTAGTGAAGAAGTTGATTATATTTGTACCTGCTTGCTCAGCGTTTGCAATACTGTTTAGAAAAATACTGATAAACCATTCCAAGGAATACTGATACATTGGATCGATATTTGCCTAATTAAAATAACAAGAAATAAAGAAGATAATTTAATAAAAAACATTACAATAACATTTTAATATCTCGCTCAAAACAGACCAGAGCAGTGAGAAGGGAGGTAGTCTATTATTTGCATTATCAAGATTTTATCTTACCAAGTCATAGGTGCAAAAGAACAATATTCGTGTCCGCACAGCCACGGGAATGTACTGACTTCTGGTCTCATCAATGTCATTTTCTGTTTGTTCAGCAATAACCACTTTTGCCTGTGAGATACCATATTATTTCAACAACCGCTAATAACATGAATGAATCAGTGGGTGATATCTAACGTACTTTAAGCTAACTAACTAACGAATGAATATTTAGTATTAATATAGAGTTTGTCTTAATTGTTCAGTTAGCTTCGCTTCTGTAAATAACCAAAAATAACCACGCAAGCGGCAAGCATGCAAGGTTCTTTCTAGACCGTCTGAAAATGATGAAGGAATCTCTCAAAAAACACCTTGAATGACGATAAATTAAGGAAGCACCATAATCTCTAGTATCTAAACTTATTTTAGTTTTACTTCGAAAGATAGTAAAATTAAGCAATCATATATCATATGATAGTTCTACCAAGTATTAATTTTAGGTCATGTAAAAATTTATATTTTTTCAATGGATTTAGAATTACGACTTGAGTTTAACTTCTATTGATGGAAAGGAACAACAAGAAAAAAATTTGCACAAAACACACTTCTGAAGATCTTTCCCGGCTGAATATATTCAGGTCATCGGCTGAATATCATTAGCCATGAACTATTCCGATACCCAGTTGTGTAAGGTCTGATAACCATCTATTTTCTGATCAAGAGCGTTAATAAATATCTTCATGACAGCTATATTTCAAGAAGCCTTTTTACCTTAATCTCACCAGCTTTAACTTTAGATGCCTCGAGAGTTTGAATGAGGTCCACATCATCAACAGGATTTCCTTCCGATGCTGATAATTTGTGTAATATCTTGTCTTCGATCTCTTTCAGTTCCTGTTTCATCTTGGCATTGCTCACAATAAGTTGATTCTTCGCTTCCTCGAGATCTGGTCTCTCTTCTGCTACTGCGATAGCTAAAAGCTGGTCTTCTAAACCACTAAAATAAATTGGAGTTTGCATTAGTGCATTTGATCACTAAATCGATTAGATGATGAAATGAAAAGGCATTTTGTCTTTTATTGTTTTATTGTCTTAATCCGGACAGGCAGGGGCGTAACTAGAACGATAATTGGGGGGGGGGGGGGGGGTGAATATTCATATGTTCAGTTCTGCCCGACGGATTTCTATTGTAAGCAACTGCAATTACAAAAGAAATCCGTAGGGCAGAACTGAATAAATTATATGAATATTCACCCCCCCCCCAATTATCATTCTAGTTACGCCACTGCGGACAGGCACTGACTCCACCAATGACCTGACTGTACCAAGAAGACTGTTTCTTAGAACGAGACAAAGAATATACGCGGGGGATGGTTTGCATTACCTGCCCCTACAGAGATAAACGTTCGATGCGAAGTAGTATAGCAATTCATCATATATTTTGTGCAATGTATACAAATTATTTTTTTACTGAGCGCAGAAACATTGACTCTCTGTCGTCCGTGTCATCTTTGGTGTTTAAAATGCTTTGCTTGACTCCCAGCCACTAATTCTCGTATATTTCAATTTATCAGTCTTTCTATCCGTACGTCTCATAGTTTTTAAGTGACGGCGTGCTTCGACACTTATGATGCAATAACTGCGTTTATAATATAACATTTATAGTACGCGCGTGCTGATTGGTCAAGAAGCATGTTTCTATAACTGTATAGAAACACTGGAATTTTTCCGCCGAACTTGACAAGCGAAGCGATCTAATGAGAATTTGTATATATATATAATAATTATAATATTTGTACAAAATCTTTTTAATGAGTTTTAATGAGTTATATTATAAAAGAAATAGAAAACATTTTTTCCTGTGTTTCTATATAGTTATAGAAACACTTGTGAGAGTTTGGCCTTGGGAGAACTCGGAATAACGTGGAAAAACTCACCGTACGGGCTCGTTTCCCCACTGATTATTTCTCGTTCAATATAAGTCCCACATGTTTTTCTATAACTGTATACAAACACGGAAAATATTTTCTATTTCCAAATAATTGTGTCTCGATTTCGAGATGACTTCCACTGGCATATATGACGTCATACTCCCACAGGCATACATGACGAAATTAATTATGTAGAATAGCGAGCTTAAGGTGGCTGGATATAGTAAAAGTATAAAGATATTAGTATAAAAACTCTGCTAAAGAAAACCACAGATCATTATTTCTACCTTAGGTAGCCTAGTCCAAGCGGTACGTCATACTATGTTATAGTATATGACACATTAGCGGGCTGCATAAAAATCCGTGCTTTACCAACTATATAGCACACAAGACGACTTTTTAGCTTAACCCTCGGCTAAAGCAAATCTTTACATTAATTTCTTTTAATCGCTTCTTTATAAAGTTGAATATCTTTAATATTTTCTGGTCCGATAGAATTCATATTTTCTAAAGTTTTAAAACGAACAGTGGTTCAGAAGCACATTAACTTAAACAACGGAATAAAAACTAACCCAGGGTTAGCGCTAACCCAGCTTTGAACAACTGCCCCCTGAATGTTGGGTACCTGAATTTAGTACAGCACCTAGAGATCAGCAGAGTCTAGTAAAACATATGCGGTAACCTGCATGTGATTAGTTTAAAGTAGCAGTATGACTGTTGAATTGAAATGAATCGGTTGGACTAAACAAACTACTATTAACACAACACAACAGTCAACACAATAGTCTACACAGAAAGGGTAGCCGAAATTAAATAAGCGTCATAAATGCCAATCACACTTTATTCTGAGGCAAAGACTAGACGATTACTTATGTGAACGTAAATATACATTAAAAGGCTCAAACATTAGTGAATAATAAGTAGGCCTATATACCTCTCGGTCTCTCCTATATTTCGGATTTATATCTATTAGTTGCAAAGCTCATGGCTGAAATGCACGCGGTCATAGAAAAATTTCGGAGAAACGTTTTTTACTTTTTCTGGCCTTTACGTTTGAATCGTTTCAGAGAAACGTTTTTTATACTTTTCTGGCCTCTTAGTTCTCCGAGGCTGTTTAGATTGTATGCAAATAACTACCCGCCATTTTGTTTATAAATTATTGGCAAAATCATCTATTGTACTGCAGTAGAATTAGGCCCCGTTTCCATGCACGTAGTCGTAAGTGCTGCAGTGTATGGGCTGCTTTCCACTGTCGCGTTTTTCATACGCACGTAAAAGTCAGAATTATCACGAATGCACGAGAAAGAACGTTTTGTGGTAACTTGACAATGAGCATTGACAAGAGTTTGTACATTTTAATTAAAGAGACGGCTGTGCACTTTAAGAGGGTTTCTAGAAATCATCTGTTATAGTAGTAATTTAATAATTTGCAAATATTGGAAAATGTCTGACGCGTGAAAACGGTTTATAATGACCGCGTTGCCAATCATGTTTATTTAATCTATACCAATACGCACACGAAACCGTTTCCATGTTTCGTCAGAGGCAATCGATGGAATAGACTAGAAATAGTGTATTAACGCAGTGATACAAATGCGACCGTGATACGTTTTATCAGGTGGCAAATATCAGGAGGGAGTTCACTTTCCGTGCTATCAAAGAGCTATGTACCTAAATAATTAAATTCTAATTGTTACTACATCAAAAGCACATTTTAGATGCCCGACATTTAGGATGCATTCAACAATCTGTGTTCACACGAATATTTTACGCGACGAAAGTTAGCGTAACCGACAGTTCCCTGAACCAACGCCCCCCCTGACTGAGAAATGAATGAAAATAGATCTTTTCGGTAATTACGTCACAACATTTTAACACCACGTTTTAAATTTAGAATCACCTTAAATGAAGTGGATTTCATGCTTTACTCTCACGCGTCACGTGCAAAGATACAAAAGATTGTTCTTCAACACATGCATGGAAAATATTTTTTTATTTCCACCAATTAATGTGGAAATAACCCATAACACGTGAACAAGGCTGAGGGGCCAAGACCGCGAACCTAGTACCCGCGTTATGGCTTATTTCCATACTTATTAAGTTATTAGTCGAAATGAAAAATGTACGGGTTATATACAGAAGGATGTTTTGTATCTTTGCACATAGCTTGTGGGAGTAAAACTTGAAATCCATCTCATGGTTCTAAATTTAAAACGACAATGTTGTGACGTAACTATTGAAAAGGTCTATTAGAAATGTCAATCACGACGTCATTTAGAATTTTAGTAATATGTCCAACCTAGTGGTCCAACCTGACAGACAGACAGAGCAGTTTCGGAACCGATGCATGCTTGCATGCGTGTATGATATTGGATATGATATTCCTATTTGTTGTGAACGTGCTACTTTTCCTATCAGGAATTTCTTTGAATTCTTTTGTCATATTCAATTTCTGGAAATGCGCGCAGCTGCGAAAAAAGTTGTGTTATTTCATGATCTTGGTCCAGTCGTGTGTCGATTTGCTTGCGGTTTCAACCAGCAATCCATTGGTTTCTCTTATCGCGATGTTATCGCTGACTGGAAAGCTTCGAGGATACCCAAGCTGGGTGGATATCGCTTTGAGCTTGTCGAATATGTTTCTCGTTTTTACTTTCTTGGCTCTTTTAGTCATGAATTTTGATCGATATATGTCGATATCGTATCCTTTTATCCACCTTACGTCAGTAACCAAGGAAAAACTTATAACTCTTCTTGCAGTACTAATGATGATAGAACTGATTTTGGGAGGTATGTCGATAAACAACATGGTTATTCCCATGTATATGCATGCTATAATAATCGCAACTATCATTATTCCTCCAATGGTGTTTTTTAATTACAAGTTATTTCAAACTGTGAGGGAAAGACGTACAGTAAAAAATATAGCAATTGCGAAGAAAAGGACGGCGTGTCCTTTGCAAAATATATCGAGTTGCTTGCTGGTTGTCGCTTGTATAGTGATTCTGAGCCTTCCTTTGTTCGTATATATTGGGCTGAGCATGGTTTCGAAAGAATCGACGGCATTGTCAGATACAGCGAGTCAAGCAGGACTTTGGTCAAAAACAATACTCTCAATGAATTCAACATTGAACTGCCTAATTTTTTACTGGAAAAACGACGATTTGCGCACACAGGGATTGAATTCATTGAAAGTTATTAAAAAAATATGCGGCGGACAAAACCAACGACATTCTACAGAAGTATAGACTATAGATAAAATAACACGGTTTTAACTATCCTTGATGTAATATTAGGTCTATATAAATGTGTTGACTGGTAATTGTTCTTGTGTTATCCATAATCAATGGTACATTGATTCTGTAAATATGGTGCAGACTGCATGGGGTCTAGTTCTGTGTCTCTTGTATCGAAAAGAGCTTACTGCGTGACAGCGCGTCTATCAATCTTTTCTATTCTGATGAGATTCCGTCATATAGGTCTCCTTACATTCCTCTAAACTTTAGCCTTTTCTTTACGACAGAGTTTCCGGGTGAAGACAGTAGGAATTAGTACCCTACCCCCGGGCTGTGGTACCCTTTGATAAGTTTCCATGCCATTGTCGCGGTAATCATCGTAGGACAAAATGACCAACAACTGCCCATTTTGAAGTTGAGGACTGGTAATAATGGGGTTGCAAATGCATCTTGGGAACGTTTTTAAGATGTCAACAGAGAGTTCGTCCCCCCCCAAATAGCCCTTTCATGCACGGTCACTGCTAATATTGTTAGTCAATATTAGAATTTTCCTATTAGAATTTGCTAGTCAAAGGATCTCCTTTCCTTCAAGTGCAAACTATAGGCTAACGAGGAAAAATGTTCGAATCTTCGCGTGCATGTTTCAATGCCTGTCTGTGTTAATGGACAAGGCAAGGCTAAAATCATTTCTTGTTTACTCACCTTGGAGCAAGAGTGAAGTTTACAATAGTGACCTTGGTAGATACTTCTGGAGTATAATGTGGATTTGGTAGTTTAGTTGTGATGTAGAACTTGAAGTCATCATGATAGGGTATGATTGCATCGCCTAGTTTGATTACTGTACTGCCAGATTGCTTGAATGTCTGAAATGAAAGTCATTTTATTACGCAGTCAAGTTTGTCATTTTATTACGCAGGCTTCGCAACGCGTTACAGAATTTAGAGAAAAGGTATTGCATGGTAACCTATAAAGTGTCGACGCTGACAGCCACTACCACACGACTCAACCCTACACGGTCAACACAGCACCGCTAAGAAACACCTAAACCACTTTACCATTGTTACATCATGCATATACCATATATATAATTCCTCATATCACGATACATTATTCCAGAATACACCATACCATATAACATCAGACCATTCTATACCATGAAATATCACTCATCAAGTCAATAGTACGTTACATCACCATAATATATACAACACGTTAGAATACCATGTTGTACTATACTTCATTACACCACATCCAATGCTAAACATACGATAAACCGTTAAACGCTATCCGGCGAACTAACCTTACCCTATCTTACTGAACCAATAAACACAACATTCGATAAACTATATTTAGTCACCTCTGCCAAGCCACGCTATAAAAACGTACCTGTTTCAACAATATCGGTTCCAAAGCTGGGTCCAACTCCTCGCCGACATTTTCCAGCAAACATGGCTTTCCAAACCTCACAGCATTTTCAAGACTTCGTAAGAAATCCTTGTCTGTCAATTTAACGACATCCACTCCACTTTCTTTTTCCTACGGAGCAAATATCAAAAGAAAAATTCATACTAAGTTCTGAATACAACAAGTTCGCATTCTATTTGTAGCGCCTTGTCATAAACCTGAGTGTGAACGAAATGATCAATTTACACATCAGAAAATTAAATACCATATTCTTAATCCATTTGTTGGCCTGTGCCTGCGGATCAATGAAAAGCGGCCATCTCTGTGAGTTCTGTACAATAACGCCGTTTTCGACTGACAACGTGTCCCTAGGCAGGCCGGCGATCTGCCAATTTCTGATTTTTACCGCATCTCCAAGAATCGAGACGAGAGAGCATGTTTCTGAATGAGGGATCTCAAGCTGAACCAAATGATTCAACCATTCAGCGACCATGGCTGCACGGTATTCACCCTAAATATCAACACATAACCACATGAGATGGATTTTGATTCGCCTGAAAAAAGGCAGTATAATAGCAATCGGCATCCGCATGAGAACTATGTCTTCAGTTTATACGTCTCTAGTTATTGCTGGGGAGAGCATGGAATAGGTTGCGGTCAGAGTAAAAATTAAGAGTCACACAATCCGGTATGTATTAAACTGTCATGAAATTCGTGATTCGTAACAAAACAGGTCTATATTATTTTATATGCACAGCGATAGTTTACTGGATGTCTTCATAACACTTACTGTAAACGTTCCAAGATACGCAATCACCCCAGATGAAATCATGACGTCACCGACAACGTTAATAATCTGGCCATCAAACTCGGTAACAGACTCTTGCCATCGACCTTTCTCGTCCACCAGGCCACCGATAAGCTGCAAGTTAGAGAATTATATCAATCAGTTATTTGTGCTCAGTTTCAATACAGGAAAAGAGCAAAAGTACCCAGCAAAACACAGTCAACCTGCACACACTCTTTCCCATGCAAATATGTTCTCAATATCATCAGTTAAATGTTTTTGCAGGACTTGAAACGCGCCACGCGGTACAAAGATGCACCACGTAATCAGCTACTCTTGTTTTCCAGCGCCGTCCATTTTATATCTGATCCTGTTCAACCTAGTTCAGAGTGCAATGACCCGTTCGATCATTGTTTGGTAACAATTTCGGGCGATGTTACAAAATGTTTCAAGAAAAATTCGCAAAAATTAACAGTCAACATTGCGTTGTCCGATAATGGCTGACAATATGGTCCATAGCATAGCAGCCTCAGAACGTTAATTTTTCAACTTTTCCTAATACGAGACTATAGTGACATCTTACCTTTTCAGCTCGTGTTAGTCTAGCAGTACACAACTCCGTTTTATACTCCAGCTCTTCTTTCTTAGCAATACATTCATCATATTTTGCCTGAAGTGAGGCAATGCCTTCCTCAACCTCTCGTAGTCTGTCTTTCGCCTCACCCAGGATACGCTGTGTTTCTTGCAAGTCTTCGGTCGCCTTCTTTAGAGCTTCCTGGGAGTTAAAGTGTATTGTCAGGGAGTGATCATGTTAACGTTATTGATGCTGGTTGAGTGGCTGTATCTATTTCTTGAAGTCCAGATATCGCTTGATTATTCTGTTTACTAGTGGGTACCCTACGCACTAAGTCAGGCAATTCTGAATAAATCTTCAGAATAGCAATTTTATTTAAACTGGGTGGCTCTCTCTTGACAAAGCCATGATCAATAAAGGAAATTAAAGAAATTTAGCTAAACTTTTCATATTCATACCGAACAGTTCTATGAAGAATGATAAAGAAAGGTGTAGAGTTCAAAAAAGGCAATACAACTATAACTAGTGCTGCATGATGGAGTTTAAATGAGGGCACTTTATTCAGATGAAGCTAAGAAGAAATTAGCATTTAACAAGACTACTTACCCTTTTTGGTGCCACTGATTTTGCAACGAAGTGATATTTATGCATGGCTCTCACCCAGAGGCATATTGATGTACACGCTTTTGAAACCTGGAAAAAATTGAAAATACTCAAATGTGCTATTAAACTCCCACTAAAATTAAAAGAAAGATCTATGTTGTCTGGGGCTCCTTCTTTGGAATTGCTATAAACCCTACCTTTGCAATCGCCGCAGGAGTAAAATCTTCATTGTCGATGTAAGGCTGGATCTTCTGAATATTACTGTCAGGGATGTTATCCTTAATATGAATGCAGTTAGTTAGCAAGTAGTGTATTTATATAAAACATTATAATGTTACAGAATGAAAACTAGTAAGACTAACCTTGTCAAATTTGAATAGGCCTTCCAGAAACTTTGCAGGATCTTGTAGCAATGCTTTACCAGGTTCCCAATAGTCATCGACCTTAGTGCCAACCTGGTTCACAACAAATATAGAAGAATATATTTTATTTCAGAAGAATGAATTTTAATGAATTTCAAAATCGTTTTCAGAAATATGAAATATCACACTCGTAATAATCCCATTAATTGAACTAGGTTAAATAGAGAAGTTCACCTTTTCCCCAGCAACTTTCTTGGGTTTAACTCCCTTGATGATACACACAGCATCAATGACCAACTTCACACCTGGTGGAGGTCGCTGAAGTGCCCGCACCTGAAATGAAGGGTAAAAAAATATATCAGTTGAATGCTGTGTTTTCAGTCATGCACGTGATATTTTAGTTTGCTTTCTGTATTGAGATCAGTTACCTCGACAACATCATTCCTGTTGAGCGATTTCAGACTAGTTAGAGCGGCTTCCTATGAGAAAGAGCGATGATAAACATCTTTGATAAACACCAATGAAGACATTGTTTTCGCCTACCAATACACCTTCCTTCTCATCTACTTCCGTTTTCCTATTCCTTTTAGTTCAATATGTCCCCTCTCGCTTAATTGCATATCCTAATGGTAGTGGGTATGCTTAATGGCATGCATATTTTGTCCAGAGCATAAGATCTACCATCTTTATTATCCAAACAAAGCAACGAAATTAAGCGCGTACCAAAGCGGGCAGAGCCTCGTCAAGATCTCTCTGAGCATCGTCAGCAATCGCTTGAGTTTCTGTCGCCTTCTTTGTCGCCTCAATCTCCTCGCGTTGTACCACGACTTTCGTCTCATTTGCGACCACCTGAAACAAACGAGAATAAACTAATATTTGCCATCCTTGACGACTCTTCCATTCTGAACTGGTCCGGTCTGAACGCTTCAGTAGGCATGCATCCATCTATCTGCAAATATTTTAGCAAAAACAACTGTGAACTCAAAATCTTCTAACACTATCTTTCTTGATTTGTTCCATTGTATCCTCAGTGTCTTTGGCAGCCTGGGCCAGCAATGGCTGCATCGACTCCAGTTCTTCTTGTAACTTCTCAACCTCTTCAGCCGTTGATAGCAACTACGAACAAAAAGAAACGAATGATACACCTTAACGATACATCTTAAAACTTCAATCACACACAGCATAATTATACATTTAAATGTAAAAACGCCGAAAAATGGAGTTGAATGAAACGAATAACGATGTTTTACCTTATCAAGGCCAGTTTTAGTTCTGTTCCTTGCATTGACAATTTCAGATTTTTTCAGTGTTACAAGCTTGCGAAAAGTACCCAACAAATCCAAGTAACTGAAAAAGGAAAATTCAAAGCATTTTAGTGAATTCATAACTGCTTGTATGTCTTCAGGGAAATATACTTTACCTTGTAGGGGTGACGTAGTTATATCTTGAGAGTTCAGCAAGATATTTCTTAGATTTCATCGCTACAGATTGATGAATAGCTCCGCACATGTCAACCTGTTGCAAGATAATAACTGGTTAGTGGAGCAGTTCTCATATCAACGAGCAGTGATATGCTACATGTTGAGATTCTGTGGTAAATATTTTTTTTTTTGACAGTACACTTTAATTTATATATAAGAGCACATTCAGTTAAGCATTTCATGCGTTGTAAAACACTGGCCAATATATGAAATGGCTGCCACCATGTGATCTATAGAAAGAATATTTGAAGATAGAGCAATTTAGTTGCCATTTAGTTAGAATCAAGAGAACAGTTGAAAACTCATGCAGATATGGCTTTTAAGGATAGAAGTATGTTTAACACTTAAATATGTTGAAACTACTTACCAATCCCTGAGTGTAAGGTGAATCTTCTAACTCTTGTATTTCGCCAAGGAATGTTGTGGCTACGGATTGCAAAGCCTCCTCGGGCCACTCTGAGAACCAATCAATTGTACAGCAGTTGACGAGGGAAGGAAACTGGCGCAATCTTGCACGGAATATCTCACCTATTGGACTGCATGAAGAACAGAACATGATGTGGCAGCGAGCTTACGAGTTGATTTTTGAATAAGTTGGAAAATACTTGAATTGTGCATTGCGTGAGTCTGCAAGGAGTCAAACCTAGTAAAGTAAATGGGACAAGAAGAAAATTTCTTTACCTCATGCATACGACCAAATGAATATTTGAGCGAACCAATTTAGTGTAAGCAGAATACAGGTTAGCTTTCGTAGGAGGCTGGCCAGAATCTTGAACGATCGGCTTCATTGTTGTGTAAATATTGTCGAGCTCATCAGGTTGATAAATATTGGGAACGTCGCCTGCATTTAGTATATTATTGAGATCTTCCAGAAAAGATTCGTCTTTAATCTGCATGAAACAAAAGAAATGATGGTCTTTTTCTAAAAATCACCTTGGAGGTGATGGTTATGGTATCTAACAATCTTTGTTCTTATCTTTTTCATTAAATATAGCACCATCTGTGCTGTTGAAAACCAATATTCCTCACCTGTGTATCAACAAATAGAAAAACAACAGGTTTATTTTCCAAGCCGGCTTTCATCATGACCTTCTTGACATCCTCCCGCCATTCTGGAACACCATAATTCTTTGCTAGTTCGATCTGGAAACATTCGTATTCAGCACTAAAATAACGAAATATAGAAAATGGAAGTTCTTTCGTGGTTTACTTAAAATTCATCATCAAATTCTGTAATAGTCTATATTGCTATTATATATGTTTCAGTATTTTTCTTTAGAAAAACAAGGCCCTTTGAAAATTACAATTTATTTTAAAATACGAGGATAGCGTGCTAAAAACAATGGGGACAACAATTTTACAATATAGCACAATTTTCCAATGCCACACACGGTAGCATACTATATATACATCATATGGTGGGCCATTACATCTATTTCATCGTACTACATATACCATATTGTACCATATGTACCACACCATACCATATACCCTACCCTACTTTACTGCACAATATCATAACATAAGATATCTTACAATACCACAATAACCACATCGAACAGCATGCATACTTTACCAAACGCAATACACATCCCATCATACTTACATATGAGCAGCCAAACGGGTCAAACTTTGCCTTCCACTACCGCCAACACCTAAAAGTAAAGCGTTGCCCAATGGCTGTCTGATGATACGACCAATCCTACAGACGTGCTGGACGGCATCTGTAAACAACACCAGTTTCATCTGTGCAGTATTAATCTGGTTATAATCTTCCAAATACTCCTCCAATATTTTAACCATCTAAGGATCAAAAACCAGCATTCAAAAACACGCATTACACGTACCTCTGTTTCATATATAAATCACGCCTCGACAGAGGCCTAATGCTCTCTAGAGTTCTGTAAATCATTAAATGTGTAACTGAATAGACTAAAAATGTCGTCGAATGTGAATGCGAAGTTTTACACGAAGTTATATTGTTTGATGTAAAAACAATTTCTGATGAGTTTGAAAGGATATCGGCATGCTAAGGCCTAGGTTATACGTCACATTTTGGTCGTGTCGAATGCAATTCAAACACTGGATAATGAGATGATAAACTATATTAAGCTTCATTGCAATCTCGTTATCTATTGTTCGAATGGCATTCGACGCGACCAAAATGCGACGTTTAACTTTGGCCTAAACCACATGATCTAATCACCATGCCTGGTCTCACCTTCTCATAATCACTGACTTCAGCATAAATCTTATTCTCCGCGTTTGGTATCATAAAATCGCCATAAACCAAAGGCACCTTATTTACAACATCTTCGTAAACGACATCAAAACCTGTGGTCATTTTTTCTCTCATCAAATTTATGAACCATTTTCTATCTTCATCGTTGACCTTTGGAGGAGAATATTAAAAAAAAGGTAGAATTGCAAAGCAACAGATGAAACTTGCAAGCAGTAAGGGAGGAATTTTACACATCAGGGGACGGTTGTATGAAAGCCGGATAGTGCTATCTACAGGATAGTGCTTTTTTCAAGCGCTTCAAAATCGCCAGTGGTTAGGAATAACTTTGATAAAATCTTAGTATTCCTAAATTGAGGATCCTCTTTAATAATTGTTGGTACAAAGGCTGAAATTTTATTGCTTTTCAAGCATGTTCAGAACGGTTGAAAAAATAAGGCCTTCGTACAACAGGCCCCAGCTTTGTTTAAAAACACAGAATACTTCCAAACACCATAGCTTCCAATAACATTGTTGGCAGACACCTTCTTAAGTGTTAAAAGCTAATGCCTCTCAGATGTAAATTAATTATATTCTTTAATGATGATGTGAAGAATATTCTACCCGCTATGACAGAAAAAAATTAATAGCTATATCAGGTATTTCCACCTACCAGACGGTCTTGAAACACGCGACAGTTTTCGTGAAACCACAAACGAAGAAGTTCAAGTTTTGATTCCAGTTTTTCCGGTTTTGCCATGAGAACGCCTTGGAAGACTTTCGACAAGTCGCGAAGGTTAAATGTGTAGTGACTTTTTGATGGAGTTGGGAGGAGCTAAAGGTAGCAAAAATCAAGAATAAAGTACCATATACCGCACCGCACAGTACAGTACAGTGATGTACGATACGATACTGTAATATACAATATCATCCTGCACACTATTATGTACAGTAGCTACTAGTTACTAGACACCATAATTTATTATGCCGTGCCATACAATATTGTATATAATATAAAAAGTACTGACCTGCGTGGTGATAGTATTGTAAACAGCGATAGTTTGCTGAACTAAATGACTGCCGAGATCTTCTTTGTTTTCCCCGTGGTAGGACTCTAAAAAATTTGATGATGATGACAAAAATGCTCTCAGATGATGAAAGTGCATCGGTGTTGTAGAATCAATAAAAAAGCTCTGACAATTTTGCATTTATCATAATAATACACTGCTCTATACCTTTCTTTAGTCTATTTTCTAGTCTAAAACTAAAAATAAACTGTCTGACCTGATATTTTGCTATAACCTAAAAAGGAACAATATGATATGGTTTAAGACCTGAATTTTTGATATCTCTTGATAGGTGAGAATACATACTTACTTCTGAGTAATGGAGAGAAAACACATACGAGCCCCATTTACACTACACTTAATTGATTGACACGGCACGCTATTAGTGCCCGTATCAATTTTATTCGCGCTCAGGTTACCAAAGCAATGGCCGAGCAAGAATGCAATTGGTACGAGTACACATTTTAGCCGTCTCGGGACATTACCCAGGTGATGTAAACCGGGGTATGGAACATACACAAATATGAAATTTTAATCAAATGATACTATAATGCTTCGTCTAAGAGGATCAATTAAAAATGGCCTACCTAGCCATCCCTTTAATATCGTTGAGAAAATTGTGAATTTGCTCGAGTCTTCCATTTCAGTGAAAGTGAGGAAGTTGAAATGACGTAATAAACGGGGAGTGACGGGGTTTCGACCCCCACCAGGTGGACCCATTGCCCCGAGTAAATTGATGTCAACAAGCTCGCGAAAAGCACCTGAGAAAAGAAAATAAACAAGACTGATTTACTTTTTTAATGTCCTCGATATGTATGTACGCTGAGGGGTACTCGTCATAAGGAAATTCGTCATGATAAAGAAATCGATATCATGTAAGTACCATACCTATCTGTTTTCTGTCGTACCATCCATTATGGTCACAATACTGTCGCAACAGCTCGTTAGGTGGCTGAGCACCGTAGGTTTCCAGAGCTGGCATGTTCAAATCGTCAATGAATATTAGAAACGTTTTTCCAAGAGGTGGACCAAACACACCTTTTCGTCTAGATGGAAATACAAAATTGAGTATCCTTTGATTGTGAAAAAACGTACGAAGGTGATCTTGAAAAGAATAGTTGATGTCGGCCAGGGTAGAACAGGGGGAGGGGGGAATGGGGTTACTGAATGGTCGGTCCCCAAATGCTTCCCCAGAAATTCATTAAATGCACGAGCTCCTGGCATAGACCATTAAAAGAGTTGACAATTATAAGGTTACTATTTTTGTTGGATCATGCTGTGGCAACACTTTATCGAAAGAATAGTAATGTAAAGAGCCGTTTGCAATTAATGGATCATGTTTTGTTTACGTTTCCTTCGGTTTAACATAGCAGCAAAAGACTCTTACTGAGCGCTGGAAACTGCCGAAGAGTTGAAAGAGTTAACAATAAACAATATCATTACGCACCTTTTATCCAGTTTACCATCAATAATATCTTGTGTTTGGTTAGCCGAAGTTCGTGCAGAAAAGGTGAGAAAATGGCAGAGATAATCTTTTGGCATATGTCTCAATAGTTTATCTCCAATACACAATGTTTTTCCAGAACCTGTTGGACCAACAGCTAAAACCTTATGAAAGGAACAGCAATGATTAACACACTATTGCGATTTTGGTCAAACTACTAGAGTGAAGGTTCTACAATTCACACGAATATATGAGAGCTTGGAAATACAAAAAACTCTTCACGACTTTAACGCTTTCTCAGCTCTCTTTGAGAGACCGAGCACTTACTTTCTTGTGGTTAACCAGCAACATTCCCAGGATGTGAGACCCACGAATCAAATCCATGGTTGGGACAATGATATCTGAGAAACGTGTTTCTGGCGTGATCGTTATTTTGGGCGCGCCTTCCAACCAATGCTTCCAACGAATCTACAAAAAGAGATGAAGTGACAAAACATCATGTTGAGATAAGATAAATAACAGAGGAAAAATACTTCGAACGGTATATTTTGCCATAAAATTGTATATCTTGAGCATATTTCATATTAAATATGTAAAAAAATCTATGGTAGAGTAAATATCATTTTCATAAATTGTACATATGTATTGCCTTGCATGCTCGTGTTGGAAATGTATATAATTGGAATTGCAAAATGGCACCTCGTTTGCACTCGATGATTCTTCAATTTCGTCATCATCCGCACCAAATTTGCTGATACCCGCGTCATCCAATGAATAATCATAAATCAAACCATCTTCAGGGAAGGGCATGCTTATCTATGAAACAAAGTAATACAAAAGAGTCAATAATAATTATAGAGACAGGTCCTGAACTGAATAGAAAATCTACCAGCAATCCATGCACAGTATTCTCAAGCCGGTATTTGAAAGTAAGAACTTGATGAGTGTCGTTTATACTCGGCAATCGAGTAGAATTGCAAGATTCTATCGTGTATTATAATTAAGAATTTCACAATACGTTTTCTTCTTTCATTTTTTCTCGTAGGAACTGACTGAATTTGTGTCGACTGTCACCATCACAGGTCGCACCAACCGACCAGATTAGGGCGAAGAAGAACCAAGGTTCAATCAACTGCTCAAGTTTGTCCAGGTTTTCTTGTGGTACGTCTATACCCTGAAGGACGAAATAACGAGATTAGACTGCAAATAGAATAACTCATTTTATAAACAAGACGGTCCTTCCTAACTGAAATCTTCACGCGCACTATAACCCATCATTCAAAAGACAGGATTGTGTTTTCAAACATGTCCAAAAGGCAAGGAGGTAAAAAGAATAAGATTATTGATTGAGCAAAACGTGGCCAATGCATCTTTTTTCTGCATGTCATTGTTTCTCACATAAAATTAGTGCATGTCTGGTGATTGATTTAAAGGACTATTAATGACATCAAGACTATCAACATCACCTACCTCGCGTGGATTGAAAGAAGCAAAGAATGAATCCAGAATATTCATCAGACTAAAGCAAACGTTACTGTCCACCGAGGGTACAAACTCTTTCATCTGTTTTCGAAGAAATTTGATGCTGACCTGTAGAAAAAAGCGAGCACAAGCTATAGTAGATCATGAATCTTTATTGTGTCAGTAGAAGGGTGCGAAAGGCCACAGAATCATGGAGTTGAAATTTTGTCTGAGTATATAATTTAACCCCATTCGCATTTGCGAAGTGGAATTTCACGCCATAGCTAACTTTGCCTTTATATCTTAGTGATCAGGACGGAGTGATATGTAGAAAAGGTAACTTCAGCCATTTTTTACAGGTAGTGACAGGTGATGATCTGATGGAAATTAAGCTTACATACTCAACTTCGACAATGAACAAGAATTGATAGGGAATCAAAAAAAAATACAATAAGTTAGTTTGGTTTATAAAAAACAAATACCCAATAAACGTACTTCCAAGAATCGGTCGAACAGTGATTTGAAGGTATCTCTGTGATCAAACACGGAATCAGGCAACTTTCGTAACCAACAGTCAACAAACGGTTGCAACCCAAGAATACTGGGCTCCAAATAAACCATACCGCATCGACTGACAGTGGCTGGGGATGCCACGGCAAGATCTTGAACCTCAAACATCATTGTCATTGACTATGAAAAAAAGTAAGATTATTTATTAAATGGTTTACATAATTATACTAATGACATACTGATTAGTCAATTTCAAGTGTTCAACATGGCCTCCTTATTTAGAAAAAGAAACAAAAATGAAAGATACAGCCAAATCAAGCCCTCAGGTGAAAACATCGAGAATTTCTTTGATTCATTTTTGGCAGTTCAAATTTTGCCCTTTCACACTAGCGTGTATGTCTATCATTTACGGTGGAACTCTTTCCAGTGTGTGAGCTCGAAGACCACGTATAGTTTTTAGGGTAAATGTAAACAGTTGTAAAATTTAATGCCAGGGCTAAAATAAAAAAGCAAAAATAATAAATATTCCAGAAAGGCTAATACGAGAAGACGACATTTCAATATCCGTAACATTTTTAATACCCACACTTTCGTATTAAAACTGACTTATTGCTTTACCTCAGTTAATTTGATAATTTCCCCACTGGTCAAACAGAGTTTCTTGTTATCATCTAACACTGTGTTCATGTTCTCAATCCAGACGGCGTCAACCGGACCATCAAAAAGATACCATTTCTTATCTGATGTTGAGCTCGAACTACCGTCACGAATCATTGACGAGAGAATACCGTCCGTCCTTAATGGCAAAAGAAATGAAAAGGCATGAGTGTGGTTATTGAAATAGGCTGAAAATATTTACTCGACAGCTAAGAGTTGTTGTGGTTTGGTTGTGCAGTATGCTGGCTGGACTATTGTATTCTATGATGTAAAGATGCCTGACAATTCAGGGGCTGCTTAAAATACCGCTGAACCTATTTCTTACCATTCATGTGTCATCAAATCAAACTCTCCATACAACTGCCCCATCGTGATTGACTTGGGATTCAAGACATACGTGTGAACTTCTTCAAATTGTGTGCCCGCCGGAGACATTTTGCCCTTTAATGACGTCATAGCTTTTTTCAAAACTTCGTAACACTGAAAAATTACGAAATAATACAAAGAGATTCAGCAATATACATTGGTTTTCTGGGGCTCTCATTGTTTCCCACGACTTAGCAACTGGTCCAAACCGGTCATGGTTTCCCAAAGTTCAGGAAACACAAGTTATGTCAAATCCAAACTGAAACCATGCTAAAAGATTAACAAATATACCCTATAAAGGTAAGCGCCCTAAGTTTAATATTCCTGAGACTTACTCTTGTTTTTCCGGATCCAGTTGGTCCAACCATCATCAAGCCATGACGGACAACCGTGGTCTCATACAACTGAATACACTTAGTTACAAAACCATCAACATCTTCTAAACCCATCTTTTTGCAAGATGTCCGTATAGACGAGTCCAGCTCACCATAATCAATTGGTTGCTCTCTAACAAATATCAAAATTGATTAATAACATGATAGAATATTTTCTACTTTAAACTTCATTCACACTACGCTACAATTCTCTAGTTATTGAGCAGCAAATTTAAAACGGTACTGTGAGAAAACGCCTTGTATCAAGTTTCCAGAAAGTTAAGGATATAAGTCCGCGAAAGGTTCGTGAGGACTTTTGCAATCATACGTGTTTCATGTATTCTTTGTGACTATGGAGTCACGTTTTTAAGTTGTTTCACCACCCAGTCTAACATGAGGTAAACCCTTTCATTTTGACTAATTTAACTATATTAAATCAGGTACTCAAGTTTCGTGTGTAATTTTACCCTGCCAGACCAACGAGGAGTGTTGTAAATGTAATCAGTAAGTATCTTTTATCAAGAGAGAGCATTCACAAGATATCTGATATATATATATATATATATAGAGCAGTAATCTAAAATAACATTTCTTCATGTAAAACGTACTTTATTTTTGGAAATAGATCAGAGACAATGCCATTGAATAGCTTGAGATCATCCATTAAGAATTTAGGAACATTTACATCTCGGATGGCACGCAGGACAATAAGCTCCTAAAACATAAGTTGGAATCGTTAAACGGTCTTTCATATTATTTGAGGCAATAGGTTTACGACAATTAATAAGAACCTAGCTTTTTATCGAGAGTGAGCAATATTGCATATTTTCTCTTATTATTAGGGATTCTTAATATTAGGGATAATTTATGGGGATTTGATCTAACCATGATCGGGCTTGATATCAAAGAAAAAAAAATTCGTGCACAGGGATTTGATTTTATTTGCATAAAAAGAAGGCTGTTATGTCACACAGTGAGTAATAGGCTTTTTTAGGGCAGAAATTTTCCTCGGCTTGGATATGCACGAATCCCAATTATCAGATTGCATCGAGTACTAAAAAAAATTATTATGCCAAACCTCTTCCATTGTAGGATTTTCTCTTTTTAGATTCCCAGCTGCTGATATGACTGTTTTTACAGCTCTCATCCCAAAATCGTAATGATCCTACCAAAAAAATTGCGAAGTTATGGACAACAGGACATAATAAAATATTGTGCGCTTTTCATCGTGTATGACTAGACCTGAAATTCATCCACTTTCCGTACCTGTGAGCTGAGTTGTTCTGAGGACAATTTAAATGTTGTTGTTATCTTCTTTGCAAGAACTTTGGCTTCAGAAAATCCGAACGAGAACAAACTGATCTCAGCGATCAATGCATAGTCGGGTACCATCATAGCGACTGGACGGAATAACGCCTAGTTGACAGAGGTTGTATGTTTGGTTAGGTTTTATTTCCGTTCGATGCAGAGGAGCCACGATAATGAGCCCTTAGATACTTCCACTGAATATGTAGCTACTTATACAACAGTCATGGATCTTGATTAATAATTATACCTTGAGGTTGTCAGGTAGTTCTGTCCTACCAGCATAGCCAGGATTCATAGTGATAAACACAGCACAGGAAAGACGTAGTTTTAGTTCGACGCCTTCAAACATAAACCTTTCCACCTGGTGAGAAATTGCAATGTCATTCCACATCTTTTTTAAATATCTCTATAGCAGTGGCCCAACCCTAACTATCCAAAGTTGCCTTATATTCAACCTCAGGAACATGCGAGAAAAGAGCTTCAATCTGATTCATCGAACAACAGTAGCTATGTATAAACAGTGTCATTCTTATGGAGCTTTTATTATTTAGTTTTTACACAAAGCCTGACCAAAGAGTCATTAAAGACAGAATATCATTAAAACTATCGTTTGAAAGCTACACATGCGCACATTGCCCAGTGTATTTCAAGTTTCTCCAGAGTGGAAAAACAGCTCTGGAGTTATGAGATGATCTTTACTGGAACTACTCAAAAGAATGATTCCAACTGATGTAGAATCAGAGCTTACTATATACATTAAGTCTTCAACAGACCTTATTCTGAAGTGCTTGTTGAATGGTGGATATCTGTTGCGCGACCACAGACAATACTTCAACGTCAATGCGGTTAAACTCATCGAAACATGCCCATGCACCGGAGCTAAAAAATTTCGACATATGAAAGTAATGAGGAATAATGTGTGGCACAATGAATAACCCACAAATATTCATCAACGGTTCGTAGCATCCCTATAAGAAGGTCAATTCTGATAAAATTGTTCTCCAATACCTTGCAAGTCCTTTGAAGAATTTCCCCATTGCCATGAAGTCCAGTTGATCAGAGCAATTGAAGACAACACATTGTATCGCCATAGCTTTGGCAAGATCCTTTAAGATTACAATTAACTTCTTAATATTGTGATCTGAGAAACTGTTTGATGACGTTATTTATTCTAGCAAAATGCCAGCAATTGATTATGAAACAAAATATGCCTGGCATAATTTTAGAAAACAAACTCATACCTTAGTTGTTTCAGTTTTGCCAGTCCCAGCAGGCCCTGCGGGTGCGCCACCGAAGGTCAAATGCAGCGCTCCAGTTAGCGTAAGGTAACAGCGATCAGTGAGAGGTGTGATAACCAGGCGACCACTGTTGCCAAGATATTCGTATCCGTATTTAAACTCGGCGTTGACTGCCCGTATTAGCAGGTCATTCTCCCAATAATACCTTGGAGAAAAGGTTTAGTGTCACCACAGAAACTGTAGTTATAAAAACTCCATATAGTTATAAACTTTTTTCAGTAGAGGAAACCCAGTTAAACCCCAGTTGAAACCCTATGTAGTTGAAACCCACTGCTATGAGTGACAGGGCTGTCGCTTCGAGTGAAACTAAACTGCGTTGCAGTATTTTATTCACAAAGCGATTTCCGAAAGAACGCAGAGAGCAAGGCATCTTATTCATTAAGTACCTCAACTGACTGATCCATTCAAAATCGTTGATATTTCGAACATTTTCCTGTAGCATTTTATCAACAACATCACAAGCGTGAACCTAAGATAGGAAGAAATCAAGATCGCATCAGAAATTTGATCAACAAAATTTTATCAACAGATTACTGTATGTGTAATCACTGCGCGTGTAAAGATGTCTTTCCATTGTCTTTATATAGGCTTGGAAATCTAACTGCTAATCCCATTCACCCACCACCCTCTCCACACCACCTCTTCACCCACCACCCCTCCACACCATCCCCTTACCCACCACTTCCCTCCACACCACCCCTTCACCCACCACCCCCTCCACATCACCTCGAACGTTAAAGATATTCCCCTGCTAAACACCCCCATAACACATTATTCAGAAGCACTTACCATACGTTTTTCAAGTTTTTCAGTGTTCGAAATTTACTTGCTTCATGGAGGGAAATCGAATCTACTGTACATGCCTTCATTTAGGACTGGGAAAATGTTAAAGCTTAATTACCTCAATGACAATTAGAGCTCCTAATATTGCTCTTTCTAACTTCGTCAACTGACCCCTGACAAGTGACACCAAGTCGCTCAACTAAAACAGTAGATTGTTAAAGTTCATTACAGCCGGATATCCTCGTCGTGGATGGACCACTAACTAAGAAAACACGCACCTGTTTTTTCAGAACAACGAATAATTCTTTGAGTTCATTTTTCTCCAAAGCTTCCGACACTTCTTTGGTCCAATGCATCTGACAACCGGCGATGACAATCTGGCCCGGCCATTGCAATACCCACTCAGGGCGAGGAGTCTAAAATAATAAAAAAACCATTCATATACAATGCATCTGATAGCTTTATCATTCCCTAATAAATTTCACCACATAAAGATCCAATAAGGACTCTCTATTTATTCTGATGTACATCTACAGAGAAAATCTAAAGTACGTTTTCCATTATGAAGTTTCAAGACATGATTTAACTATTCTTAGTAGGCCAATGATACCCAGAGGGGAGCATAAACTACATACGTCGAAACATGAAGGGTACGTGCTTATGAGTTCTATTCTTTAAATCAGTGTTACTATTTTTCAACAGAGGGAAACCTGAAAAAAAACTCCTGATAAATCAGTCGCACCTGTTCGTAGGCAACAATAGCGCGATGAAGGATGCTCTTCAAGCTCGCCTGCATGACCCTCTCAACCTCTAGTAACCAGTCCTCCACGTTGCCGCGAGGATACATCTCCTCGGAGAATGGTACCCCTTCACCATCCGAAGAAAACATCTTTGAAATACGCAGGTCGTCTTCAAATTGAAGCTGAAATATGAGATCAAGTTCTTTGTAAGCAGGTCAAATTTAAAAGAGCAATCTTATCTAGCCAATGCAGAAGTTACATATGTTGAGCCTATTCCAGTGGATAATTTTTAAGCTCAGGTAACGGATATTTAAACTTGGTTACGAATATTTAAATTTTTGAAAAAACATCGCGATATTATACAAAAAGAAGATGTCCGAAAATACTACTGTAAATGCAGCATTGCACTGAAATAACCTGCATGGGTATCACTCACCCTGGCAATATTTTCAAAGCATTTCCGGAGATGCGGTTGCACAGCGGTAGGATCTTTTGTTTGAGAAAGTATTTCCAACAATTCATCATCGGACAAAAAGAAGAAACGAGGAAATGCGCTTCTCTTTGTTTCCAGATATTCACTCAGACCTTTTTGAACCTAAAATACATAAAACGTAAAATTAGAGACGTAAAATAAGCTGTTTCAACTTTGAAGAAACTATATTACTAATATTAGGCCCATGAATCTCATTAATTCTTATCGATGTGGGGATAACCCCTCAAGCTTGGGAAGGACATTTGAGCCGAAAAAGGGTTACAAAAGGGGCTGTTTGTATGATAAAGATTTTATAAGCAAGAAAGCAGGTTTACCTGTTCTAATAATTTGTTGCATTCTTTGAGGTAATCAAGAAGGCGAGCATCTGGACACAGAGATATCACCTGAAAATAAGGTTAAAGTAATAAAATTATGACAGTGCCAAAGTACTTCATATAGAATAGGAATAGAGGGAGATTAGATAGAGTATCTTCCTATATTGATCACATTCGATAAACAACCGCTCTATATATCAGTATTCAACAGGGACACCGAGAAAGGAAACTGCAACAAAGCATTTTAATGCCCACCTGAGGGTTGCTGTGTGCATTATTCATAACCTTTCTCCAGATACGTTCCATTGTCTGGTACCTTTTAGACTCGATAGGCAGCTGCCTGTTTATGTCCTCGCTACTAAATATTGGTTCTAAATAAAGCCAAGCTCTCTGGCAGTTCATCCATTCGTCCAACACATCCTGCGTCATCACTAACTTCCCCTCCCAAGTGTTAATCCTGTCTTCAAAAGGTTTCTTGTAGGGCGAGAATGACATTGACTGCGTCATGACAATATGATCATCGAGCAGTTGTGAGCAGTCGTCGCTGACTTTGATGATGTACGTTCCTGTTTCCTTGTATTCCAATACTTCCATCACCATTGGAGCCCATTCACCTTCCATTTTGTCTAGCGCCTTGATTGCACATGAAAGAAAGCAAAGAATACATTTCAGAGACCGATGTTGTCTAATTTAAATTAATGTCCGTGCCAACCAGTCTTGCATAGCTATTATAATACAATATTTGCAAAGGTTTAGATTAAACTATAAGGCTTCGTTTACACGGTACCGTCGCATAATCTCCGTTTGCCGTTATGGAGCAACGGTTAGTAGCAAATTCTTATTAATTTTATGGATTTGGTATTCTATTTGGATTTGGTATTCTATTTGGATTTGGATTTGGTAGAACATTAAAAACATCATAGACCATTCAACTCGATTTGAGAAAGATTGCGAATTGCGACTTATATCCGAAAAGGTAGTGCATTATATTTCATTGTTAGATCTCTTCTGTTTCTTCTCCTTATATTGCATAAAATGCAATGATGATAGATCGTTAGATTATATGATCAATTACAATAAAATCAGGATTGCTCAGTCCTCCAGACGTGCTCTTGGCATGTCTACGAGCTCCATGTTAAGCAGTGCGGAGTAGTACGTTACCCCACAGGGAAGGGGGAGTGTCTTACCTGCTCTATCGAATACTCCTTGCCAGCCACCTCAGCGACCTTAGCAATGACATTGATGTGATCTTGAAGTTTGAGTTCAAGACATTTCGCAAAATTCAGATTTTGATTTGCAACCAGTTTAAAACCAAGATCTTTTGAAAGCTAAAAAACGACGTGAAGTGTGAGATGCATGCCAGAGAATGGAAACAAAGATTAAACAATTAGTCTAAAGCGCAATTCGTCCATTAAATAAAGCTACTGTCGAGTGGGCAGAGGTAATGTGAGACAATGAGCTAGCCCGGTTTGTACCTGGAATATCTGAGAGTATAATATGCGTGTGGCCCAGTGACGTGTATCTATAAACTTATGCAAGCTTACTGCATGACCAGTAAAGGTCTCATAAAACGGAGCTCACTGAGTCACAGTAATAAACTTCAGATATTCTTAATATATATACTTTATATACTTGTAATTTTGGTGAACAACGATATAATTATCAGCTTCTAGGTACACCACGAATAATATTTTTGCCGACTTTCTGTCCGTTAACTCGAGCCTGGTTGAACTGATAAAGGGCCCGGGGGTACTGGACCGAAAGCTTTGCAGGGAGAAAGATACGTGTCGTACCTAAAAACTGATAATTATATTCAGATGTTGTTTTCGGAGTATATTTTATATACACCGTCCTCCCCAACCGAACTTCAATAATCACCTGATCCCAATGCCTGCTTCTCATTCCGGGATTCCTTAATCCTTGGATTAACGGGATAAACGGCTTAAAATCTTCAATCCATCCTTTGATCTCATTCGCAATATTCTGAACACTTGGCACTTCTTGGAAATGACGAGCACATTTGTGCATTGTTTTGTACGAATTGCTCACGTTGCTTTCAAGTTGTTCTGCGTCAATTGTGGTCAGCGGGTCGTTCATCCACGAGTCATGCCATTTTAACCAGTCTGATGTTGTCAGCCACAGGTTTTTGTAAGGCTCGAAGTCTTTTAGCAACTTACCAAGTTTGTCATACTGGAAAGAAAATATAATTTGGTTTTTGCTTAGAATATTCGGTGCCAACCTGGTCAACCAACTTCACTATAAACTAAACTTATATAAATGAATAAAATCATCTTGCAAAGAAGGGAATGCACTCACCGATGTCACAGGCAACCCAAACAACCTTTCCCTATTATTATACGTCGACGCCAGGCCCTGGCATTCTTTAATTTGCTTTGAAATTCGTCTTACGTCATTCGCTATTTCGTGAGCGCGGTTGATATCAGTATGCGCCGCGAATCCAGCAATTACCATGTTCAGCGTATCAAGACGATCTTGGAAAGTAGTTTGATCTGATAACAGATTCTTCTGAAAGTGTTCTTCGTCGGTTTGCAACGCGAGTTCTGTTGCTTCGATTTGTTGTTGGATTTTGTGAGGGAAACCTATTACTGTCCATCTAAATAACGATGCAAATATGTGGAATTTAGGCTAGAAAACAACTCGAATTCGCGGAACTCTATCAGTTCTAGACAGTTCTTAGTAGCATCAGCAAGCTTAATTCTTTCATAACACATGCAGTGCCACAACTTGAAAACACCTTAACTAATAAACCTTGCTGATATTCACGTTTCCCCCAATGACTCATTGCAGGTTTTTGTGTTTTAGAAAGACTGGACACAATGAAGGTTATCACCTGTATTCTAAAAACACACTGACACTCAAACTCATTGAGTTGGCGATCTCAATCTTCTAGCGATTTCATACAGCTATCTCGAGTCGAATAAAAGCTTGATTTTCAGTTTTTTACCTTGAATGTTTCTAATGAGTAAGAAAAAACTTTCTCATTGATCAGTAATAACCAAATTTCAATGTCACACTCAATGAGTTTGAGTGAGCTTTTTGAATACAGGCGTATGTCTCCATGTTTTGTGCATGAATCCTTTTTTTATCAGATGAGTATGCGCATGCAGGTTTGGTTGTTAAACGCTTGATCAAGGCTAAGTTGGTTTAAGGGGCTATGTATTCCTGCACGGCCTGCATTTCTTTAAACTTTGTGAAATAGTATTTTAATTAATTCATTTTTTTAGAAAAACATATCCAATTTTTCAATTTTTTAGAAAAACATATCCAAGGGTTAAAATGTGGCCCACAGGCAACGTTTAGATGTTATTTATAAGGCGTTCTAGGTTTTCGCAATGCCCGTGTTAACATGTTGCTTACTTGGCATTGAAGTCATCTTGTGATATACTGTAATAAAACTCCTCGATCAATTCATAGTCCACTACTGCTTTATCGATCAGTTCTTGATTTTTCTTCAGTAAATCAGGAATGGTTTTCATATACTCTCGTTGTTCTGACAGTTCTTCAATGCAATTTGGCTTGTCATACAGTGTGCGAGCGATTTGTCTGAATTCTTCGCAAACCTGGAAATCATTTATTGAACAGTCAGAAGAATGAAAATGGAGTATTCGGTATTTAAAAAAGCTTCAATAACAATAACATTTGCAACTTGGCAACTTATAGCAAAATGTTATAACTCCCCTCTGTTTAAACTACGCTGGCAGGAATAGACGTTGCATCTGCATAAAATGACTTCACCTCCACTAATTTATACAAGGAAGTGGTGGAAACCGACCAGTAGATGTGTTGAATTTAAGTTTCCAAATTCCGATTTTGCTTAATATTCAAAGCATATGCATTGTATACTTATTCATGCATCCCAAAAAATATGACTGTCCAATTTCCATCTCGAATAATGCCTTCTCCCTAAACCCATGCACCTTACTTACAACCATACGTTACTCTGGTCGTACCATCTCACCACAATCTCACCTCATCATTTTGTTTTCTTAATTTCTTTGCCAATAACTCGATGACCTGATTCGCCAATGCTTTCCTCTTAGTGGCCAATTTCTGACGAACGCTTTCCGTGTTTATTTGAAAAGGACCAATCACGATTAAGGAAGGTATGCTGTTTTCCAGGGCATCTTTCTCTGCAAGATGTTTCTCAATCTCTTGTTTCACCTCCACGGCGCTGTGGTCTTGACTGTCATAATCACTGCAAAGGAAACAGTGCAGATGGGTTTAAATATGAGCAACGTTTTAACGGTTTGAGGTACATGTACGTTAAAGGTACATGTACGTTACATGTACGGTACATAAACGCTTGTTTTGAAGTATGTTATAAGCACCGTATTGAAGTTTTGAAGCATGTTATAAACACTTATAAACGCTTCGTTTTTCTGACTAATCATGGATCTACAGGACATTCAGTTAAAAGAACAAGAAATAGCACTGTATATAATACGGATTTGGGAAACCCGCAACGGATGCACCAGCATTATTACATCATTCTAACAGGCAACCATCTTCGTATGGTATCAATGATTACTCCAGAATCGTACAGGCGAAGGTTTATTTAAGGGGACTCCTAGCTGCATTCTTCGCAACTCTACCAGTTTGGTTTTAAATGTGTGATATTCCAAACCTTCATTCTCCTAACTAGCCGACCATCTACGTACATATCATTTATCAAAACACATAAAATGAACCCTAACTTACTTTAAATATTCATTGATATCCAAATTGAACAACTCCAAATGTTTTTCATACTCTCTTGCGTACGCTAAAAGAGGGATAATAGCTTTCTGTATAGCTTTTCTTATATATTCTCTCGTCTCAACGACCGGGGGTTCATTTTCTCCGACAGTTTCCAACAGTGGCGTTGCACTCCAAAACAACTTCTTCATGACCATTTTCTCCAGTTGGGGAACATTCTTTGTACAAGTAATTCCCTTGTCGAAAAGACTTATGACAGTTTGTTCAAAGTTTTGTAGGTCCATTCCGTAACCGACACCTTCTTTGTCCATCGTTAGGTCGACAAAAAACAGCGGGTTCTTTTTTGGCCTGTGTTTTTGAGAAAAGGAAATTGAAGGTTAAAGTTGAAAGACATTTTATTAATCTTTTCTTGATCTTAGAAAACCTTTTTTTTTACGTTGGACACTGCAATAGTCTATCAGGTTTAGTAAATAAACTAAGCCAACTTCATAGAAAAAAGCTCAGTGAGTACTTAAATGTTGTGCTTGGATGTCTATGGTAGGATAATCTCGTATTGATCAACAGCTCATTTTGGTTATTATTTTCGTTATGCTCAATTTTAATCGAGTAAAATATGTAGTGATAAAGTTACTTACTTGTATGGGCTGTTAATAATATCTTTGCCCCAGACGAGATCCTCTTTGACATGTAATACTTCATGACACCCGTCATGAATCGTTTGTTTGTACAGAGCCAAAGAATCTTGTACCAAATATCGTAGCGTATCCTAAAAAAATATAACCACTTAGAAATCATTTAAACTATGGACATTTGTGTTCAATTTGGATGAAGAGACAATAGACGCCTTTTAAAACTTTGAAAAAAAGTGTTGTCCCATTTAATCACCAATGTGTCCATGTTCTTGTCCAGTGTAAATTTCAACATAGTGAGTGCATTTCACCTGACAGATTGTCTGGGGTCGTGTCAGCCGAATTAAAGATAAAAAGTCACAAACCTGCATCGCAAAGTTAACAAGCTGCATAAATTTGGCCAATTTTGATATTTTGTAAACTTCCCAGATAGTTTCATCCAAATTAAACCATCCTTTTCCAGCCTCACTAAGACTTGTTCTGATTGCTGAGCGTAACGTGCTTAACCAACTGTCTTTCAGGAACAACTGAATCTATTATAGTCAAAGCAAACGTACTGTTTTTAAAGCAATTATTCCCAGCATTACCAGTGTTTTATTACCAGTGTTTTATTACCAGTGTTTTATTACCAGTGTTTTATTACCAGTGTTTTATTACCAGTGTTTTGCGAACAAATTAAAGTTTCCTGGCCATCCCTGGTAGTTTGTAACCTTTTTTAGGGTAGAAAAAATAATTTCTTCTATTTATAGATGTGAGCGAGTGGATTAGTTACCGATGTTCAAACAAGAGTCCGCCTAATATGCATCAAAGGACTCATAACTAATTACTCGATCACATCCTTCAAAAGAAGAACGTCGCAGCGAAAATCGCAGCAAATATTGCAAGTGTAAACGATCTCCCATCAGGATTGAATGTGATGCGCTTTTTACCTCGCCTATAGTCGGGATAACTCGCTCCATGTAAACAGACTCTTATAGATAGATATGTGGGTGGAATATCATCACATTAATCTGCAACCTTACCTGCGAACTTGCTTGGCTCTGCGTCTGTTCGAACTCCTCCAATCTCATGCTTTTAGTGATCGGGATTTGAAACAAACACATAGCTGCAACCCTGTTGCATTCGGCACGAACTTTCGCCATGGCGTGTATGACTTCGGCGCGTGTTAGCAAGGAGAGGAAGGAAAATTGGTCAAATTTCCTATCGAACGGGCAGGCAGGAACGTCCGGATTGTAGCCTAAGAAATTTAGGATAATACATGTACTAATATTATGTTATAGTTTCTATTATTTTAGCGCACCTATCTCAGCATTCTATCCATGAAATAAATAGTATTGTATATTATGACGTAGGATTGTCAGGGCTGTCTCTCAGGACACTTACGTATAATTGGGGTGCCTGTTCATATAAGCCCAGTTCACACTAGACTCAATTTATTTGGCACAGCACGGCTAAAACAGGTATACCAATACCCAATTTTATCCGTGCTTTCAATAAAAAGGCCGAACACGGATAGAAATGATACGGGTGCCCATTTTAGCCGTGCTAAAATCAAGCCGTGCTGAATCAATTGTCACAAACGAAGTTATATATGTTCAACGTCCGCTTACTAGTTACTATGCACGATTGCCTCATTTTGAAATCGGTTGTTTTTTAAAAGAAATCAATCGGGAATAACACAAATAGCTATATGAATACTGGGCTCTGGCAATTCTACGTTTCAAAAACGATGTCTTTCATCTTTGAAATCAGCGGCGAAAATAGCCCACTAACAGTCCAAGGACGGGACGCTCTGAAGATATAGAATGTGGCGGGTATATATTATATTTGAACAATTCTGGAAAATGTAACCGATGCAGGTCTTTCTGGGAGAAATTGGCGACAAAAGCCCCGTTTACATTACAGTGAATTAATAGGCACGGGTACCCATCTTAGCTGCACTGTGCCATTAAATCTGTGTCTTAATATATATTAAAAAGTCGAATAGAATGGTATCAAATTTGCATAGTGTAGTGTAGTGTGGCATAACTATCTTACCTCTTTCCGGGACAATCTGTTTCTCATCCTCTGGCAGAGTGACATACCAAAATTTTTGTGGCATGCTGGTTACCGTCTTGTCAAAAGATATTTTATTCATCGTTCTTGCAAAATCCAGCTTAATCTCGTTGCACAAAAGGTGAACTTTTTCGTCAAAACTACACAAGAACAAGTGACGCAGTATAACCATGCAACAGTTTTCATTAGCAAATTCAGAAAATCACATATACGTCAAAGGCCAGGGGCCGGTTGTTGAAAGCTGGATAAACTTGTCCACTGGATAGTGATTATTTCAAACCATTAAAAAAATCCTGACCAAGACTAAACTTCACAATTTTGAAGTTAATATAAGTAGCTTTTATCGTTTTTCAAAACTTTTTTACGACGCTTGAAAGAGTCATGCTATCTAGTGGATAACTTTATTCACCATTCGAACAACCGGTCCCAGGTGTATAAAAGACTATATAGTTAACTTTTAACTGTAGTTAAGGACAGAATTGGTCAATCAGAGTCGTGTATTTCAGAGTTAACTAGGATTTAACGATGCAAAATGCAGTTAAAGAGTTTTATACAACCGGCCCCAGGAGGATAATCTGTCTCTGAATACATACCTAGGCCCTTTCTTCAACATGCTTGTTTCACTGGCCCATTCCACCATCCGGTCCAATGAACATGTCTCGAGCTCTGCAACTCCATCCACAGGCATACAATCAACATACAAATGGTATCTAAAATTGTGTTTTGCATAATATAGTATACGTATTAACACTTGGCTTTTACTATACAGCGAGCCAGTACGGAAAGACCCGAGTTTGCTCGATCATATAGCTTAACACTCTTGAAAGGTTTGAAAATTTGGAACGATTTTATTACGAAACCGAGTTATTTAATTAATGAACTGAATCAAGCATTAGGTCGCAATTGGCAGAGCCGCAGGGCTAAGGTAATTGGCAGAGCCGCAGGGGAGTGAAAAGATACCGCAAGCTTCTTGGTCGCGCATTTGGCGGTAAAACGTTCAAAACATAGTATCTTTTTGGTGCACCACTCAAAGTCGATTCACTCTAACTTTATTCTTCATATATGCTGTTGCATGTTGACTCGTTAAATCAGTAAGTATTGAAATCGTTTGAAAGTTACATTTTCAATCACCTTAAAAGAGCTTCTGTCTGTAATCTCAGGTTGTATGCGTTAGCAACTCTATCCGCAAAGGCCATCGGGTCCTCGGCACAGAACATGAGGCGAATCCTTGGGATCCAGCATCCGTCTATGGTCAGCGAGGGTGGTAGTGGATTTGGTTTGGACTTCTCGGCATCTTTTTGGATATAAGCGTTCAGTTTTGTACCCTTAGGGATAACATTATGTTGAACACCACCAAGTCCGACCGCTCTGACGAAAAACAGTTTGTTGTCTGGGTTGTACCCAAGAACTCCAACATCCAGCCATTTGAATCTGAAGAATTAGAAGAAGGTTTATGTGAAATGGAGGACCCATTTAACACGGAAAATACTTAAAGTAGAAAAAAAAGTTCGGGTTCCTCTACCTCATTGGCCATAGAATAAATGAATGGTTAAAAAAGAAAGAAATTGAAAATTCGTAAACATTAGAGGCACATAATAGTAATGCACCACAATGTTGTGAAGCGACGTGAGATTGGCTACTTCATTACTCGCCCCCTTTTTACCCTTTAGCACAAGGGTAAAAAATACTGGCAATATTATTACACATCATCAAATACAAATGAACTTTAAAAAAAAAATTCGACACATAAAAAGTTCGACGTCTGAAACGGGCCTAATTTGCGAAAAAGCGGTTTTCAAACCAACTGGGGAAGTACCCATTCGAAACACGAAGTAAAAGAGATGTGCGGAACGCAAATGCAATGTTAATATAAGTTACTAAAAAGGCTTTCGTAACACCTTTATGCTGCTCATTTGCAGTAATTCAGACAGCGCCTGTATATACATCTTCAGGTAACCCACCTGTCAGGATCAGCAACATCCTTGCCAGTCAACGACAACAATGCCTTTCCTGGAACTGGTCTCTGGTGTCCCTTCACTACACCAAGATCCAACCATTCTCGCGGATTTCGACAGTCAAACTCTGTGTTGTCAAAAATATCCAGTGACAAATAAGGTGGGTAAAGTCTTTTGTTCTTCGGGTCAGCCTTGGTAAGATCAACTCTCATGTTGAAACCTTTGTGAGGCATTAGGTCGGATGTTAAAACTCCGCGTTGTTCAAGCAATGCTGTAAGGTCTTGACTTGCGTACAAACGTTTCAGTCTACGAGTTAAAAGAGAAAATACAACGCGAACTGAAAAGTTTTTATCGTTTTAGGCTTTAGGCAATTTCACCAATAATTGACTAATTTGCGATACATATCACTGATGAAAATAGCTGCTTTGTACCAAAATATCAGTAACACCTGTTTCAAATCCTTCCTGATATTTGTTAAAGAGCTTACAATGATCTGTACAGAAAGATACTCCAGGCTTTGCCCATAAACAGAAGAATTAGAACTCAACTATGATAGACTGGAGTCTTGAAAAGAATCTTGAAGAAATTCTTATAGCAGACAGGCTAAGGTAGTCTTCGAGATATCGTAGCTTATAATGACTCTTTAAAGTAGTTTTTAGAATTCTACGAATTAGATATGGATTGTCTGTTTTGTACTTTTCTAAATAATTTCCTATTATAGTCGTAAAATTTATATTTTTACTGTATTTGTATATTTGGTATTCTTACTGTGAATAATTCTGTATACTTCAGCTCTTGTAAGCTGCTATCCAGATTATTAATAAATTCAACTCAATTCAATTCACATATCTAAAATAGGATCCTTTATGATCTTACAGGATCATGTAGGATTCTATTAACCTACAATCTTATATATAGGGATCCCACATATATGATTGGTAACATCTTAGGTACATCTTCACAGGATCAGTTCTTCACATGCACTACCATTCACTTTACCTCTCTATAGCAATTTTTCTTGGTACTTGACCAGGTTCTGTTTCGTATGGTACTTGAACCTTTGGCTCCCATGATCCCCAGGGAAAATCCTAAAGAAGTTAACACTACATTCATTCCTGCTGGTGATGGCGGTATTGCTAATTGAAGAGTGCTGGCGCTAGTTTAATCCAAACAAAAATTTAACTTACAGAATTTGTCACAGAGGCAGTGGTTGGTCCAAATGAAATACTTGATTCAAATTCTTCACCTTCTGGGCCTTTGAATGTTGTAGCTGTAGGTTGAAGGTTAAACTTTCGTTTTAGGCTATTTACGGGTAGATTATATTGGTAATCATAATTACCAACCTTTCGGAATATGTTTTTCCTTTACTGTTTTCCAAACTTTGCTCTCATTTCGTGCAGGGCCATTCTTTACACCCTGCGAACAACAATCATAATATTCAAGTTCACAAAATTATATACGTACATATAAAATACTTTTTGACTAATTACATCACAAATATTTGATATTCTGATCATTGATTGATCATGTTATTGTCTTACTGATGCTGACAAATTAATTCAGTATTAACACAGCATCATGGTTGGTTTGCTGTTACAACTGATAGCTTGTACCTGGTACATATTATTATTATATGTTATCAAGCCATACCATTAATCTTTAGGTTATATATAAAATTGTTTGTAATCACTTGCGTTATAATGTTCCAGAAATTTTTCAGTACCTACCTTCAGTACCTACGAACATACACAGTTATGTCTTAACTCATACTTTTGTACACAAATTTGATTTATATAAAATGTTATGGATCTATGTAAAAAGAGCATTAGAGCTAACAGCCTCACACAGTAAAATCTATTGACGACATCCTATCAATCACTGGAAAATAAATGGCATCACCCACCTGCAATTCTCCTGCAGCTTCTTCGCGCAAGATATCCGAATAGAAACCACGTTGCTTAGCAGGAAACAACTCTTGTTTGAACGAACTAGTTGTCCTTCTGGAATTGGTGTGGAAAATGTCGCCCATTTTTCACACTTTTTACAATGATATCAGCCTAAAACGAGCTAGACAAGCATAGTAGCCATTGCATAAAATACAATCCTTTCACATTTTTGTTCAATGTATATTTCACAATCCTGTAAATTAACTTTTAAACCACAATTTGCAAAATTCTTTGCACAAAATTTAGCAAGATGGCGTCGTTGCTAGGAAACCGAAACGTAATTTTAAACAACCTGCACGCGGGCTACTTTGTGAACGCGGGCAAAATAACCAACTACTGTAGCGCGCGAAATCGACGCATTAACGCACCCTTTAAACAAAACTGAAAAACAGCACAATTTCAAAACCCAAGTATCCCGGCCATAGGCGTACTGGCGCAACTTCGTTTGGGGGGGCAAAAAAATCGTCCGAAATTTTTGCATTACGCAATGTGTCCGAATTTAAACTTTTACCAGATTTGTAACAATAAACTTGGCAAAGCGGCGGATGTGCTTTCAAGAAAGTGTAACAAAAATGGCCAAATAGAATACATATATGTGATATACATTACAAAATTTGGTTTTAAAATTTTTGGCTGTGTAACTCTTTTTCAGTCTGCCCGAATTTTCGGCTGAAACTTTGCCCGAATTTCTTGATTCTCGAAATTTTGCCCCCCTTTTTAGCGTACGCCTATAACAATAAAAGAGCACCGCCCCCCCCCCCTTGCCCCCGTTGGTAAAGACAATAGGAGCACTACCCCTAGTTCCTGTCTCTTGCCTATGTTTCAATTTTATAATTTTAATGCCTCAATTTCCCTTTCATCATAGTCCAACATTGAGATTCCATGTTTTCACAGCACCTTAATGTGTATGAAGCGTTCAAAATGAAACAATAATTCATATAATTTAACAATATCAAGTCGTACATGCAATGCCAGAGAATACAAAAATAGCACGTAATCACACGAATTACGCCAACATAATAACTAGCCTATCTCTAGTACGGATAATTTAGCTACGCGGGAATATATTGTTTAAAAAGAAGATTAGCCATTTCATTTGAATAAGTTCAACTTAACAATTCACAAAAAATCAGATAAAAATGACGTTGACTTAGGTGAGAAATGAAGCTACATTCAAACAAAGCCAAAGGAGATATTTTCCTAGTATAGTGTATGCCTATGGAATAGTGAATACGCGTCAGAACAATAAGTGATAAATCATAAAGAAATATTTCAGTATCGTAAATGTCACATGGTGTGCACATGATCTAGTAGACTAGCCTTTGTTAGGGTGATTCAAAAAAAAATACTTGAACATATTTTAAACGCTTCGAATCACAATAACAAAATGCTTTATGACTTATCACTACTAAAGTTTATTTTTCTATCAAAAACTCAACACAAATGATATGGCAATGTTTTTTCAAACAATGCGCTCTTGGGAATATTTGGGAAAACTGTAACTATAAGAAACATTTCTTCTATTTTCGCTATATATACTGCTTAGACTTGAACGAAAAATGAATAAAACAAAGTCAAAGAGGTGTCCTAACTGTCAATGTTTTTAAACTAACGGTCAACGTTGTTTTCTGACAGTTTCTGGACAGTTTTTTCACCCTGTACAAAGTATCTTTTGTAACTACGTGTTGTTAAGTTTTGTTGTTCGATGTTTATAGGATTATGCATTTCTTCTTCTTCGGTTTTTTGGGAGTCGTCTCGTGAGCAGCATAGAATTTCCTGTGAAAAAAATGGAACTAAAGTTGATTTCAATGACAATGCAACAGCCCATCTTCATAGTTTCTGCAATCCTGCATGCAATTGCTGCTGTTTCGGTGAACAAAATTGCTATCGACATTGGAAATCTTATCAATCTTACCTAATAGCTCGGACAAGGTCGTGAAAAGCGGCGTCAACATTTGTTCTCGTTTTAGCACTTGCTTCGATATATGGGATCTGAAGAAGTAGTGGAAACGTAGAAAAGTTTGTTAGTTGAGGTTTCCTCCTTAACATTAATAATAATAATAATAATAATAATATTAATATGAAGAGAAGCAGAACCACATCGGGAACATATTTCAAAAATGCGTGAAGTAACTAAAATCGTATCTAAGACTAAGACAAAATAGAATTGTAGATACCAAAGTAAATAAAGCTTACACCGAAAGCATAGTTGATGGCTTGCGTTTAGTTGTGTTCTACAAACTTTAATTATGTTTAATTTAAAGCTTTGGCCACGTTCATTTGTCAAAACTTTTCACGATGGTATTCGAGAAGGGTATTTGCATCTGCGCATATACCGTTGACACTGGCACTGCACCAAAATCTGACAAATTTACAGGTGAACCGAAATAAAGCACAGTTGTGGCAGTCCTCTATATGAATACAGTTGATAATTTAAATTTCCAGCTTCTGTACCTTTAATTGCCTCCCAAGTTCATTTCCCTCTTGTGCGGAGACCTAAATGCCAAAAAATCGCATTACTTGGCATTAGTCGTTTTTTTGAAGCTAAGTATTTAGCAAGTCCTTTAAAAATTTGTACAAAGTTGCAAATGCCATAAAGCCCATAAATAATTAGACATTCACTCCTTACCACTCTCTCACGTTCTAAATCGGATTTGTTGCCCACAATTATCATAGGAAACTCGCTTCTGTCTTTAACTCTTAAAATCTGATTGTAAAATTTGTTGATTTCGTCAAAGCTATGGGAAAAAAAGGCATGTTTTCATTCGAAATTTAAATACGTTTATTGACATTTGCTTGAAAAAAGTAGGCTTAAAAAAAAATTCAACCATAACAGGAACAATTTGTTATTACATCTCAAAATTCCCATTATAGTCGCTGGTTTACTTTTAAACAATGCTGTCTCATTTAAATATAGATTTCTTTGCAAACATGCCTGATACATAGGGTTAATTCTAATTAAACACGTCTTAGACCATAATTAATTAGATGCTCAAACAACTTTAGGGTGACATTGTTTCTGCACCCCCTGGTGGCATGCATTTCTCAGAGCAACCAACAATGAGCTCATGTAGCAATAGATTATTAGGTTATTCTGCTCACATACACATGCATGTTATTTAATATTTGCCCACAAAATGGACTGTATTTCCAACAGGTTGGCATGCCAACAAAAAACAAAGCAAGCAGACAGAATAACAGACAAACACATTGCTCAATAATTTTACCTTGCTCTATCTGTAAGTGAAAATACCAGTAAAAATCCCTCACCACTTCTCATGTATTGCTCCCTCATAGCACTGAACTCCTGCAAGCCAGTAAAATATATTAATGTTTTCCATTTGTATCTTACACTTTTTGAAAACATTTTCTGAAGTTTAAACTTAGAGACATAATTGGAGGATAGGTAGAAATCAGAAAACTAGTAGATTTTGTGATTATAATACTATATACTGGGAAAACATTCTGAGAACTTCTTTTTCAACACAACATTGATAATTTCAAAAGTTAAATTCAGGAAAATAAACAATCCAACTTATTAACACAGCTTCCAAAAAAATGAACTGGGCTATTGAAGGAATATAACCATGTTCAAACAATTGCACACAAAAAAAATTAATAACAAAATTAGCTTTATGTTTCACCTAGGTTTGTTTTTGTGTGTCTAGGTGGGTGAAGCTCCATGTAAGTTATTGATAGTGGTCAGTGGTGGTGATGATAGTGGCTAAATCAATTAAATTATGTCTGATTTAAATGTTTATTATGTATGATCAAAATAGCAAACAGAAAAATATTTGCATTCGAATATTTGCCATCACAAGACAGCAGGTTTAAGATCTGGTTTTACAATGTGAAAAAGGCTGATTAGATTTATCACCTAAATACAATACACAAAGGGTGGCAATGTTGTAAGCACCATGTCGTAAGTCATGATATGTTATTATCCTGGCTAAGACTGTGTTGTATGCATGTGATATGTTGTTAAAGAAACCTGGAGGCCTTTTCTACTTTTAAAACATGATTACAAAGGCTACAATAATTTAGCGATAAATTCCTTCAGTCAATTTCAAATTACGCACCTCTTGACCAGCTGTGTCGAGAACTAAAATAAATAAATTAAATAAACATTGATCAGCAAAAATTACTGATTAAAAAGTGTTGGGCATTAATAGTTAACAAAATAAACTTTTTAGCATGCCAATCAAATTTTGCATTTTGTACATAGTTTTAATTTGCCATTAGAGGGGTAATGGATATTGAAAAAAAACAATCTGCCTAGTTTTCTTACTAAATCCATCCAAGGCATAAAAACATATAAGGCCATATAACTCTACTATTTTAAATCTTGTCTAACATTGCCAAATTTCCAGATTGCATGAACCTGATAACTTATATCTCTTGAGTATTTTGATAATTTAGTAAAATCTCTTTTAGCAGAATTTAAAATTTGAAGATTAATTAATCAGGACAATTGCACTAGACTGCTGACCTGACATCAGTGTCTCAAAACAAACGTCAGTCACACAGAGATATTAAAATTTAAATACATGTTTTCTGTAGTAACAGCGTAGTATACAGGCCATATCACACAACACAATATACACAGTACAATATACCTCTAATTCTTCAAATATTTTTGTCCTTAACAGCTTTATACATACTGTTTCTAATAGACTATGAAAGCATAATTGTATTTATTATGATAATCAATTGATTAGTCCTTTCGTTCTGTTTACATTCAACTTAGCAACTTCTGGTCTCATAATTTGTTCTAAAGAACATGAATTCCTATTCTAATTGTCTATAGAACAAAATGTTTATTCGATGGAACATAATATCAAATTAGAACTATTTGCCAACGGCTAAATTTGTAGCCGAGAAAATCTGGTTTAAATTCGACATACACTTCAAGATTCGGCTAACAAGAAGCACAACGGAAAGCACTTGTGGTGAACAAAAGGTTTGGTGTATTTCGGAGTTGATTCTTTTGACTGGTGTTAAATTCGAATGAACAGCAACATTCGCGAAACATAACATTCGAATTCCAGTTCTAATTTCCAAAAGGAACAAATGCCCCTCCCATGGTAGACTAGCTATTTCATTAATCATATAAAACATGTTCTAGTGCAAGAATAACAAGACACGTACCATGTTCTTACGAGCAGGAAGCTAACTAAGCAAATTCTGCTTTCGGTTAGACCGAACACAAAACGTTTCGTGGAAAATGCGTTAAAAACCTAGCACCATTTATCACCGATTATATATTGTTTATAAATCTTACTACAGCCGTCAAAAATCACACGAAACAGATAATTTATGAATACAGAATAGGGTATTCGTAATTGAAGTCGCCGGAAAAATTCAGCCACAATAAATAGCAACAGAAGTAAGGGCAAACAGACTTGACTTCTGATCCATTTATGGACAACTGAATCAACTATTGGGTTGGGCAAGGAATGCTCTATAATATTCGCTAAAATGGCTAATTTGGCCTCGAATTATATAGCCGATACTTATTCTGCTGTTTAGTTTAGCGACTAAACACGCATAGATATAAATGTACAGCAGATTAGGAGAAAATTAACCGTACTTACTATCTAAATGTGCAACTCTCTCGTCGATTACACATTGTTTTCGGTAGCTGTCTTCGATCGTCGGGTCATAATCGGACACAAAATGTGATTGAATAAACTGTATAGTGAGCGCTGATTTACCGACACCACCGCCTCCGACAACGACCAGCTTGTATTGTCGTTCTGTGTCTTTTTCCTTCGACATAATTCACTGCCCAAATGGCTTTTCCAGTGTGAAAAATAGAAGGTTAAATCAAGCTGGTTTAACAGAATATTTTCACTATAAATTGACAATGTTCATAAAATTAATATGGGCGTTCCGAACAACGTGAGTCAGCGAGCCGCCTGCGGTATGCTCGTTACAAAAATACATTACCTAAAAGACGAATCAGGAATTTTTCGCATTCTATCGAAATGCTTCGTCAAGTGCCCGGAAATATTCTAGATACCGAAACTGTGAGTTTTGTCTCCGGAAATTATATCGGTGAGTTAGAATATTATGTGAAGGCTAATCTATTGTGATGCCAATCAAAGAGTCATTGGATGGGTTAAGTCTATTATTATATAGCAATAAGCATTCTGGTGACTTGTTACCCGTGTACTGACAATGACTCGACTCCGCTTCAAGTTCTGGCGAAATGCTACCACTCTTTATCCACACGGGGCACCCCGCCCTTTCTGAGGTGGTCAGTTGCATTGTTCTTCGTGCTCAAAGCCGTGCTGCAGCACGTCAAGGCTGTATCGGAGGGGGTGCGGCTCCCAAACACCAGACTCCCACACCCCCTAACAATTAATTTCATGTCATGCAATATTCGGAAAATTTGATCCCAGAGAGGTGGGCGACACACAACGAATACCGGATGCAATTTCTGTTTTTAAAATCGGATAAATTTCATACTGAAAACAAATTTTGGAAGCTATAAACACCAAAGCAATCAAAATGGACTCTTTAAGTGATACGGATATTATGACAAAATTTATTTGCTTCTGGAGAACTCGAAAAATCTGATCACGTTGCCAAATCGCATCCGGTCTGTGTGAGCCTTTACTTTTAGAGTTGTCGTAATCAAAATGTTTTTAGGACTGTAATTTAAAAAAGAGGAGTATTAATATGGAAAGCCAATTTGGACAAAACCCCCTTTGTTTTTCTTGGACGGTCGAGATCTTACTCGCGGAGTCGTAATCTTACTATCGCTCCATAGCCCCGAATATTACACCATATCTCTCCGTGGCGCTCCATGGACCACCATAACACTCCACAGACCTCCATATATGCATCCATACGGCTCCATATGTCTCCACAGACTTCCATGTGCCTTCATACGCCTCGTCGCCTCCATAGGCCTACACTAGGTCTCCATAGATCACCATAGACCTCCTGATATGAAAGATAGTTCGTCTTCTAGTTCGTCTGTGTGTAAATACGGGCAAACAGACGGATCATCCGTCAACTCGAATTATCCGCATAGTTCGTCTATGAAAAAACGCTTCTTGTGCTGTGCACTCTTTTTACCACGATACTTAAACAATTTCCCAATTCCCGTACACTTTCAACGCGCGATTCTGTTTTGTTTGACGTATTCATCTACATAGTTCGTCAGGTCTAGATAGTTCGTCGTGTGTTTATACTCAAACGGATCATTCGTCCTGACGGATCATCCGTCTCTAGTATAAAAAAGGCCATTATCCCATTTATATGGGCTAGGACACCGGGCTGACCCGGTTTCATATGATTGCAATTTTACAGATATAGTGAAATAATATGTGAAGCGAGATCCCGTCATCCTGGCACTGCCGAGGTAGCCCAGCTGAACTGGGCTGGCCCGTCTCATATGAACAGTATGGTACTCTTGTTCAAGTTGGTACACTTAAAACACTCTCCTCCGCATTACGTGACAAATTAGCAGAATTAAAATTTATTTTAATTAGCGAAAAAAACTAAATTTTATTTTCTGTTTTGAGCACTTAATAAGAATCTTTCTCCATCTCAGTTTTCGCCACGGAAAATCTTCTGAAAAAATGAGTCATCTGATTGGGCTAGATTAGTCGTCATTTTGGTTTGGACGCGAAAAATTTAACGATAAAAATTCGTACAATTCGTACTTTTTGCAAACCAAAATGGCTATTCTGAGGCTGTTTCAGAGAGTTTATGGTAAAAGAAATCTAATTCCTTTTCTTACGAGATCTAATTTTTTTCAAAGCAGATTAGGCAAGTAAATCATTTACCTTTATAATAAAGTGAAAAGAACTATTGTAATGAATGTTGGACTATATATTTTTATATAAAATTGTATTATTTGTGCTTGAATAATTGAATTTTCCTTCCAAGTTTTCCTTTACAAATTTGTTTTCAAATTAATTTAACACTACGCAGCATAAGACATAAGTAAGTGAACATTAGGTAGTTATACTTTTAGATGGTTATACCAGTTAGTACCGTTTTTTATTTAATTACACTAAAAACAAAATTTAAAAAGGTAGTGTTATTTTTTGCAGCCTCCACTCAAGTCGAGAAATCGGAATGGCCTGATGATGGACTGGGTCTTGGTAGCTACCCAAAGTTACCAGACATTTCATCTCAAACCAAACCACCGCATGGCTGGTGGGATGTCCAAGAGCGAAGAAATTATGGTGATCCTGTAAGGATAAAGAGCCTTCAGAACAGAGCCAAAAAATACAAATAAAACTAACATGTTGGTATACCTATCTTGTTCTAGCTTCATGAGGAAGATGATGCCTTGAATGTTTGGATGTATGATGCTCCAGAAAAGAGTTTATATCCTCCGTAAGGCAAATTGTGAAATATTGTTAACAAATAACAAATTTTGTCATTCACTTCACCGTATTCTCCATTTTGGTTAATTTACCTGCTGTTAACTGCATGTAAATAATACTCTGAGCATGTGCATTTGTTGAAAATGTTGCTTAGCTGCAAATAATACTCTGAGCATGTGCATAAGCTATTTAAATGGGACTCGCTTTTCTGAACTGAATGCTGAACAATATTTAAATGGGACTCGCTTTTCTGAACTTTCGGAAAATGAGTTGTATTGCTACTCAAATCAACTGAACCAATAATTGATTAATATTTGACATATATTTATTTTAAAAGGCACATTGACTAAACTCATAAAGGCAATTTTCGCAGTATAATTTTTTTTTTACATTTATTCAAGAATCCTTTAAATGGTTGGTTGTAATTTTTCACATTTTAAACAAAAGCAAATTCAAAAACATTATAGTATCAGAATTAGCTTTGACTGATAACTTTGACCACTTTGTAAGTTGAATCAATTTTGTTTTAACTTCTTGTACTGTAGAAATGAGGCATTGCGACATCTTCTGACAATGTTTGCTTTAGTTGGTGGTTTCATGTATATTGGTTATCTTTATGGCAAAACATCAAGTGGGAATAGAAACCAATATGTGAGTCTAACTGTATGATCAAGCTGAAATATGCATTGTTGTATTTAATAATGTACTAAATATTACTGGTAAGAGGAAAGCATTTGTAGAAAATATCCTATATCAAAAGCTTGAATAGCCTGACAAAATGAAAATCTGTTTTAAAAAGAATCCTTCTTTCTCTGTTTTAGACACCAAAACAGTTCCCATATAATGATAACCATCATATCTACAAAGATGGAGACCCTAAACAAAGACTAAAAATAAACTAAATGTTATGTTTTTTTGTAATGTAAATATATATTTGCCTGGTGAGCTCATAATGATTTCAAGATTCTGTAAAATTAAATAAGGGCAGACACAGCAAGAGTTCTTTATGGAAGAGTATGTTCTATTGTTGACTACATCTCCATAATTACTTGTAACTCAATTAAGTCAATTTCCAAAAAGAAAGGCTTGTTTTTTAGAATTACTATACCCCATTTGAGCTTGATTACAATATCAGAGTGTATTTGAAAGTCCATTTGCAATTTAGACTATAGGAGAAAAACCAGACACAGTACTAAAATGCGGTGCCCGCGATGCTCACCTAGAGATAAAATGTCCGCTCATTTCTAACGACATGTCGACATCACCAACCTACATTCGCCTGTCGGCCGCTGGTTGGTTGGTACATTAAGGTCAAAATTGCGCTTAAAGCTATTAAAATAAGATATTTTGGCCTCAAAATACTATCGAAGTGAGGAAAAATTGAAACAATAGTAAAGTATAGCCACAGCGATTTTGTCAACAATACAATTTCGTTTGTCTTTCAAACGTCATAAATCGCTGCGAATACTACATATTGTTTAGTAATACATTTAAGACGTGTTAGTATAATTTCTTGCGCTGAATCGAATGGTGGTATTTTTGTCCTTCTTGGGTGCATAAAACCAGAGATAGACGCAATCATCAAAGTTTGAGATTGAAATAAAAAAAAGACTTTCCTCGAAACAAGGAATTCTGCAAACGTACAACAAGATTAATAGTAAATTAGGAATAAATTCCAAGCATGTGCAAGGAATTTTTAACAGGCGATTAAGGAAACGTATTGATGCGAACAAACAAACTCACAGGCAGAATATAATGCGGTGCCAAACTTGGCGCGGGCACCGCAATATCCGATATTTTCGGTAATGACTCGTTGTGCCTGAACAGGATTTTTTCATTTAATTATATCTAGAATTTCAAGATGGCTTTTTTTTTAAATGGTCATAAATTTGAGGTTGCCTTTTTGACGTTCCCCTATACTGAAGAACAGACACAAAAAAACTGCCAGTAATTTGCTTTCGCTTTCGATAACTCTGAATAAAATGATTTTTTATCGAAATAAAGATCGTAATAAGAAATTATGAATATCCTATCAAAAACAAAGAACTTGTGGAACTATTTACAGAATATAATGGACATAATAGAAAGATAAGAAATTTTCCCCAGCACTATTCTTTTATTTGAGAGAAGATCAAGCGGGCATCTCGTTTTCTGCTCAGATTTTTGAGATTGTACATATTACCTACAGGGCAAAAGAAAAAAAGTAAAGATGTGTTTGGAACGGACTTATAGTGTCCAGTGAGTTTAACCAGTTAAAGTAAAGCTGCCATTTTTGACAATTCTTTCACTGCACTTGAAAAAAACTTGTGAATGCGTTGCAAACCACTTGTGATATACACACATTGTGAACAAATAATTTGTACAAAAAATTGACAAGGAGTTTATCCAAACGTCTGTAGTTCTGTGATGCTATACTTGTAGCAAGCAAAACAAGGTGTGTGCGTTATGGAACCATGTTCTCTTATATCCTATAGGATGATATAAGAGAACACGAACCTTATTTTTTTGGTTCTCTCGAGCATAATCAAATTAAAGTAGTATAAGCAATACTCAATACTCTACCTTGAGGTACAAAAAATGTTGATCCTTTCGTTACGGTAAAATTTTGATTATGGATTGAAAACAGGATATTTCCAGACAGAATGTGAAATATCTAACAAAAAACATTGAATCTAAAAATTAGCTTGTTACAAATTAAAGAAAATGAAACTTGCCGACTCAAAGCGACTGTCGCCATTTCTCCGTTACGTCTGCTCCATCTGCGCGGGTGCATCCAGATCGCCTTAACATCTTAACGATGCAAGCAACTGTAATAGTACGCATGCAGATGGATTTCGAAAAGCCCTTTTCATTGAGCAATTTAACAAAGTTTTGTATTAATCCTACAGTGTACATAGCATGTGGGTCAGCAGAAAATAGGAATAAATTTTTACTAAATAGACCTTATGCATAATGACGTAGGGTGTAACAAGTTGCATGGAGTTCTGGTCTTAGTAGTCACGGCGGGATATTTTGAAGTTTGAATTTTTTGCCGTGACTACAAAAACCAGAATTCTCTGCAGGCGTCACGTCTTGATAAGTCCTTATGCATAAATATGGTCTATTGGAACGTTGTCATTGCCAATAATGGAACCCAATCCTTTCTGAAGGAATTGAACCTGTTTCCAGTGCCAAGTTGTTAGAAACTCAGCCTCGTATTCGATTAAAACTCACAAGGGGATGATTTGAAAGCACGACCTACCATTATATTCCTTCGAACGTGTTGACGCCCCTTTTCAGCACCGGGTTTGAGTATGATCTCCCCAGCTCCAAATTTCTTTTGCGAGAAATACTTATGAAGTAATAGTGGCGCATCCTTGCCATCTCGGTTAGATGTCGGTGATCTGAAATCTAGATTTTCGTTATTGTGAAGAACCTCTAAAAGTGAAAAAAATAGTCATATTTTCATGCCTTGGGCAAGAAATCACCGACAATAGCTGTCGGCTATGGTATGAGAGAGACAGGCTTTGGACATATTTAGAAACTCACTCATTTGGACATCCTCTAAAGTATCGGCGTCTACGACTGTCGCCATAGCATCCATTTCTTCTGTCATTCCGTCGGGAATTTCCATGTCGCTCTATGATATAGCAAATCGCACACATAATAAAATAAAGAAAAAACTTAAAGAAAGTTATCGGAAGCAAATCCAAAATAAAAAGAAGAATCATTTACCGAATCCGATTCATCTTCAGATGTGCTCCGAAATCTGTTTGCTGGAAATATTTGCAAATAATACGTTTATTGACGTATATATATACATATATATATAGGGCAGGTTGATAGCTGATGCTTATTACTACATAGCTAATATGTTAAATTCTATAGATGCTTGATGATTATAGGTTGTCGACAATTGCATTCTAGATTTGTGTAAATCATATTTGGTGAACACACACGATTAAGTAGATGAAGATTTACTCAAGATGTTCATTCATATCTACCGTGATAATAGAGTTAGACCCAGTTAGCTGCTTTACAATCCAGCCCAATTGACCATAACAAAAAAGATGGCGGATGTACATTTTACCAGGATGCATTGCGGTCGGAAATCGTTTAAAAAAATGAACTGACGTATTTTAAAGGACAGGCATAAAACAAGAAGTTATTTTCTTCGCTGTGTAGAAATTTCACGTCATTAGGAGTTTTTCTTGCCATCTTTTTTCAGTCAATCATTCTTAATGCCCGCAATGCATTCTGGTAAAATGTACATGCCGCCATCTTTTTCGTTACGGTCAATTCAATCGACAAGTTAAGTTAATCCTAGATTGCGAGTCAACCAAGTGACATGCAGTCCTTATAAAAATCAGCCGAGGAAATTTGGAACGTTCTCGGACTTAAGATGCTTTAATTGATCAAATGTGGTATTAACTCTCGCGACGAAGGCCCTCAGGTCAAAACGTCGAGAAGAGTTTTGTCTATTTTAGGCAGTTGTTATACAACATTTGATGCTAAGTTGTTTGAAGACGCTGCCACGCTGCTCCCTGGTTATATTGGAACGTATCTAATAAAACGTAATTATAGAACTACGAAACAACTCAATATAAGCTACAAATAAGCAATAACTAGTCGCCAGTGGGTATGCTTTAATAATCTATTTACATTTCTTTTAAAACCTGTGCCTAAAATCTAGCTAGATACGTTGCATCTACTGAACTCATACAAAACGTTTTTGAGCTGTTTCGAAATATCTATGATGTTCATTTGAACATGTTCCTAATAACTTTCTTTTACAACGTTTTATAACCTTAAAAAATATGTATAAGAGTATTTCACTGCTTCCGATGATCCCTGTAGGTTTAGATTACTTTCATACTTATTCTTCTTCTTCATAGCAGGCACGGACGCACTCCACGGTCCACATGCATTCCACAAACATGTGAAGAGTCCATAACCACCATTTTCACCACACCAAATTAGCAAACATCCGGTGATTTTATTGGATGTTTGTCGGAATAGTGAAAACAGGAACTATAGGCATAGCATGAGATGACCCAAAACGCACAGTGGAATCTGACTGATTTCCCCAACAAATTGTTGAATTGGACGTTGCATTGGACGAGTCATTACAGAGGACACTGCTTCACGCAAGGCTTTATGTTCAATCGTGTTTACTTTACAACTTTTAAAAACACTTTTAAAAGTGTTCAGATAGGGACACATCTTTCTACGTAACATTCTTACATACACGTACCCGCCCTGAACCACCCATGTGACCCAATATATGAATTGGTTATAAATCATATGCACTGTTAAATTGATCGAGTTCAGCATATTGATGTATGAATTGGTCATAAATTCTACCATTCCGAGTTCCCGAGTCATCCATCTTTGTCACGTGCCATCTAATCTTGATTGCATGTCATATCATCTTGGTCACGTGTCCATCGCAAACAATCATCTTGATCCTCCGCAAATTCTTACACATTGCTAATTGCTTATTTTCCTCAATGTTCAGTGGACGGTGGGAAGAAAAAGTCTTCACGCTGTCCCCTGAACATGCAGGCAAATCCCATCATGTGTGTCAAACAAAACATCAAGACTGCAGGCGGATAGATATGAACGAACCACTTGCCTCTAATTCTTCCAGTTATATCACGAATTTAAGCTGGGCGACGAACAGACCACGCACTTTTGTGTGGCCGGCCGTGTTTTGAATATTTGTGTGCAAGACACGACTAAACAAATGTGAACTATTTGGAGATTGTACGAAGTGCAACGAATAACTTATCATGTTTGATACTAAGATCTTAGCGTGCCGGTTCAGAGAGGTACATTGGCAGTACTGCATGACAACAGGTCTAGGGCAGTGATTGATTACGCTGGGGAGTTTCTCGGGGCCTGAAAAATCACATTCAGCCGGAAACACAAACACGAAACGAAATAAAAACTCTAGAATGTAATAAACAAAACACTTTGGAAGACAAACCTCTCTTGGAGCGATATTTCGATGATCTATAAACTGCTCGCCTCTTGCGACGAGTGGGTGCAGGCGTAGGGTTTACAATAATATTTTTCACAACCCAACCTGGAAACAATCAAGATATGATTTAGTCTGCAGTTTGTTTCCTGCATGAGAACTACGCTTACCATAGTCTATAGAGATATAAAAATGTGCAATATTAAAGGACCAATTATTACAGGAACGTCAACAGTTGAACAACTGCAAAGACATTACGAATTATCTAACCCGTAAACTATCCAGCGTTACTGCATGTGCACGGGAAACTGGGAGACTACCAGACAAAGGTTTAAATACAAATGAATCAACTCATATTGCAGGTACGTTCCTCATTACAAGAAAACAACGTGACCACCTCAATAACTGTCATGAACTTGGGTTCAGCAACTTCCTGAAACGTACGTGCAAGAAAGCCTCTCGGCGTTGCTATCTAAAGGCTTTTTCTAGGCTCTGAAGGACTTCAATGACACTTGTATGACTCATGGGAGTCATGTCCTGTACTTTCCTGTATATTTCAGGCAACCTGTTAACCACATTTGATGACATTCTACCACAGAAATCGAACATACAGTGGCTCATAGAAACGAGAAATAAGTATTGAGTCTGAGGTCAAGACCGAGTTACCTGATTGTCGTCTTTCATATTCAATTCTATCATTCTTCCAATATTGTAAACACGGAACTCGATTCCTCTGGCTTCGTCTAAGACCTTCGTCAGTTTCACTGATCTGTGTGTTATCATTTTCAGCGGCGATACTGTCGATTTTCAACGTTCGTTTATCTGAAACACGATGATTATATCCAAGATTATATTTCCGGGTTTCACGCGATAATGCACTCACGGGGATGATAATCAGTTACTAGTTTACCCATTGGGTAGTGAATGCTGCCTTATCGTATACTCGGATTCCCAAACACGGTTTCATGTCTAACGAGCTTGCTTGGTCAGACACAATAAACTTTGTCTTGTTCTGTCATATATGACACTTATCTTTCAAATCACAATTATCGTTCAAATATTTTAATATAGGAAAATAGCAGGTACGATTGTACCAGGAAAAGTTTAATTCATTACACCCAACACCATAGCTACAAAAAAGAGGATTTTAATGCAGTAAAAAAGGCATTCACATTTGATACACTGATATTGAAGAATAATATATCTAGTACTTCAAGCAACGGCAGCAATGCCAAACAAATGTGAATTCAGTGAATAAATCTTACTTTTATTTCGCCGTGCCTTGATTGTAGACGGATTATCATCAGTCTCTGGACTCGACATCGATATTGGACTGCCCACTGTATCATTGGAAACATTGTTACCTTTACAGGAAGTTGTGGCTTCGTCATCTGACGAAAATCCAGAGTTTTGAATGGCACCTTGGTTTGTTTTTGATTTGTATCCACCTTGAATATAAAAAAACGTCATACAGCTAAATCTATCAACTATAAACTGCTCTCCTTAGGGGTTTACATGAGCCCGGTTACCCGAGATTCAACGAAGCGTGACTTTGAGGTATTGAAATAAGTCTTTATGACACCAAACAAGCACATGCTATTGTTGTGGTGGTTATTGTACGACTGCCAGGATAATGTTATCTGCTCATTTCAATTCCTCAAAATCATCTCACGCTTCGTTGAATCTCGGGTAAACGGGCTCATGTAAACAGCCCTTAAGTTGACAAAATTCATACATACACTGTATATGGTTAAGTGGAAATTGCATAAAGACAACTCTATTTTACCGGAGGAAACACTATTACTGTGAATATAATTAGTTATAAGAAAGTAAAGGTAGGGGGGCTTGTTTGACTAAAAAACGGTTTTCCGAATATCTAGAAATCACAAAAGTGACGGGTTAATACCCACCAATATCTCCCTTTGCTGAAGCCCCTACTATAAACCCACCAAAGACAAACCAAAGCTAACCTCGAGATTTTGTGTTCGATTTCGCAGTTTTTGCAGTAGTTCCCTGTTTTCCAGTCATTTTTGCAGGTTTCTTCTCAACGACTTCCGAATTTGAGTTTTCACTCTTTCTTTTCCGCGAAGCCCTCGATTTCGTTCCAGTCACATTCAATGAATCATCCCCTGCATTGTTCGATATGGAATCATTGCTAGACCTTGTTAAATAACTCCGTCTTGGGGAAGAGGCGACAGACGAGTTAGCTAAATGATCAACTGTATTTGATTCCTCACACTCACTTTCGGACTCATTCTCGAGTGAATCACGAGAAACGTTTGGTGAAATTTTACTTGCATTTTTTGTTGAACTACGGGTATTTCCCCCCTGTTTTTCAGCTGCAGTGACCTTCGACGTTGATTTGTTGATTGTAGATTCTTTGTTTTCTTCCTCTAAAGTAGTTTCGTTTGCTTTTCTTGATCTCGTATTTCCTAATCGGGGAGCAGAAATCAAATAAAGGAAATGAATACAAATGATAGGAATTTCCTGACTGAGGCTATTTACTCTATTGCTTTTCTTCCTTCAGATCGCATCATAACACTTGGAAAAGTCAAGGCACTCATGGAGACCTTCATATACACCTACTACAATTATAGCCAGGAAGACATTTGCGCATTACGTATATAGAGATACACATCGCAAGACTGAAACTGCAAAACACAAAAGTAAAAGCGATAATCTCTATATCATGACTAGTTATGGAATCATCTCACATGGAGATCCTAGCACATCAATAGTAAATTAGAGTTTGTACAATTCCGGCAAAAACTACGGCAGTAATTCTTATTCTGGTACTGCAAATTCACTCGGACAATCAAACATCGTTGTTTTTGAATTTCAATTGATTTTCGATTCGGATTATATTCGAGATGGCCGGACTGCCGGAGCTGGGGTCATTTTTCCCGGAGCGGAGAATTTTTGACCGGAGGTAAAAACCCTGGAATTACACAGCACTAGCACATTGTAAGCACATTGCAAAATACAAAAGTGAAATTCACGATCTCTATGCTTGCTACTAAACATCGAGTATTTCAACTTACTTGTTTTTGACATAAGTGGGTTTTCATTAGATCGTGCATTTTTTTGCTTTTTCTGTGCTGTTTGTTTATGGGGGGTAATTGACAAATTCTCTTCTGATTCTAAAATGCTGTTACTGTCACTCGTTTTTTGGTTCTGAGAGGCATGCCGCGACTGGGTTTTCGCTGTATTTCGCAGAGAACGACTGGAAGCTGGGTGTTTTGTGGCATCGTCTTTGAGGCGTAGAGACCGGTCGTCATCGAGGATTATTGGTAGGTCGGCGTCCAAACCATTCTCCAAAATATCATCAGAATCTTGAATCTGTTTGGCCGTTTTCGTTGCCTTTCCTTGGTTAGAGTTTGTCTTTCGTAGTGAAACTGGAATTTTGCTCTCCTCCGTGGTATCCATATTAAATTCTGGGAAAAATAGGAGGAAAGCGATTGTATGATTTTGCATATCTATATTTTCATCGTTTCACCGTTGCAGAGAATGAACGAGCGATCTTTCTAAGTGTCGTAGTTTATTAATACAAATCGAAACTCGGTCGGCAGAGGGGTTGTTATTAAATGCAATTATGCGTATACAGACATTTTAAAAAACGGATAGCTGGTTGCATGACCAATCAAAAGCATGTTTTGCACGTCCGTAAACTACTGCAAGTAATATAGCGCAGGCGTTTTATAAAGGTCTACACAGTTGATATCTATATATGGCGGGAATGATGCACTGATTTATTGGTTATAAGTAACTATACCTATTAAAAATGAATCATTAATGAATTCCAGAGACTAACAAAAGAAAAGTACTATACGTATGTACGTAACATGCTATCAGCCGTCGCTTACAACGCATGTCTGAAGTATGATGTGGAGCCATACAGCATGTAGTTTACATACTGTAACATTGTGATATCAAGCGATAAGACGAGATTTTGACGTTTTCTCACAGAAAGGAACTATACTTGAAGGATTAGGAACAAGTCAGTGAATTACCATTTGGTGCGTCCTGAGCATCTTGATTCGCAATAGCTATATTTCTTATTTTTCCTGTGCGGGTTGAAATTGGTACCTTCGAAACAGTTCTGGCCTTAGTTTGGGTTTTACTTGTTGTCTTTTTCTCTGATGGTTCCAGAGTTTGTTCAACGCCCAACTCTTCCTCCTGACCGCCATCAACTCGTTTGGAAGATCTTGTAACTCTCTTTGAGCGGGGTACGGTTGTGTGTGCCTTTTGCTGGCTTTCGGAGCTCTTTTCAATTGTAACTGATTCTGTGTCCACCGAGTCTTTCAAGTGTAAATGAGGTTTGTTTGTGAGAAAAATGTGAAGATATAGCTTATTGCACGTCTGGAATAATAATGACTACAGGTATCGTCAGGCAAATAACTAAATCGCTTCTATTAAAGACCTTACCTTCAATCGAGGATTTCGCATCTGCATCATTGCCTTGTCCATCCGCATTATCATTTTCCGCGTCTCCGGTTTCCGCGTCTTCGGTTTCCACATGCCCGGCCGTCGTTTTCCGCTGTCCTTTTTTTGCTCCTGGGGTTTTCCGATATTGCGTTTTCGCCGACGTTTGATCCTCGGGGCTCTTTGTCTTTGGCGAGGACTTTCGACGAGACCTCACTTGAAAAGTAAGCTTTACCCCCTTCTTTCTTCGTACAGGGATTCGGCTTCGAGTCGCTTTTTTAGTCGATTGTGAACTTGTGGTCGAGACAACCTCGATTTCGGGCGACACTTTGGATTTTTGAACCTGAACTGCTTTCTCTCCTCGGGATGTCTCAGGATTCTTTGATGCGCTATGACTGGATGTTTTGGGTTCTTCATGGGTATCGTCAACTGTAGCATTGCCGGTGCTTCTAGATAATATTCCCTTTAAAGTGTTTTTCGGTTTCTTCAAGGTTAAGAACGTGCCGCTGCGCTTGCAGACCTCTTGTGTCAGTAACTCTTCTACATTTTCGCTTGATTCTCGACTGTTGCTTCTTTCTTCTTTGTTATTCGAGGCTTTTTTAGATCGCGATTCTTTCACATGGTCGGTTACGGTGTACTCTTCTTCAACCGGATCATTTTGCTGGTTTGGAGAAATCCTTAAACATAACAGAGAAAAGCGGTGTTTGGTTTTTCACGATTTGAGTGAAACGACTTTCAGATCCTTCGCCAACTAGCTACTTTTGGCTAGTGTTGGTCATGCAGTGTCTCGGGAACAGAATACGCTTCAGATGAAACAACAAAATTCACAGACCCATAGCCTATAAGCTAGGTACAGAGGAGCTAGTAGTCCAATGATGAATAAGTATTTTCCTTACTTTGACTTCATAACAAAACCAAAAGTTTGATGTGTCTGGGACTAGTAATATTGTTAAACCATATTAAATTTCTTTTTTTTTGAAACTAAAATAGTGTAAGTCTACAATTTAATATACGGTCTGAAGTGGCCTTTTGCCTTCTTTGACTTCAAACGTTTCTCTGGAAATTTAAAGAATTCTCTGGGGCCAATGGTTTGTTTTAGTCAAGACACTACCTAAGATACTAATCTGAGAATAATTCAAAACAGGCTTAACCGCTTTAGTCTTTAAAAAGGCATAGTTACGTGAACAGAAAGCAAAGAATTTATTCAATCAACAGGCGAATGGACTCTAGTGCATCTACAATCAATTTTCATACAGCCAAATAATTTGGAAACGTACAAACTGTGCTGGATATCCAAACGTTCTTCTTCACAAAGGATGCTTGTGTTGCCTAATGAAAACCGTAACCTGAAAATGTAGAACGAAACAATGTCTTTATCACACAAATTTTAAAGAGTTCACAGTTTAGGTCAATTACAACTATTCAGTATAGATATTAAGTTTGGGGATATTGTAGAAAAGGCACAATTACTGCATCAATGTTTGGCCAAGGGAACTTGGGTAAAAGAGTAAAAATCTTTCAAAGCATTGAAATTTGTTACAGATTAGTCCAGACCTCTTTGGGGGATAGGTAACTTATTAGACAAGGAGAGTTAGATTACATATTTGAAACTCAAAAAACACTTACTTTTTTCTGGTACTTCCAGGAATGACATTCTCTTCTGGAGATGATGGTATCATTATATTGGAACAGTTGATACTTGCTGGTGGCATACTATTTATTCTCTGAACTGTTGACAGAACTTGATTGTTTGATGGAGAAACAGGTTTACCTGTTGAGGGAACCCTTTTATCTGTAGAGAGATCAGGTGATTTTGGCAAAGAAATCTGTTTGTCTGATGGAGAAACAGACACTTTTTCACTCTCAGTAGCAGGGGAGGAGACTTGTTTGTTCAAAGGATTCTTTACAGATTTGTTGATTGCTGATTGATTGTTATTTTCTTGGATGTGCTCATGGTGCTCAGTAGTTTCATTTTCAGATTCAGAGTCTAGGGTCAAGATAATTTAATTAATGTGAAGAAAACCACTAAAAGTTTTGCTAAGAAATAATATTGAATTTGTCCAACAAACCTGTGTCTGGAAAATAGTCACTGACATGTTCAAAACCAAATTTATCCAATCTGGCATTGACCTCTATTACCTTGCCAGTACGTCTAAAATGAAGGTGCAAAGTTGTTTACAATTTAGCAGACATTTCATAAAATGTTAGGGTGCATTAATTCAGGTGGGCAATATACAATCACATTATTGTTTTTTAGTGAATACTTTGAGTTGTTTTAACATATAAATGTGCCAATTTGCCTTGGTAGATCACATGCTAACCTGACCAGAAAGAAAACAAAATTGCAATTATATATATCCAATCTTGTTGGTTAATGGAACCATTGAATCTGTAAACAAATCATTAATAGACGCACAGGCACTAAATCCTTCATCAGTTCAATTACACTCAGATGAAGGCCCTGGTTAACGGGCCGAAAGCTTTGCAGTAATAAATACTTACATGGTGTACATACAAGCTAATTTACTTATTCAATGCCACCATGCAAACGTGCAAGAATACTATAACATCCATGTTGTAGTCAACCCAAACAACCCTTTAGGCATGAAGCTACATGATTCCCATCAGTAACCTTTTGGTGGGCCTGTTTCTTATGACGAAGGCTTTGCCTTGACTCGTTTACATGGCCTGTGTCTGGTATTCAACATGGTATGAAAAGACATACTGTGCACTAGCAAACATATGCAGTCATTTACCTGCCAATATACGGCTTATTGTGCAAACCTGACAAAGACCGCCGACTCTAAAATTTACAAAAGGAAAGGACAGAACAGTTTTAGTAAAGAACATTTTAAGTTTGTATAATAAGCATTGTTTACCCTATATTTATATACGCTTTTTATATCAACGTAAGGATATAAAATTTAATCCCTTGCAGTCGCAGAAAGTAATATTTTTTTTTAAAATCGTCTGTCGATCGAAGGCTCGAAGCCTAAAAAAGGACTAAAGGAACTTCTCACCTTTGTTGCCATTTTTAAGCAGTATATGTCACAAGTTATATCAGTAAACTACACGAAAATACAAAAATATATGAAAACATAAACAGACATTTTTGAATTTCCAACTTCGCGCCTAAAAACAACATACTTCTGACTTCTGAGGCTCCCAGTGCTGCCACTTTGAATAATCTAATTTCAACATTGACTGGAATATGGGAATATAGTATACTCGCCGTTGCTAAGGTCCAGTATACCTGAATTTGGAATATGGTATGTTCGACCTTGGACCTGAATTCATATTTTAGCGTTTCCTGCAATCATAGCGAGCGGTCCGTATGAGGCGCGAGATTTAAAAGCACAGAGCCAACGCTAAAATATGAATTCCGACCGCAAGAAAAAAAATCTATTATTTACCTACGGTGGCTCACAGAGGCCACCCATATAAATACGTAAATACCAATCCACAAAAATTCAAAACACAATTTAAATATTTCGAAAGGCACTTTACATGTTTTCAAACGCACTTTAAATATGTGCCAACACACTTTAAAAATTTTTAAACGCACTTTAAGTTTTCCAACACACTTTAAATTTTCCAACACACTTTAAATTTTCTAACACACTTTAAGTTTTCCAACACACTTTAAGTTTCTCAAACACACTTTAAATATGTTCAAACATACTTTAAGTTTTCCAACACACTTTAAGTTTTTGAACGAACTTTAATTACATGCGGGCTCATCGCATAATTACGCGCATGCGCAAGTCAAGGTTACTTTATTTTCTTTTTTATCCTGTCGTGCGCGGTGCGTTTTTTCGCTCAATCTAATTGAACTTAAAAGCTCACAGGAAAGCAAGGAGTCGAAGATATAAGCAGTACATAATTGATCATTATGAGTTGTGCAGGGTGCGGCAATGCTGCGGCTGATGCAAAAACGTACTGTGAGAATTGTGTATCGGTATGCGTATATGCGCATTCCGTACAGACTGTGGAACTGAAAACGTTCTTATGTGTGCTATGCAGTGCTATCTAAGGTCAGATGGTAATGATGAATGGGCTGGGGAAAAAGCTCATGCATATGGTTCATCTCCAGCAAACCAGAGAATAGAGGCTTGGTGGTCATATTTACGACGAAACAGGTCAGGCTGGTGGATTGACTTCTTCCAAGACATGATAGAACAAGGAATATTGGAAATTGGCAACACATATCACATGGAAGCATTATGGTATTGTTTCAACAAGATACTTCAGGATGATTTAACTAAAGTAAAAGAGCACTGGAATATCCATTATATACGCAAGCCCCAGAATGAAACAGTGTCTGGAATTCCTGATGTGCTGTATTTCCTTCCCAACTATTGTAGTGGTGATAGCTGTTTAATGGAGGTTTCAAAAAAAAATTGAATGAAATGGAAGAGAAGATCAACATAACTGATAATCGACGATGTAATCGTCTCGCCTTTCGCATTTGGACACCCTCTGGATCAATCTCTTACATTATTTTCGCTACGACACGACGACTAACGTTAATATGGTGGCGAAGCCTCAAAGCATGCCAAATACTTCTATATCAAGACAGCCTTCCTGCTCCTTCAACTTCTTCTTGATTTACTGTTCGTAAATGTTGCTCATTAATTACCTGCCCCTTTCGCTTTAAACCTAACGACTTTAAACGACGTTTTAGTGTTCTTAAAGACGTCGATACGCCAGCACTATTTAGAAGAACAACAGTTGCTCCATATGGGTATCCACGGTTAAAATAATTAACAATAAGATCCGTAGTCTCTTTCTCCGATACACAATTCTCACAATACGTTTCTGCATCAGCCGCAGCATTGCCGCACCCTGCACAACTCATAATGATCAATTATGTACTGCTTATATCTTCGACTCCTTGCTTTCCTGTGAGCTTTTAAGTTCAATTAGATTGAGCGAAAAAACGCACCGCGCACGACGGGATAAAAAAGAAAATAAAGTAACCTTGACTTGCGCATGCGCGTAATTATGCGATGAGCCCGCATGTAATTAAAGTGCGTTCAAAAATTTAAAGTGTGTTGGAAAACTTAAAGTGTGTTTGAACATATTTAAAGTGTGTTTGAGAAACTTAAAGTGTGTTGGAAAACTTAAAGTGTGTTAGAAAATTTAAAGTGTGTTTAAAAATTTAAAGTGTGTTTGAGAAACTTAAAGTGTGTTGGAAAACTTAAAGTGTGTTAGAAAATTTAAAGTGTGTTAGAAAATTTAAAGTGTGTTGGAAAATTTAAAGTGCGTTTAAAAATTTTTAAAGTGCGTCTGAAAACATGTAAAGTGCCTTTCGAAATATTTAAATTGTGTTTTGAATTTTTGTGGATTGGTATTTACGTATTTATATGGGTGGCCACTGTGAGCCACCGTATCTACCAGTTTAGTCGGTCCGTATAGGGAAATATTTCCCTCGGTCTCAGAAACGTCCGCTGTTTTTGAGACCTTGGGAATATTTCCCTATACGGACCTCCAATATGGTAAATAACATATATTGATATATACATTCCAGAATATAGTATATTCAACTTTGGTAAGGTCAAATATACGGAATATGGTATATTCAACCTTGGTAAGATCGAATATACCGGAATATGTTACATTCGACCTTGCAAAAGGGGTGCTGGCTGATACGGTTAAGGGGCAGCCTTCACACTCCCCCTCAGCTTGTCAAATTACCAACCGCGGCAAAGGACGATAAATACGGAAAATGCATCGTGTGATGCTTCGTCGATATGATGGGCGACAATTCATGAAAACTCGTTGGTTTGTAAAAATATAAAATATTACAAAAACTAAGGCCAGTTTCAGACGTCAAACTTTTCATGTGCCAAATCGAGTGCAAATGGACGTAAACAAAGCCTTTAGTTCATTTACATTAGGTCCGGCGCATGAAAAGCTCGACGTCTGAAACAGGCCTAACTAAGTAAAATATGGACATTATATCACAAGACGTTAATGAATGAGGCAATTTTTTGTTGCCATTGCCTCTGATAATTAATTGATACAGCCATTTGCATTTGAGCTGGCGGCTGGCATTTCAAACGCGTTGTTCAATGGTTTGAAACGGTGCGTTGATTGGTTAGCAACGCCTCGTTGCTAAGGGCTAAAATGAACTTTTGATGGGCGTAGCCTAACGTTCCGAGTGAGATTGCATCATGAATATATTTATACGCTAGACATAACATGCCAATCAACTATGGTATTAATTATAGCAATTGCGACGGCAAGGTCTTTCAAAAACATGGGATCGAAGTATCTGTTTAAGTTGGAGTATGGTGACGAAAAATTTTCATCATTTTTTGTTAACCTTTACGAAAAAAATGATTACAATTTCATAGATCTAACTAATGATATAAGAGCAAACGTTCGATCACTACAGTACGTAACACCAAGCACAATTAGAATCCGATTCAAGGATGATGATGGCGACTATATAAATTTATCGTACGGCGACCAAGAAATGTTTAGGGAAATGTTCGAGACTTCGAATCCAGTAACAGATCGCGATTACAAAAAGATATACTTGAAAGTTTCGCAGCTAGATTCTCCTATTCAAATTCCTGTCTCAAAATCGAAGTTGGCTCCAGGCAAAACTTGTAATATGGACGATCTGTGGGACGATATAGAGCCCAAATCTGTGGAAAATCCCATCGCGCAAGTTAAACGTATTCCAGTTGCTGCGGTATCCGTCCAAGAACGTACTATAGTACACAGCGCCGCTAAAAGCAGCTTGAACTCCAGATTTGCTGTTGCGATCGAGGAGAAAGGTCTAAACGAAGATGACGAAGATGACGAAGATGACGAAGATGACGATTTACTTAATCCGTCGCCAAGCACTGTTGCACCAAGCACTATTACACCAAGCACCGTTGCACCAAGCACAGCAGTTCTTTCACCATTAGAACGTTACCTGAAGAAACTACACGAAAACAAAAGAGAGCAAGAGCTCAAAGTGGCAAGTATAAAGGATAAAATGAGGACTGTCGATAAAAAACTGCAGCAAGCAAAGTCAAATCACGAGTTTGTTCAGGGCAACGTGTGTGGCAATTGTCACATGAGACTGGGGCACACGTCTAAAAAATGCGCGCTGGATACATGTACAAATGTCTATGACTGTGGGATTGAAAAGTTTCATGCTCGTCAAATTAACAGAGGCAAGATGCGCCAGGAGTTACAAAAAGAAGAAAGTAAATTACAGAAGATCAAACAAGAAGTCAACAATCGCCAGTCTTCAGTAGAGAGTTTAAAGAAATCTTTAGTCAATCAGGTCGAACAGAAATTGTTGTCTGAAAATGCATCGATTTATTACGTCGGTGGTCTGAAAAATTGGTTTCTGTTAAGGCATCATGTGCATCTCGTCGAACGTTACTGTAAGAAAAATTTCAATGGAAAAATTCCTCCAAAACAGAATGTTTCCCAAATTTTGAAACTTGCTATGGCTGATGTCGATGAAGAACGCGATAATTTATCTCAACCAAAGCGCCGACGTGTTCACGAGAATCCTGCTAAAGGCGTTCTTCAAAACTATGGAGTAAAATTCCCTGTTGGTTCAACGATTTCGACTCCTTCAGGTTCTTCGAGTTCTTTCCATCCTTCCTCTGACATTTTGTATCGATGCGAACCCACGTCGAAAGCGGAGGAAGAAGCACAACTAGATTTGGCCCTGAAAGCCAGTACTTGCGATGTGACGATCAAAAATCAGAAAAGTGATTTCGCGTGTAAAGCCGAACGGATTTGCATCGATTTAACCGCGCAACATAACTCACAGACTGATCTGTCCAATACGGCTGATAATAAAAGTATTAATATTGTCGGTTCATCTCAATCCGAGGATCAGTCTCCAGATTTTACCTCTTCACAAAGTGAAAACAATGCAGCGGTCGCGTTAATATCACTGTTTAATAACACTACCTCGACCAGCGATGCCTCTTGAAACATTTTTGCTTTGCGAAGCATATCTGTAAATATTTAACAAAGCAACCTGTTATATATGGGTGTAGACTATGCATGCATACGTTGTCATATTGATTTTATGTTCTAAGTAAGTTTAGTAGTTCACATCATCAGTTAAAGCTGCGGAACTTTGCTTCGCGAATTTAGCATCAGTATATA